CCTCGTATACGGCCGGGCAAAAAGGCTGAAGTTTAATGTGTTGTGATACTGGGTATGGTGTCAAGTTGTTAAATTCTTGATGTTTGGGAATTCCCCCTTTTTTTTTTCAGCAGCTGCATAGCTCTCTCACTTACTATTGCTATGTGCTGTAACCTCGAACAATGCCTAATCTAAAAGGCTAAGCATACACTGTAATACTGATTTCTCCTTGGCCCCCGCTTGTCAATGATGTCACTTGATTGGCATTTTGAAGAGATTGCCCCAAATGGTACCGGATTTACGAGAATGAAACCTCATCCGTCATTATTACATCAGCTGCTGTCTTGCTTCACTATTTATTGAAGGACGTGCACAAAGGGCGAGTCGCCTTCCGATTAGACAATGAGCACGAAGATTCCATTATAAAAATGGCAGATGACAAAACTCAGCGTCACGAAGACAGCAGAGCTGATGATCGCGGAGCAGACGAGGAGTGGAAACACCGCGCGCCATATCGCGTTCGCCAAAGCACTGAGGAGTTCGAGGTACAATGGCGTGGTAGCTGCCATTGCGGAAAGGTGAAATACCAATTGAGCCGGGACAAGCCTCTTGCTAGCAAGTATTGTCACTGCCGAACATGCCAGAGGCTGCATGGAGTACGTTGCCCAGTACAGCCGTTCTGAACAATATGCTAATTGTTAATCTCTGGGGTTGAGTAGGCGCCCTTTCAATGGGCTGCAATCTTTGGAAAAGAAGATATCAACTTCACCTGCGGTTACCATGGACTGAGCTGGTATAATTCATCCTCCATGACAACAGAGCATAAACTTCCTTGCAAGGTACACTGCAGCTATTGCAAGACTCCAATCATGGACGAAGGCAGGAATATGATCCTCCTATTTCCATCACTAATTGAAGGAGTCCATACGAAAATCGGTCTAGAAGCATTTAAGCCCCAAATGCATATATTCTACTCACAACGAGTGGTTGATTTGCCAAACGATGGGCTTCCCAAATGGAGCGAGCATGAGAACAGTCATCTTATAGGTCCGCTTAAGGAGGACTAGGTATTAAATACGGCCGTTAGAATTATCCGTGTGCGACGCATATCACTGTTAAGCCTGTTTACAGAGCGAGCAACCCCATGATGTTTTAGAAACTAGCTGCCAAAGTGAACAAATGGAGCCCAGGAAATCGGCTCGTCGCTGCAACTGATGATATCTCTGCCCTCTTTCATATTACCATTCTCTGCCTCTGCCGCTGTTGGCTGAACGAGGCTCCGCCCGTGGCTGTTGGCTTCTTGCCTTGCCATACCACCTCGCATTTCGTCTTCCTGCTCATTGGCAGCTACCCACTGATCCCGGAGCATTCTGATAGCATGATGAAGTCCTTCGCCGACAGATTCATTGCTCAAGCTGGAGTCCTTGATCCACTTGTAGGTCATGTTTGCCACCTGAACACAGATACCATCATCGACCCTTCGCAGCGTCCCAATCACATTCCTAAAGCCAGCCATCTGGCACGCGCCGATCAAATGTAGCCCTTCATCAACTAGGTCCTCGTCCTCGCTGCGGCCAGTACTGCATGCTGAGAGGTACGCAAGGAATGGTGCTTTATCGTGGAGTTTGATGTTGAAGAGATCCTGCACACTCAGGGGCCCATCGCTCATTTTCAGCGAGCTCTTGGATGGGTCGAGAGGATGGGACATCCCGTGCCCCGCGAAATGAAAAATCTCACACTCTGGTAGGGAATCGAGGACTGCACTCCGACAAGGCTCTAATATCGCTGCGTTCAAGTGCATTTCCGTGCATAGCTTCTGAATCTGACTGATTTCTTCTGGCGCGTAACGAAGTTCCTGGACACCAACTAAGAGGGCTTTCTTGCTTTGCCACGCCCTGGGTGATGTCCTACTTGTCACTTGGCGACCTTGGATGATCGCACCTACGGATGCGCTGTAGGTGGAAATCACGCGATCCATGACTGTTCTGGTTGATCCGCTGTAGTGGTAACCCGCGCAGTGGATCGGGAAAGACGAGAGAGGGCCGGTGGTGATCCAGAAAACACGGGGCCAGGGCGAGGTGGTAGGCATCTCGTGATAGCCCAAGACCTTCATGATAGGGGAGGTGATTGTGTCCCAGAGCCATTCTAGTATCTCGCGATCAATGTCTTTCGCCGCGTATTCTATCACTTGAGCATGGTGCAAATCAGTGAGCTCTATAGACACAATCCGGTCCATTTGGACGATAAGAGCATCACACCGTTCCTCGTGCACGTTGATCATAACTATCGGACCATCGACTGCGGCTGACCTGATTTGTTCCTCGGACGGTGGTAATAAGAAACGGTCAAACCCGGGCAAGCCTCGAATTCGCTCCAATAGAGAATCCAACTGGTGGCCAGCATCGTGGCGAGGGTTGTCGAAACCGCTAGTAGATCCTGGGTCACTATCCAACAACTCTCTCAGTTGATGAAGCTCATCCGCTAAATCTGGATGTAAGCTTTGAAGTTCAAGTGTATTTGAACGCAGATCACGTAATGAGTTGATGATGATACCTCTTGCAAGTTCAACATGCTGAAGCGCTTCATATGGCTTCTTGCCTGCCATGAGAGTGACGGTTCCCAAAAGGGTGGATAAGCCAGGAATTCCCTTGAGCAGCTTTTGCTTATCAGAGACAACCAGCGAGCGAGGAGTGAGATGGGAGACCAGCGGGAGTGTTTCAGTAGCAACCTGATAGGCAGCTGGGATGTTGCGTGCGGCCACGAGCCAATGGGCCAAGATGTTACCCGCGTTGATTTGGTCCCTTGGAAGTGCACGCACATCTTTGAAAGCCTGATGGTATAACTCAAGCGCTGCATCCAGATCTTCTGCTTTCCCAAGCCTCTCGAATCGGTTGTGGAATTCCCATCCAAGGGCTTGCAGCCGATGACTCCGGTCCGGATCGTCTTCTGCAGTGCAATCGACGGCAGTTTGCATTTTCCTGATGGAGATTTCGTAGTCATCTTCTGATCCGGATGCTTCAGCCTTGTCAATGTATACGTGGCTGATAGCAAAGAGGTTTTCTGAATACTGGAAGTCCTCTTTTGGGAGCGACTCCTCCCAATCTTTGACGTGCTTCATGGCTGCCTCTAAATCTTTTAGAGCCTTTGTCTTTTTATGCTTTGTCATGTGGACATGGACCAGAGTCCGAAGAAGAGGGATACGTTTCCAGTTATTGCTTGGGCCTTGGAGGAAGCACAGAGCCTTCATAGCCGAGTCGAGGGACTCTTTCATGTCGCCCTCTTGCCCCATCTTGTCATACCGCAGGTGCAATAATTCGGCTAGTCCCTCCAAGCTGAAAGTTGCTTGCTCGTCGTGATGGGGTTCCAGCTCCCAGGCTTTCTTATATCGCGTAATAGCTTGGTTGAGGTCCGACAGCTCTCCAGTTCGTACATATCTCCCGTGATAACTTGACCCCAAGAGCCTGTTGCCTAATGACTGCTGATCCGCTGTAAGTGGTGCGAGATTGAGAGCCTTCTCGACTGTCCGAATCGAAACGTCAAGGTCTGTTATTGACTCGGCGCTTTGATACCTGGCTTCATAACCCTCGGCCAGTCTTATCAACGATTGAAACCTCTCCAGGGGAGGCGAATGGTCTGCAAGGGCGTTCACGGCTGACTTGAACGACTCAATACATGCTTCGAGATCGCTTGCCTCTTCCAAACGCTTGTACCTTCTTTCGAAAGCCTTGCCCACGATCCGAAATAGCTCTGCCCGCTGTTCATTCTTTGTGTTGCCGTCTGTCCATGTTTCAAGTGCCCTTCGCGAATGCTTAAGCGATGTTTCTAAAAGGCTTACGTCGTCCGTTTCATCAAACTTGAACAGGTATAGCTGAGCTACCTCGGCCAGTGTCGCTCGGCGGGAAACATCATTCGATAAACGGTCTAATATCTGGTTGTGGAGGGAAATGGATCGGTCAACGTCCTCGATGCTTTCTAACCTTTGGAGCCACCTGGCTTGATATGCATTCGCCAGGAGCTGGTGCTGGGCAAGCGTCAAGAGACTTTCCGAGCCTAATTGTCCAAGACATTCTTCAAGCAAACGGATACACTCGTCGAAATAGAACCTCTCCTCCGAGTTGAGGCCCCGGGTATAGAAAGCACGGGCTTTGTCAGCTATCCTGTCTATTCGTGATGGGTCGTCGAGAGGGGTAAGGTTCAAGGACGCTTGGTGGTTTTTGATTGATTCATCGGAGTCAGATACGGCATCGGTCAATATATATCGTTCATTATAGCTGCATCCAAGGGTGTGATGAAGTGACGCCAGAGTCGATGCATCTGTCGTCTGTTCAAGACCGCTTTCGAGGTGTTCAATTGCAAGCTCAAGATCGGCAGCTTCGCCCGTGTCTTCGAACCGAGAAGCAAAAGCAATCCCCATCCCAAGAGGATCACACAATGCGAAATATTCCGCATCGATGCTGTCATCCGAGCCGCATCTGCGTCTCTTCCCGGTCGAGACTTGCTCTTCCATTGTCATTTTGGTGTGTTTGAGCGGTAGAATGAGTCTAGAAGCCGAACTGCCGTAAGGAATTCGAGTTAGTGGGTTGGATTGATGCCTAATGCAACGTCAGGCTGCGGCGTCAATTGCTTACAGTGCTTATTACTGCACGTATCCTGGTGTAAGCAGAATGTAGAGGGCGCCAGGTAGAGTCCATGGACACTTTATATTCTAACGGAGGCGGCTAATCTTGGCTTACGACTATAGGTCTGTTGCCTAGAGGACTGCTTGTGTCTACCTGAAATGCCTAGTACTTGACCGACATTTGAATTTTCTTGGTGTTGCGCCACTGCTTTCATTGACATTCTCAAGTGAGTTGGCACCAAATGCGACGCTCCAGCGACGCACCATGTCCTATGAGACAACTTGTACTTTCACTTTTAACACGCTTCTCATGTCGCTCTCAATTAGTAGGGATAAGAATATTGATACTGAGGGAAGGCCTTGAGCTGGGTAGGCAGAAACCAGCTGGGTTTGGAAACATATAACATTTCCGGGGTGATTTCAAAGTCAAAATCGATCAAATGTCATGGAAATATATTTGATACACCGAGCGGTTTCTTGCTGATGAGTCGCATGAGCTACTAAAGACACATCTATATAGTGTTGGGCTCCCCCAAGCCCGGCAAGGCGCCTCCATAGTCGTAACCGCGACACGCAAAGATCAACCAGTTGTGGTAAGACCAATAATCCTCCCATCCGACTTTCCTTGCTCCTTCAAAATTTGCGTGATGCGGTGAAACGCAAGTTCATGGAAACCGTTAAAATCTGGACAATAGTGTTAGCGACGGAGGCTTTGTAGGGAGACGAAATGCTTTGAACTTACCAAACGCATCAGGGAAACAAGACCAGGTCGACCAGAGGAAGAATGAGTGATCCCCAACTTGTCTGAGTTCCTCGTAGCTCCAGAGACCACCGACAGTCACCGTCTCCCCGCTTGGTCGCGTATAGGAAAAGGGCAGATTGCCCATTTCCCAGGTCATGTTGAATCTCCCATTCTCCGGGTAGTTGTTGTATGTAGTCAGCACTTCCGTGAAGTCAATGGGCTCGGATGCAGCCTCCCAGTCAACCATGAAGGTGCGAGAGGACCCAATCTCGAAGCCCTGGCCGGTGCTGTTGGTGACATTGAGGCCGAGGTAGCTCAGGTCACTGAAGGATGACGCGGCGATGCTTTGAATATCCTTGGCGCTGGCGGAATAGAATCCGTAGTTGGCTACGGATGAGTAAAAGTTCCCTTCGGGGCATTGGCATGGCTGGACAACAGGACCGCATGCTGGTAAAGCACTAGATGTTGAAGAATCCTGCTTTGTGTTGGAAGGATACGAATGACCAGGGCTGGCCAATGCGAGAGTTGACAAGACTGCAACGAGATTTAACGAAAACATCTTGGTCAGTTTGTTATGAAGTCAGTTTGATAAAATCAGATGAATGATAATGATGACTAGACGAGATGGCAAAACAAATTGATGATGAGTGAGTGGGATCGAATCTGAATTAGAGATATGAGGAAACTTTATAAATTTTTGAATTGCCGTTTGATATATGCACGGTCCATTCTGGATATTCTCGAGAACTCTCTTTTGGTAGTGTTCTTGCTTTGACAAAGTGACTGTTGGGATGCCTTCAGGGTTCGCACTTGGACCAATCAACTGGGGTCATTTGGATTACTCAAACTAGTCAAACTCCGGTAGGTGAAGCGGATTTAACCCTCCAAGTCCGAAACAAAAGGCACAAGCGGCCTCCACCTAGAGCGAGCTAGAGCTGCAGCTGTCATCATTTCTCGGGCCCCGTTTTCACCTGCAACTGTCATCAACAATACTCAAGGATTTGCCTCATCTGCAGCTGTCATCATTCACCCCGGCCCAACCTGTATTCAGCCCAGAGTCATGGCGGTTATGGGGCAGCAATCTCTCCGGATAGCTCTGGACTCGTTGCCGGCGCACGTGGTTGAACTAGATGACTGGAAGGGAGTCAAGGCGCGGGAAGAGAGGCGACGGATTCAGAATCGGGTGAACCAGAGGGCTGCGAGTAGGAAAACCAGCATGCACCGCGCGATTGGACTTGATGAACTCACAGAAAATCGCAGGAAATCGTAAGAGGGCTGGCGCAAAGCATGACAAGCTGGAGTCTTCTCATCGTGGCCCCAAGCCCTTGAGCAACCAAACGCCCTCCAGGGCTTTAACCAGAGCAGAATCAAGCCCTTCCATGCTCAAACACCAAGGCCCCGATTTCTGGCAAATGTTCTACGCCGCCATGAACTCAGTCCCGGACGACCGCTCTAGACTCATCAACTTTGTTCAAAATATCGTATTCCACTCAGAGGACATCCAGAAGGACGTCAGAAATTTCGAAAACTGGATGTGCCTGTTAATTGGCTCACCCGGCAGAGACTGCCTGTTCACCCTGATACAATTCAACGTCTTCCGATCCATGGTGAGCAACGAGAGAGACCTGGGTCTCCCAGAAGCGTGCGCACTGGACGACGATTCTATCTCGCCAATTTCCGATGCAAGCTACGTAGAGCAGGACATGCCGCCCTCATTACGGCCGACGTTGCTACAGCGGACGGTGACACATCATCCGTGGATCGACCTCTTGCCGTTCCCCAATATGCGGGACAACCTGCTCATGGCGGATGACCAATATGATGAGTTGGCGCTCTGTACGGCAATACTAGGTTGCAACACAGACTCGGGCGGCAAAACCGGGATGATCGTCTGGGGGGAGGCCTGGAATCCCGCGGGGTGGGAGTTCACCGAGGAATTCATCTGTCAGTGGGCGTGGACCCTGAAAGGGTGCGACGAGTTCTTGGCGTCGACGAATTCCTGGCGGCAGCGGAGGGGGAAAGGGGCTCTCAAGTTTGAATAAACAGGGTTTAATGGTATCTTTGCTGGTGTAATCATTCTGTTGTGTCCGACTTAACTCCAGACAAGACCGGCCCATGGCGTAGGTACCCGAAACTGGCTGACACTCGCATGAGACGGCTGGTTTTTCAAGATTCATCTTGCTGACACTTGCATAAGAAGGCCAACTTTTCAAGATTGACCTTGCTGACCTTTGCATGATCAGTTACCTTTAAGGTTAGCTGGTTTGGTGAGTGCTCCCTGGAGGCCGAAAAGTGGCTCCGTCTGACATCCACCACGAATGCTACCACGCTGACACTTGCATTAGCGCACGATCTGTACTCTATGAATCTGTGCGTATGACGGATTGACGGTGGCTTCTAAGCAAACGTAAAGAGCAGAGACGAATCGTGGCGTCTGCCTTCCATGGCGATGGAAAGTGTATATAATGGCCTGCATCTCTTCGATAAACCGAAACACTTAGACACTACTCACTCACAACAATTCACTGACATCAACATCTCAATACAATACCTGAAGCCCTTCGCAACTAAGATCCACCCAACTACATTCACCAAACATGGCCTCAAGATACGCTCAAGTACACCAGTCCCCCAAAGGAGCCGGTGATGCTCGACCCACCGCTCTGCAGATTATCAAAGACGAACAACTTGAGAACAAGTTTGTCGGCAAGAACATTCTCATCACCGGATGTTCATCTGGTATAGGACTGGAGACAGCTCGAGCTCTTTTCGCAACAGGAGCGACGCTTTACCTCACGGCTCGAGACGTCCCCAAGGCAGAATCAGAACTCGCCAGCTTGAAAGAGTCTGGTCGTGTTCACTTCCTCGAGCTTGATCTCAATTCTCTAGACAGCGTTCGCACATGCGCTAGCAAGTTCCTCTCCCAAACTGATCACCTACACCTATTCATCGCCAATGCCGGAGTCATGGCTTGCCCAGAAAGCCACACCAAGGACGGATTTGAGACTCAGTTTGGAGTGAACCACCTTGCGCACTTTTTGCTCTTCAACCTGCTCAAGGATGCCCTCCTCCGCTCGGCCACACCTGAACTCAACTCTCGCGCTGTCTTCCTCACCAGCGTGGGCCACCGCATGGCAACCGTCAACTTTGACAACCTCAACCTGGAGGGCGCCTACAACGAATGGGCCGCCTACGGACAGAGCAAGACAGCCGTGATCTGGACCGCCAACGAGATCGATCGCCAATTCAAGTCCAAGGGGCTCCGCGCCACGTCCGTCATGCCGGGAGGCATCAACACTGGACTGCAGAAGCACATGTCCGACGACGCCATGCAGATGTTTGCAGGCGACGAAGTACAGGCGGCTTGGAAGACCCCGGAACAGGGCGCTGCAACCACCGTGTGGGCGGCCACTGCGAAGGCACTTGAGAACGAAGGAGGAATATATCTCGAGAACTGTCAAATTGGACACCCGTGGGAGGAGAAAAACGGGCAGTTGGGGGATGGATATGCACCATGGGCCTATGACGAGGCTGGTGAAGCCAAGTTGTGGAAGGTCTCACTTGGTCTGGTTGGATTGCAGAGCAAGGAATAAGCTGTTAGTAAGGGTAATTGGTATTTGTTTGTATTAAAGCTAGCTGCGTGGAAGTGTATGAAGATCAAGTAATTCACATTTCTCTCTCATATTATAATTTCTCCGACTTTCCACTACTGTCTTGGAATTCAACTCCCGCAACCCAGACCCTGGCAATATCCATTGTGTTCACAATGTCATCCAAAGGATTGCTGTTTAGTAGCACCAAGTCCGCTCTTTTCCCATGCTCAATTGCTCCACGATCCTCCAGTCTATGATACAGGGCTGGCACCACAGTCGCAGCTCGAAGAGATTCCAATGGTGACAGACCAGCAACCACCAGATTCTGGAGCTCCCAGTGCAGCGTCGAGCCAAACGGAACACTTATCATCGGTGTGACGACACCGACCGCATCTGTACCGGCAAGCAGTGGCACTCCTGCTTTGTGCAAGAGTCTGACGTTGCTGACCACGGCCTCATATGTGATGTTACCCGCCCCATTCGGACGAAGAAAGTTGAGAATGAGGGGATTTTCAAAGGCTTGCTTAAAGATGTTCATTGTCGGTGTGACAAATTGTCTGTTCTTCAGTATCTGGTCGATGATGCATCGCGAGAGAGGCCCATCAGCAGCCATGTGCTGGAGGCCATCAGTCTTGGCACATACGGCCCAGGCAAATGCTTCTCTGGTGGTGGCGTGTGTCATGGCCTGACGCCCTACTTTATGGGTTTCGTGGATTAATCCATTCAGGACATCCTGCGTGGGACCATCGTCATTGATTGCGACTTTGAAAACATCGGAACCGTTGTTGAAGACATTGGCGATGATTGTGGCTTCGTCCAGATCAGGGAACGGCACACCTGTCTGCGGCAGATTGGAACTGGAGTTGCCAGCTCCTGTGAAGGCGGTGCCCGCGAAGATGATTGAAGTGAGGTCTGTTTGGTTGCGGAAAGCGTGGCATGCTTCGTAGCTTTGGCAAGACATGTGGACGCCAGTAGTGACTCCATAGGATGCCAGAAGCTCCAGATCAGAAACCCTGGAGATATGCAGGTGGCTGTCAATGAGGCCAGGGATAAGAAACTTCCCCGTGCCGTCGACGGTGACTTCCGGCTTCTCAGGGTGGAAAGGGCCAGGAGAAATTGTCTCCCCGTGGAACGAGATGTCCAGCGGGTCGGTCATCCGCCATCCATCGAAGATGCGCACGTTTTTAATCACTGTCGGGAGCTTCTTTCCAGGCAACACAGAACGGCGGGCGAGATCCGAAGATGGTACCGGCGCGATGTCATGGAGGGAGCAGGCCTGGATGGTAACAGAATAGCCACAAAGGCTTATGAGGATCTTGGGCGGCAACATGTCTAAGATTTGATTTATTTCAAGGTGTTGCCTAAAGCTACTTCTAAATACAAGGTGAACCGTCGGATATTTATACTTGATGTTTAGCAAAATATGGAACATCACTTCACCTAGTTGCGTCGTATAGTTTTGTCTTCCGTCCCGGGATGCTCGTACGCTAATTCTTGAAAGGAAGTTTCAATCTGCGAGTCAATGCTCATGTGGTAAGCAAAAGCCTTACCATGGCCCAATATAAAGGAGGAATCGGCGGAGTCTTCGGGCTTCACGTAGAGGATAAAGACATCCCTGGGATAGCATGAGCGGGAGATAGCAGGGATGGTCGTACACTAAACTAAATCAAGCGATAGGTGTGGCATCCTCGGTCCAAATGTCATGTATATCCAATTCTCTGACTCTGACATCTATTCCTCCCCATCTTTCATTCCATCACCAGTCTGTAGCTGAGGGTGAGTTCTATACACCGCGTACATGGACGCCCAGCAAACCCGCCGGACATCCAAATCACGATCAACTCTGGGCAATGGCCGGTGGCTCGAGAGTGTCACATGCCAAGACACGAAACGCGTGCGGGAGATGCAAACAACGGCGGGTTCGCTGTAACGGCCAAGGCCCCATTTGCAATCATTGTCATCGACGCGCTGAATACTGCGACTACCAAGATAAATCACACCAGTCAAGCACTTCCGTACCTCTGGGTCGATCCGTGCCTCCGCCGATCGTTGGCTCCCTTGTCCGACTTCCCATCCCGGCTACGCTCGGTGTTCCTGGCATAGCCCTCTGCCTCTTCGAGAGCGAACTCCCTCTCTGGAACACCATGTTGCCCCATGAGCTTACCAATCATGTGTTCCTGCAACACATGATGGCGTCTCTTGATGCCCTTGCCCATGACGCCAAGCAACGGTCATTTTTCCATCAGGTCGAGAGCTCGCGTCAGTTTCGCAGAGTCGTTCCCATCGTTACAGAAACTAACTGGCTTGCCTCCATGATCTTCGGCATCGGGCTGATGTCGTTTCACTTCCAAACAGCTCGAATAATGCAGCCCGAATCCAACAACCCCGATCCCTTCAAAGCGCTACTCGTCCTGCGTTACTCGGCTCCGTTGGCAAAAGCAATCGGACCATGGTTTATGAATAGTATGCTTCCGTCCATGATCCGCCGCAATAATGAAGCTTCATTACCCCTTGATGAGAGAGACGACATGGCCATTCTCAACCTCCATACGCTTCTAGATGGGGATATTCTTAGTTTGTCGACCAACGCGCACGCCGTATGCGAGCATGCTATTCATGCTTTGTACCAATGGCTGTTTGTCACTTCTGGGCGGCCTCGGACATGGCGCGACTTCATCGAGTGGCCAGCAGCTATTAGCGATGAGTTTCTAGTTCTCGCGCAACAACAGAAGCATCCGGCCGCTGTGATTATCCTCATACACTGGTGTGCCGTGATGAGCAACGCGCCTAAGACTTGGTTTATGGGCGGTTGGGCTGTCGCGGCAGCGTTACAGGCCATGTCGTGGCTGGACGAGTCTTGGAGACAGAGCCCTGGAATGGTCTGGGCAAGGGAAAAGTTAATGATCTAGCATAAAGATGAATGCCGAAGTTTCAAATTACGGACACCACATCCAAGTTGTACTAAACCCCTAATGACAAACTCCAGTCTAGATCAAACCTACAAATCAGTGTATAATGCCACATCATACTCGTTCAGTAGCGATATCCCCCACCCCACGGAGCAAATTGATCACCCTTCTCGCTTCGCCCTCGAGCTCTTTGCACAGAAGTTCCAAGCGGCGAGACTCTTCGGATCGAGAACACCGTCTCTGATCCGCCGCCAGAGCCTCCAAAAGGCGTATGAATGGCTGGACAAGCTCGAGGTCGGTTTGCGCATCCGGCGAAAGAGGATTCTGGGACACATGTACAAGGAGGCTGGAAGCCGCAGCAAAGAGTGGATGAATAAGAATCCTGCAGCAGGTCAGAAAATCAAAGCCCAATGTCGTTAAGGTAGCGTTGAAAACCTACCAAACGCAGTCGTAGCCCCTTGGAGGAGCAAATTCAAGGAAGGACAGAGCCTTTCGGGATTCCCAGATGCATGTTCCCTGGGAGCTCAATGCTACTTCATAAGAGTCCCAGGGCGTGAGTTGTGCTGTGGGAGGTAAGTGCGGGTCGACCAACGTCAAGCAATAAACATAAGTGAACCGGAGGACAAATCTTTGCATCAAATAATCGCCCCCTTGCTCTTTCCAAAATGATGTAGGCAAATCAAACAACTCGGCATCAATTGCGGACCTCCAGAATGACAACAGCGAGCAAAGCTCTTGAGCGGCAGCAGCTCTATGCGACGCAGATTGCCGAGAGGCATGAATCGAATACAGCTTCTTGTAGATTTGCCCCTGTATAACCGCCAGCGAGATCCTAGATTTCAGTATGGTCAGGTGGCAGCCGTTTGAGAGTTGAAGATTTTGAGGGCCCGCTCCCGTTGGCAGTGGGACATCCATTTCATCGTCGTCTTGAGCTGGGGCCTGTCTCCTTCGGAGGCTTATGTCCTTGTCAAAGATGTAGGCGATCCAGAACACGCGCCTTTGCTGTTCTCGTTGCCTTTCGTTGATAGTGTCGTTTGGTACGTAGCCTCTGTGCATGTTCATGCTTTGCGCTAGTCGTATGGCTGTAGATATGAGGACCAGGGATGGGCCAGGGTTCGGCGTGCCTTGAAGTACGATGGCTATCCCGACAAGGCCCTGAATGGCAGGGAGGCTGCCGGAAGTAATACTCAGCTGTGCAACGACGCTGAGTGCATTGTGAATATAACCACAAGCCCGCATGTTGTCATAGGATGGATCTAGACTGCGCCGGCCACGAAAACGATGTGACAGTATAAGCACAACATTGATACAGGCCCACCAGGTAGGGTAGTCCGGGCTCGATCTCCAATACTTCGTGTGGAACTCATTCATAAAATCTTCCTCGTCAAATAAAGGGAATATCGGGTTGAAGTTCTGGAATGTTTCCCTGACCATCTCCAAGGCCATGGGTTTTGGAGGAAGCTCCTGAAGAGCGGGCATGGAAAACGGACCGAGATTAGGAATGAGATATTTGCTATATTGGGCCCTGCTCACTATTTCTTCTGGGTAGTGTACCGACGGGGCATCATTTAGGGGAGCCGCGGAGCCGCCCAAAGATGGTGAAGTATTGGGAAAACGAGTACCAGCTTCCGTGTGACTCTTAACGCGGCTATCAGAACTCAAGCCCCTAGATGCCGTTCTGGGTGCTACAGGGCCATCTGATATGCTGAATTCGGCGCTGGGTAGTGTCGTCGATGAGTCGTCGCGCATCAAGAGAGACTCCATCTTCTTGAGCCTTTCTTCCAGCTCGGAAATGTATCTGTATCTGCTCCTTATTCAGCAAGGCAAGGCTGCAAGTTGGGCCTGGAGGTACTGACCCGGCAGGCCTGCGCGGTTTCTTCTTCTCTTTGATAGGTGTAAAGTGGCACTCGGTTGCCAACTTTGTGCATTGCGCGCAGCCTTGCTCGGTAGGCACACATCGGATCTTCTTTGTGCGACACCTGTCGCAAGACTTCCTGCCGGTTAGATCAGGTCTGTAGACAACGGGGGCGCTCGGCTAGCTCACTCCCAGTATCACACTCCGCTCCCTCTGCTCTCCGCTCGTTTGTGCTAAGGATGAAGTTGGACTTGAGTTCATTATCAGTGAATGTGAAGCCGAAGTTATGCGGAGCGATTTATGATATGTCGTCGTAACATTAAATGGTCTAGGTATCAATAGATACTGCCAGCGACGACCTTGGAACCAATCCTTCTTTCTCCTATTTCCTGGGTTTGTACGGAGACAACGGCGTTGATTGATTGTGATCGCGTAAGCTCCTTGAATCACGTGACACCCAATATCCATTACTCCATGACGATGCTGTTCAAAGCCCATACGGCATGATGGCATAAAATCACATAGAATAGATATTTGAGTACTAAAATATAAAGAAATCGAATGATAACTAGTTTCTTCCGGATCTGACTTCTCAATGGGTAGCAAATGCGTACAGGGTTGATTGTATATTCACTGTCTATTCAAGCTCGCGCAACCATCTGGTCGCACTTCAATCATCGCTTAAGTTGAGGGGAGGTAGAAAAAGCTTTGTGGCACGGCATATGATTCACATGTACCGTATCTAGAGCAGCACATGTTTATGAATGCCATAGTTGCTAGAAATATATTTTTTTACAAAGTCGACTTAAAAAGAAACCATGATATAGGGTAGGAGGTGGCAAAGGACGGCCCCACTCGAAACGGACCGTCCGGACCTTCCGAATGGTCCGAGAATATTCACCGTCTCATGTAAGCAGCCGTCCAACGTCTATGGCGTCACTCGAGAAGCCATCTCGGATAAGAAGCAATTAGATAGCAAGTGATTGGATCGGTAGTCAGTTCGAATCGGTGTGTAACAATGTATAAGTCAAATAAAATACCAATCGTATAATATATCGAGAATCCTGAGGTCTCCAAGGGAGATTTGAGTGGTCCCAAGGACCAGCTATTTTGGGCAAGGGTCGTAGCTCCTGTCCAAATATATCTACCTAATGGCCACGAACACAAGATTCAAGGCTGTCTTGGAGTGAATCCCAGCCGGATGTCCCAAAATATTCTTTGAGCAGCGCTTCAGCTCGGGGAGCAGGAACCACCTCAGTCAAATCGTGGCCTTCGTTCTGCGGCGGATCGGGGATCTTCTTGTTTTCGGGGTCCATAGCTCGGAATCTCCCAATCACTTCGGTAAGGTTAAATGCTGCAGCAAATGCAAATAACCTCTGGTTCTCGACGGCAGGCGCTAGAAGTCCAATGACATGCAGGCGAGCCACGTCTGTGACACTCACATAATACTCTGCATTATCACATGTCAGCGTCATCTGTCACCTCATTATTGGAAGATCCCTCCAGTTCACTAACGAGGAATGAAAATAGAAAAGATGTCCCTGTGGCCATCGAGTAATTTTCGGGTCCAGCCGCTTGTCGATCCTGGTATTTCAGGGCTCAAGTTCTCCCCGATCTGGATGGACATGAGAGTTAGTCTCATGAGCTTCTTCATCATTGGTGAATTAACACTTACGGTATAGTTAGGCAACACTGTATTGAAGGTAAAGCCGGGCTTGTTCTTCTCCACCCACTTCCACGCTGCTCGCTCAGACTCTGTCTTTGACGCAGCATATATAGCATATCCCTTCCCTTCTTCAGGAGTTTGAGGGTCCCATGCTGCCTTGACGGCTTCATCGTTCCAGGTATTCTCATCCACACGGACACCGGCTTGGTTGGATTTTGGTATGATGACTGCTGAGCTCGATGAAGTCAACACGAAGCGTTTGACAGAATCGTGTCGCTTGACAACCGCAAGAATGGTCTCGATGAATTTGACTGCTCTGCCGATGACAGCTGCAGGGTCGAGCCCAAAACTGACATCACTGGCCTGCAATGAAGGCGTCTGGTTAACTCTCAGACTGCACCATATTGCCATATTTAATGCTTAACACTCACAACATGAACCACACCAGATACACCTTGCATGGCGGCATCTATGGGACCCTCTTCCTCTAGAGATGGGATAACCACGCTTTCAAAGGAGTTGGGTCCATATTTCTGTTGAAACAACTCGTCTAGCCACGGTTTCTTCGCCCGAATGGTACCTCTCACTCTAAAACCTAGTTGGAGCAGGAGGTTGATGATGTGGGACGCAATGAAGCCATTTCCACCTGTAACGAGGATGAGTGAGCCCTTTGGAAGTGCGTTCAGTTTGATACTTGGATCTGCCATGGTTGATCAGTTGAATTGTTGTTTTCTTTTGAATAAGATGTGAGAGAGGGGTGATAACACTTTCTGCCAAGGCATAAAGGGCAGTCTTAAATAATAAGATGCCTTTTGTTAAGTTAGACTGAAATAATATGGATATTGATTGTGTTACTGCTTGGTAATCTGGGCGCAAATTGATGTACTCCGAGTTGAAACAAATTATTTCTAATCCTCGTATTGCTTTATGCCAGCGCACTATAAATATCAAGGTCCGACCAACTCCCGCGGCTTTGGAATAGAGAATGACGAGTTGGTAAGCGGCAGCACGCCTCGATTATCACCGCTTCACCATTTGGCAAGATGCGGATCCTTGATAATCTGCTTAATTATCCCTTTCGCGTTCGAACCATCGGAGCGGAGCGGAGACTTCGCTTACGCGACGCGGAGCATTCGGATGGACCGTGGCTGCCGGCCCGGACACTCATCACCTGAACCGACGATTTGATAAGCTGGTCGTTAAGAACTAACTTCTGCACATGATAGAGGGTCTTAATAGGGTAATCTAGTATGCAACGGTTCATTTTTGCAAGAGATAAATATATGGAAGATGCCAGAGCCCGACATCAACACAATGAATACGTCTACTACAGGATATTCCACTTCTTTAGACATTAGTAAACTATTTGCCTACACTCAATGTCTAGGTAGTTGGAGTCAAAACGGCTTCGATTGACTTTCCAAATGTTCATTCCTGTCCTCCGGGGAGAGAGAGACGTTTCCTTGGCCCATCACAGACATCCACACCACCATCCACCGACCAAGTGCCGTCTTTGAACCAACGCACGATGGAATATGTTGTATTTCTGCACTTTCGCAGCGTATGACGTGAATACCTCCCGACTGACCAATCAATATCCAGCCTGCGCCTCTTGGCCTGCGCATAAAGAAACCCTTTAACGTCTTTATGGGTGTAGTCTAGGGCATGCTCCAGCTCTACAGACCCCTCCTGGGAGAAACATCTTCGTCATGAGTATCATCGTATACTTTCAGCTCGTCAAGAAGCCTCTCGATGGCAGCATGGGCCGTTTCAACCGTATCCTCTCGCACATTTTGTAGGTGAAGCAGACGAAACGTGGTCTTGTTCAGTGAGATACAGACTAGCATGTCGCGGTCGCGTGTCTCGAATCTGAGCTTTTGTCGGCCAATACCGAGAGCCAGTGTATAAGAGACACATACAAATGGCCCAACATCATTGATAGTGATTTCGGGCTTCTTCGGGCGAGCTTTCGGCGGCCATTATGGGCGCCGGGCCACACTCTAATTGTGAGCACGGTAAGAAGTTTGAACTGAACAATGAGGGGAAGGGTAATACGCGTTTTATACATGCTGAGTATGGTGGTTTGATTCCGAGCAGCTGTGGTTACAAGAGAAGTCTTGGCTCAGTAACTTGAGCATAGGTAGCGGAAGCTATGTATCAGTATTGACTTGTGTGCCGTGATATTTTGAGAATTTTTTAAGAGCGCAGCTGAGTAAGCTAGGAAAGATGCATCAAGAGCTAACTGAATAATTACGTATTACCTATCTCGCGCTTATGCAGTTGATGATGTTTCTAGACGCTAGTTTTGAAGAAGGGATAACTCATGGCCACGATAAAAACACCTTCAAAGATCCAAAGCCAAATCAGCACCGTAAATAGCACTAATCAAAGAAACAAAACAAATTCTCCCGCTATGTTCTTTATGAAAATATGCCAAACTTCTCCAAAACCTCTATCGCCTCCTTCCTAAAAAATTCAATATCCAATATCCAAGTAGCGGTCAATGAAATCTATAATTGCAACATATTGAAGAATGCGAACTTGAGAGAACCCCAATGGGTAGTCGAACCCACTTCATGCCCTACTCAAGAGGCTTAGATTTCCAAACTGTGTAGGAAATTCCCGTAGTTGACTTAATGACGACTTCACCGCCCTTCTTGAGCACAATTGTCACCCGAGAGTTGCGATCGTCGTCTCTCAAGATGTGCTGCTTATAGCCGCAAGTCTCGGCCTTGTTCATCAACGGCTTCAACAGCTCTTTGGTGATTTGCTTGACAAGCTTGCTGGCGCCTGGAACCTTCAGCTGCGCCTTTGCGATGGCGGCGGCAATCTTGGGGAGGATCTTGGTGGCTGCCTGCTCCAACTGGTCGATCCAGCATCGACCGTTGTTGGGGTCCGTGTAGATCACCGACTTTCCATCGTCGCCGAGCCAGGTAACAAGCCACCAGTCTCTGCCGGTCGTCAAATCCCCGGTGTGATAGTTGACCGTGACGGCAGGGTCTGACGTTTCACCGTGTGCCAGTTCGGGCCAGTCTTCGCTGTTGACGTAGTTGTCGCTGTACTTGTGTACGAGCCCGACGCCGTAAATGGTCTTTCCAGTTTGGTTCTCGACCACGGCTTGAGCGGTGCGCTTGTTAACAGTCCACGGCCATCTGGCCTCGAGGACTGGGGCAACGCTGGAAACGGTGGAGACGGCTCTTGTGCCGGTAACGAAAGCTGTAGCGCTCCGAGAAACCGCGAGAAGAAGGGTAGAAAGATACTTGGCGTGCATGTTGAGTTAAGTTAAGGGTTTTTCGCAATGGGATAAGTTGCTTTCTGTTGGTTGTGTTGTCGGATGTTTAGATGAAGGTTTGTCTGGACGTCTTTATACTGCATCGTGAAGAACCCGAAAAAATTAGACTGTGCTAAGCCTTGCCCAGAGTATCCATACTGTAGAGGGCTGGACCTTGTCGGGCTGGACGTCGGTGATTCCGTGAGAGTTGGCGGCATGCAACGTTTGAATAAGCTGCATGTTATTCTGGCGAATGGGCGAGGTTCATGTGGGTTAAGATCTCGCGATGTCCCGTTTGGGACGTCTGAGGTCGGCGACGTCGGTTAAAGTCTGACCCTGGTTATACCAACTGGAGCAGTCCGTAGGCTCGGCACGTCAAGTCGGCGATTACCTCAGCCTATAGTCACCTCCTGCGTGGATCTCATAGGCGCATGAAGGCCGACTCTCATTTAAGCCACTCATAGTGCGCTGAGCTCAAAATCTGATTAGCCAAGTCATCTCCTGTGGTCCGATCGGTGGACGCAACATGGCTTAGACCTGGAGCTTCATCAGCCCTAAAGCTACATGAAGCGAGCTGTCTGTTGGAATCGTCCCAACGTAAGGCGTTAAACCGGGATTAGCGCTCCACAGAGCATGAATATTTAGTAAAATTTAGTACAGATGCCTCCCAAGATTTGAATTAGGGTGCCAGAAGCAATCGGCTTGATATATAAGGGGCCAGCTGAGAAGGGGAGTTTTTGTGTGATAGAAACAGAATACACGGGAGAGAGAGTTCGAGCATAAAGTTTAAAACACAATGAAAGATGCAGACCCGACATCTCAACACAATAAATACAACAACGCAATGCACAACATCCATGGATTGAATGCACACACATTAGTGACCTAAATAAGCACTCATTAGGGTAGATTTACGAGTCTATGAGGGCCTATAATTTGGAATTAACATAGCCTCAGTCAATGCCTCTATAGATATCCTATTCCATAGAAAAGTCGCTGTCCGAGGCTATTGAGTCGTCCACCATCTCGGATAATTGATGCTGGGCATCGTGCCACCTCAGGAGCGCCAGAACGTGGCATAGTGCGATTCTTCTTCCTCCGCTTGATTGCAAATTGAACCATTTCGAACTTTCCATATGCACATACGTATCCTTCCCGATGTCCTTTAGAAGCCCCTCCTGCGTCGAGCTGTCGACTGCATCAATATAATCGGCGTAATGAGAACCAAAACGAAAATGGATAAACCGCAGAAAGGTGTTAGCTGCTGCTATAAGGAAAACACTGCGGAACTGATAAGCCGTCAGCAACAGAACATGGAGTTTGAGGGAGGGGTGTAGGAGGGAGGGGTGTAGGAGGGAGGGGTGTAGGAGGGAGGTCTGACTCCTGTCCTACTAATTGCCGAGTAGCCTTCCAAGTAATCACAGCTTCGCCCAGGCACTGAGCGAGTGTGTCATTTGACACGATTGGATGAATCTCTCCTGTTGCATTGTCAATGTGGACATGTTTAAAAGCCCTCTTAGCTTCGAGCAACGCGAGGTACGGGTGCTCTAATGACCACCCGAGGGCCTGCCGCTTCATTCTGCAGATTCCACCGTCATCTTCCGCAGTGACATGGTCTATCCCGTTACCGTACATTTCTGCCCGTTTACGTTCTACCCGAACTCTGACTTCGGTAAGCTCATTAAAGCCTTGCAGGAGGCAGAGATATAAGGAAGAGTGGAGAAAACTCATGGCGAGTTGGACGGTTACTTCCTCAGGCTTACTCCGCCGAGCATCGTACTCATCCTCATCAATATCCTCCATCCCCACCTCGAACTCGGAGGAGGAGGGCCTTGCGGGAGACGACGAGCCGACAATAGCGGTAGTAGAATTCATGTAGTCCGCTCGTTCCACCTCTCTTCTTTCACGCTGAGGATATATTTTTACCTGGTTGAAGATCTCAGGTCGCGATGCGCGAGCAAGTGCTACTCAGAATGATCCATTTTTAAGTCGCATTAAGTCGGATTCCGGGGTCGTAAAGAGATCCAAGGGACAAGGCTCGCAAGTAAAAGCTCTCGTCATTTCATGGTCCACCTGCTGGGGGGAGTCTGCAGAGTTGCAGACTGGGCACTGACTGCTATGATCGGAGTTGAAAGTGTCCAAGTATTCCCTTTCTGGGTTCGTAAGAAGTCGGAAGGCGATCAGATGGCGAAGTGTCCATCTTGGCAGAGCTTGACCGCTCCTGATCGCTAAGCTGTAATGGCGTTCTTATACCCTGTTTTTCTAATAAGCGCTCAAGCTCCTGAGGAGTTCTCGCTGAGAAAACCGCTTGCGCCATGTCATCCTCTTTGTTGGATTCGAAAGAGTACGGCTAATAATGAGTGCTTATTTGGGTCAATAATGTGTGTGTATTCAGCCTGTGGATGTTGGTTGTTGTGATGCTGTCACGGAATAAACCCGGTATCGTATAGGTACGTGCACGTGACATGAGAGAAGGGCACACGTGATCTCCACCTGGCCAGACCGTGCTTCAAGTTGTCAACGGAAGAGAAAGAGAATAGAGTTTAATAACAATGAAGCTGCCAGGGCCCGATAACTCAATACAATAAATACGAAAGCTTAAAAATATAGCCTTTCCTAGTCCGCCCAAGATATAGTTATACAGCAGGAAAATTCTATAAACCTTCATACGGATAACTCACTTGCCGTCAGGACAGCGGCTCGTCGAATGACTATTAAAGCCATCTCTTTCACCTGGCTTCCTTTATTTGTCTTGTATCACGCCAATCCACACACTCCAACCAAGCGCGAATATACCAACCAACCCAGTGAGTACCACTAGCCCCTTGGCCAGAGCACTTACACTGACACATCTGCAGCCTTCAACACATACGATATATCAAAGAACGAGATCCCAGTGCCTTCTCTCGAAGGTAGGAATATTACCTGGCCTAGTATAACAAAGCCCAAGATCCGTACGAATACACATAAGTACATAGGTCGGGCAAAGGCAGTCCCAATCGAACACTCAAGTTGTCAACAAACTCGCGATCTCACGACCATTCATCAAGTACGCTGTCTATCCATCCACTCCAACCACCCTGCAATAATCTCACTGGCATCCACACCAATATCCACATCAACCGGACCGACGCATACTACCGGCAATAAAGTGCGGCCTTCGCTCATATTGAAATCCCAACTGAAGCGAAATGCAGAGGCTGATACCCACGTTCATTTCCTACGGGTATCAAAACGTACTTGCTGTACGCAGCAAGACGATGCATCCACAACGGGCTGCCCTGATCCCCCACCTACCCTACCTGATACTGCCCTCGGTAAGCCCGAAAGGAAGTCAATTTGTGCCATCATGCGGCAGCACTGTCGGAGTCGTTTATATATCCCGCCGATATACTGGACCTCAGAACATCTGAAACTCTTGGGATGTGAATTCTCGTCAAAGGAGGTGCCGCAAAATGAGAGGAGGCGGAGGTCGCCTATTTCGGTTGCATTGCAAGTTTCTGATGATGGCACGGTAGCTGTCGAGAAGATGGATACGACTCTTGGTTATGCAGTCCGCGCAGCTGGGCTTTTGTCTAGACCCTGTGCTATGGAGGGGAGGGTCTCTGCAGTCATATCACTCCTTGCCGCGTGCGGCATTGAACAACGAGAGTAAGGGAACAAATCCTTCTTGTGTACTTGGGCATTGCTAATTCGGCTCGCCCCGCTCCATAACGTACACTTCGCTGCCGTCCCATTTTGACCATCGCATTGTCAGTATCCAAACGGATGGCATTTTTGCCTCCGAATTCGCGACTGCATTTCTTGCCTATATCAATCTGGACGTGCTGCACTCGCTCCGCAGCCAACATATTCGCCAAAAGTTCCTGCCACGTACTAGGGTCCGCGGGAGGCTCAACAGCCCTGTTGCGAGTTTGATACGAAAGAATATCTGCCGTTTAAAGCCCGAAAACGAGATAGAGGATCCGTACATCGTGGCCGTCCTCATTGCCTTGGCGCAGCATCAGTACCGGAGACGGGAGCAGCTCAGAAATAACACTGCTGCTAGTGCTCCATCTCCAGAACAAGAGGATTGCTTTTCAAAACTCTTTAAGGTACGTCCCTCCACTACTATAGGTTGTCATCAGTTGATTGACGCATCATAAGGTTCACCTCCTAGCTGTGCCTGACATCGCCGCGCGCGAACTTTATCTATACGCAGCTCGCATTCCACCAGCGTTCTTGGATAAGTTTGACCAACCCTCAAAATTCTCGCCGAGCAGACCTATCTCAGTTACCTACTACTCTTTGCCCCTTCGAAACGCGAGGAAGCTGCCAAAGAGGCTACTTGACGCTCTACGTGCACCGATTGAGTAGCGTGGTTGCTTCTCAAGCAGAGCCCCTAAGGTAATCTCATTGTCAATGGTGAGAGAAAATACAGCATTAGTAATGCAGAAAGAACGTGGGATAATCATAATATAATATGTGAGAACTTTCATTGCTGTTTTTTGACTTCATACTCGAACTTTCTCACACGCGGGAATTGGGAGGCGAAACACAATTCTCTTCCATCTTCTCGCATACGGAAGAGAAAGGAATAAAGACACCAATGAAGCTGCCAGGGCCCGACAACTCAACTCAATGAATACCATCTTCTCGCATATCGTGCCATTAAGGGCACATCGATTAGAAAGCAATAGGGGAAGCGGAATAAATAAATAATGACCAAAACCTATAAACAGGCTTTGTGAGAAACGCTGGGGATGGCATATTCGTCTAATCGCTGAATGCGAACTGTGTGTCCGGATGGTAGAGAAAGAAATGATCTTTACCGTAGGATAGGTACGCTTCGATTTTAAAGTTGATGAAATTGAGTACGTGTTATGCGAATATATATCCAGGCCAGCCAGTACTATATCTAGCAATAGTATTATTGAAAAGCTCGATTTTTTAGCTTATACTGCAAATTGTATGCCTGATACCACGTTACTGTCGATGTTGTTAATAAAGCTGTGCTTCAGTCGGCAACGTTGTTCTGTTCGCGTAAGATCGACATCCACTACCAGAGAAAATATCAAGCAAATACGTAGGTCTTGGCATCTATTAAGCGGAACTCATGCTCTCATGGTGGGACAGCGCTTGAGAGTTCTGTCTTGGCATTGACAAGTGCATTTCTATTGACGGCCTCTGCTCTAAGCTAAACATGGGTTCACTGGAAAGAAAGAAGAACCCTCCTCTCTTGTTTCTTCGTTTCTGGCTCTCTGTCTCTCTGTCCTTCTCTACTGGCTAGGCGACTACCATCATCAGCAACATATAAGCCGTCGTGAAGATGAAACTAATATTCAGCCTCATTGACTCGGGTCTGTCCCCTTCATACATGAAGAACTCGCCATGGCTCATCATGCCGGGCTTACTCGCCTCCCCTGAGAGGCGTTCCCCATACTCTGATGTGATTCTGACGGTTACGTGCGTAGGGTTAGTGGCCGCTGTTGGTCCCGTCTCTGTATGAGGGCGATGACGATGGTGAATCCCATTGTTGTGGTCATCTTCATCGGTGACAACTTCAAACCTCTCCTGTGTCATGTCTAAATCACAGCACATCAGAAGCAGGGGTGTTGCCAGCATACACGCTATGGCGATCGGCACCAATGTGTAACAGATCAGAGCCATCGCAGCGCTGATGTTGTCGCCGAATATTTGAGCTAACCTTGAGTACGGGGAGAACAATTTGCCATCATTGAGATGCTGATAGGCGTGCTGTAACAATAGAATCCCGATCGCTATGGGCACAATCATTCGAGATCGGTATACTCGACAAAGGACTGTAGATGACCAGACAACGACTGCACGGGCCTCCATGGAGAGCATCATGAGTTCAAAGACGAACCAGAAGAGACCGGATGCAGGATTCTGCCAGAACGAAGAGGACTCATCATTGGCGGGGGCAAGAGCATAGATGTACCTGGTGATCAGAGACAAGAAGCCATAGTATGGGAGCTGAGACGCCAAAGAGCTACGGCGGAGGAAGGGGTTTTTCTGTTCCGCTGAGCCGTCGTACTTGATGCGGAGAAAGAGGTTGTGCCGGAGCCAGGTGCAGTTGTACGAGAATAAATCGTACCCCGGCAAGGTTTTGATCAACTCGTTGCCTGTTATTGTTTTAGTTGAACAAGAAATTAGAATGATGATCGAGACATTGTATCTTGGTGTCGTTGTGCTCGTTGCTAGACTTACCAGTTCGCAGTATCTCCTCCCTTGTCATGTATGTCTACCCAATACGCCGTTCGGAGAGTATAGCTCGCCGAGATATTGCATTTCCGTCTGCGTCGTTATCGTGCTGAGCGTAGCTTTCGTCGTCCTCAACTGCGGAATCAGAGAGCGTTGTGGAATCGGCAAAGAAGTGCATCCAAGTCAGCTCATAGTACCGTCCATCGATTCTTAGTGCTTGGTGGAGCCAGAGCTGTTCGAAGGAGGGCAGCCGGGCATGGCTATCGACCGAGGTACGGAAGATGGCATTTGAGAGGCTTAGGGCGGTCTGAAACCCACCAAGGGACCAGAAGCTGAGTAGGTCGTGGAGTTTCCAGAATATAAGGAGCAACGACATGGAAAGTACGAAGATAAGAAAAAAGATGGGGATGTGATAGTCATTCATAATGCGGTTATAACCTTGAGCGACACTGACTAGCCAGGGCACTCTCCTATTCAGCAGCATCGGTAAGCGCGGAAACCACGTCTTCAAGCCCCGGCGTAACCAGGGCGGTCCAAAGGCCGTGCTGGACACAAGAAAGACATCGTGCAGAGGGCGGGTCTCCACCCTCGCATGTTGGAGTGGGATCCTGCTCTGGCCAGGCTCAAGAGAGTTTGCAGTCACCACGAGACAAGTGGCGACCGTGAAGATGAAGTGTGCAGCTGCAAACCAGGGGATCGAAGAACCGCCCATCTGGATGATCTGCCAAGACATGGGGGCGGAGACGAGACGGAGGTGGAGCAGCAACATAGCGGCGAGCCACATCCAGAAGGGGAGATTGAACCTCCTCGGCCCGTAGAAAGCATAAGTGTTGGCCAAGGAGAGTATCACACCAAGCAGGAAGTCAGGGTAGGGCTGACCCTCGTAGTGGGCGGTTAGACGTTGCGACGTGCTCTTCAATAACTCTACAGGGCTTTGTCCATATCAGCCAACCAGCCAGAAGGACCAAGAGTACGCGATTCTGGACGAGCCATGAGCGCAAGAGCGTTGCCCAGTTGTATCGTATATGTGGGGAGATGCTGATGAACATGCTGCTTTTTTTTCTTTGTGTAATTGTGAGCTAGGGAATCAAGTGATAGGGTTTTTGGTAGCCTATTAGGAAGGTAGATATGGGAGACAGGAAGCAAGGGAATAAGCGGAGGGTTGAAAACACTCCAAGGATCATACCTGTCGGAGCGGGGAACGCGAATTTTGTGAAGAGGCACAAAGAAAGGCCTAACCTTTTTGAAACGTGCGGAATTCGACCCAAATGCTGCCTGACTGAAACATCGATGACCATATTACCAATGGTTAGGCGGATATGACACGTCTAACGGGGCGGTGCATCTCCTGGCCCAATTGTAAGCTGAGACAATGCATGCGAACCACGACACTGCGGCCAGAAGGTGATGAGGCGAAGGGCTTGGCCAGACAGTACATTTTGGTTCTTCTGTTGCCCGCGCGTGATTGTCATTGCGACTTAGCTATAACGCCAACGTTTCGTTTACTTCTTCCTCTGCCTAGAGCCTCTTTCGTCTTGAAAACCTCTTCTCAAACGTATTCACTCCCTTGATCTTGGAATATGTCAGCAGAATCGCCAAATCCTCAGCATCTCCCACCACAGGAGGTCTCTGAGTGTCAATGCCACTGCAATCCCGTTTTTGTGGTCCAAAGTATGGACGAGCCGAGACTACAGGATACGACAACGGCCAGCCGGAAACCCCCGTGGAACCCTCACCAATCTGCCTGGGTGGCATTTTCCTCACCCATAAATGAGTTTTTGAATGAGCCTGATGCCACTGCACGCGATGCGTTGACAAAGAAATGGGTCGAGAATACGGACAAACACTTGAATAGTATCGTTATGACTGTAAGTTTCGAATCTATCGCGCAAACCTACGAGGGAAGGGGAACAGTAGGGACATGAATTAACTGTATTTGGCAGAGTGCAATCATTGGAGGTGTTGTAGCTACGGCGCTGGGCTGGCCCGCGTTTGTTGGTGAGCAAAACACTGAATTGCATCCTTGCGTCAGTGTTGTAAAGGCTTTCTGGTATTGCTCTCTCGCGTTTCTATTCGGCGCAATCGCATCGGCCGGTCAGCAGTTGACAGCCCTTCACCGTCTCGATTGTCACCCAGAGGCTCTTGAGATGATTCGAAGTCTTCTTCGGAAACCGCCACCGCAGAGCAAAGGTCTGCGTAGCCATAACTGGAACACGGCACACCACTTACGAGCTTCGCAGTCGACTCTGTGGCAGACCCCTGTAGCGCTTCTGAATGGTAGTCTCTATCTCTTTGTTGCTGGACTGAGTATCTTCGTATACTGGGACTTGACTACAAGGCTAAGCGCTCCAGTGGTAGTGGTGAGTGGAATGCCATCCTCATTAAAAGAAAGATTAAGTCCCGAATTCGCTAAAAGCACAAATAGGTTCTCGGTGTTCTCTCCTTCACAGTGTGTCTATTCGTCCCGATTATACTTTGGGGCATTAGTTCTGTTGGGTTGTATTACTGGATTGGCCAGTTGGCGGGTCTCTCCTAAAGGTTCTTTCTAGATACGTGGACATGATCAACGACATGACTTACTTCTCTGTTAGCACGAAGGCCCGTTTCGATCATTACTCAGGTATAGATTGACTCGCGCTGCCGTGGGCTGAATTACCATCTCCCGGCAGCGTCAATGTCCCTGGTACGAGCCTGGTACGAGGAGTGATTGGTAGCAGAATGTCATATAGCTCGCGCTTGTACTTGGTGATAGAATTAGCCTGCTAGTACTGCGTGACCAAGGCGAGTGACTCGCTTTATCTGGATCTGGCCTTACGAGTGGGATGAACAAATGGTGCGCGAACCATGCCTTGGATTGTGCCACAATCAGTTACATTAGGGGAATGAAATAGGGTGTGGTATTATAAAATCAGCGCCGGTGCATTGATTTAGCCTTGGAGTAACTGAGACATGGCTGGAAGCACAGCTCCAAACGCAGCATTGCTGCCCAATTGCATTTGTTGTATAAAGTGACGCATGTAATCAGCTGAAAACTATGACGCTGACGGCCAGTTCCAGCTGCTCTTTGATTTATCACCATTGTTCTCTTATTCTAACAGCCACCCTGCGGCTGATCAATACAACAACATGCGATTTTTCCGAGTTCTACGGCAGCGACGTGCCTCCTTATGCCATACTGAGCCACACCTGGGAGTCACAGGAAATTTCGCATCGACAAGACCAGCTCGGCCGAGCTGACCGAGGCCATCAATTCAATGTTTGCCTGGTATCGCGACTCGAAAGTATGCTATGTGTACATGGCCGGTGTCCCGTGCATCTCGCAGGATGACAGACAGTTCGGCAGCAGCAGATGGTTCACACGTGGCTGGACCCTCCAGGAGCTTCTGGCCCCGACAAACGTTGTCTTCTATGATCAGTCATGGTCAATGATTGGCAGCAAGGATATCTTGCTTCTGTGTGCCATATCCCAGATCACCGGAATTGATAAGAAATTCTTGAACGGAATATCTCATCTGAGGGAGGCGAGCGTTGCTAAAAAGATGTCTTGGCTGGCGCACCGGAAGACAACACGGACTGAGGATATCGCGTATTGTGTAATGGGAATCTTCGAAATCAACATGCCCCTACTCTATGGGGAAGGGGAAAAAGCCTTCACCAGACTCCAGGAGGAAATTATGCGAGTTTGCAATGATCACACCATTTTCTGTTGGGAATGGGACAACAGTGTCCCTGAAGATTGGGGCGGTATGCTGGCTCCATCACCGCTTGTTTTCAGGCACTCAGCCAACTTTGTACCATTGAATCACGGTGAAATGGAGCCATATTCCATGACAAACCTCGGTCTCTCGATAAGGTTGCCGGTCATCTTCACATTCTCGAGCGATTTGTTCGTCATCCTCGAAGCTATCAAGTTTCCGGCAACCACTGCCAAGTTTGCCTGCATCCGCATTAGATGCCCCAAACGTGGTATTGTCACAGTTGACAGGGTTTCATTTCCCCCTGAGCCAATGCTTTTTAAATTGAACGTCGTCAGGCCGCGGCGCAGCCTATTTGCACGAACAGCAAATTCGCCTCACTTTAGGATATATGCCGAGCCCCCGATTGAATCTCGGTTTGGACTGCTCCTCGTCATTGATTGTCTGGATTTTGTACATCCTAACCCCATAACGACGGAATCGATGATCGAAACTATCGTGAATACTTGGCCTCCTGGCGTTTTTGATGAGTCAAGGAATCTACTTATTATACCACCATCTACCGACTCCAAGTCCCGGTGGTATGAAGTAATGATGGAGGTTTCATTTATAAGCATGCGTGAAAATGGACGTGAAGTTAAACAAGTGTGTTATTTGTTCTTTGTGGTGGATGTATCTGATCGTCCGATCTGGTACTGTTATATTAAAACTGGGCGCCTTCTATTGACAGGGTTAGATGGCATTTCGAGTGATGACAACAGCAGACACCAAGTATTTCGACGTTTAGAAAAGGAGAGTAAAGACTGGTGGGACAATCAGAGCAACCGGGAGCAACATGAATCGCGGGATGGTTGGCGTCTAAATATCGAGGAATGTCTGAACTTATCTATTAATATGGAAGTCAGGCGAGCTACGCTAACTGTAGGGCCAGACATAGGCATTAGCCTGAGCATGTGAGTAAGGCCAATGGGTGAGGCAATGAGAAACTCACACCTTGCTACGACCGGAGCGGTATGGTCAACGCATGTCTGCCCGATTATGATGCGTTAGGCACTTAGCATGGGACTTTGTTGGCTAAATGCAATTTCTTACTTTATCACTAATTACTGATATTCGGCCTCTTGTAACTGGCCACAAGAGAAAAAGCCTTGAAGGCGCAGTCTTTCTGCCTACCTACACGCTGAAGTACTGGCGCAGATAGCCAAAATATAATCACCACTAGACTGGCGATACTGACGTAAACAAAGCTGTCTCATTTTATTCGCCAACTGCCTAAGGACAGTCATCAGTTTGATAAATACGCAACTAGACACAGCGTCAGCAGCTATGACGCAGACTATCCCTAAAGGGAACCACCATGCTTTATTAATCGGCGTCAACGCCTACACAGAGAGGCCGCTTCAGGGCAGCGCCCATGATGTGCGATGTATCAAGGCCATTTTCGAAGACAAAGTCAATGCGGCCAATGTCCAGCTTCTCACGGCTACATTGGGAGATGGCAACAAGCCATTTGTTGAAAACAGGGAGGCTCTACCGACTGAGAGCAACATCGTCGCCGCGTTCAACAATATTATTCGAGATGTAACGGCAGGAGACTATGTGTACATCCATTACTCTGGCCATGGCACGATTGTGAGGCCCAGCGTGGACCCTGAAAATGTGGTATCGAACCAATTTGCCGGAGACTTGGCGCTTGCTTTACTGCACGATCAGAACCCCATGAAGGTTCAGATCCTGCCAGGCAAGAGTCTAGCCGAGCTCTTGAATTGCATGATAGACCATGGGCTCATTCTGACAATTGTTCTGGTCTGCCATTTTTTCGCAGCCGTCTATCGTGACGATGATGAGCCTCTTAGTCAGACGAAGCTGCTCAGTATTCGATGTCTTGAGCTTGTCGAAGCCTCTAACCAAGACCCTGCCTATGTTGAAGACTACACCGCAGCCCTTGGTTCCGTGTCCGAATACCGGGACGCTGATATGCTTTCGAATTGGATGCTCGATCCATCCAAGTACTCCATGCTCGTCGCTGTCGACCCTGCGAGATAGCAAAAGAGGTCATGGCAGGCGGACAGAGGCTCGGCAAGCTGCCTTACTTTATCCGAGAGGTATTTCGTGGAGAAAGAGGTCTAGGGATCAAGCAAAGGGATCTTTATCGCCTTCTTTGCAGAATTCAAGGAACCGGAAGAAAGACAAACCCCTTGCCTGTTACGGAACAAAGAGTTAGGTTGCTTCGGACAGAACATGGGCCCTACTGTGGGCAATGACGCTTTGCAGCATAGAAAGTTGTCCGTTGTCAGAGATCCGCATGATGCGAAGCGAATCATACTTCAAGCGGGGCAGGCTCACGGAATACGCCTACGGTAGGCGATGAGTTTGTTCTCTGCAAGTCCCAGTCTAACCCCGCCACTTCCAGAGATGGCTTCACAAGTCAGCTATTTTGTCTGCTGATGAAACATATGCGGTCACCTCTATCCTAAAAAGCAAAGCATCCCAACTGCACAGAAAGGTACCTGTTCCAGAATGGAAAATGTGATACCAGGATGACAGTGATGCCAAGCATGAGGCTGTGTCTGGAAGAATTCCCCGTGCTCCTCGACGCGTCTTTGTCTAGAGAACAAGACGTATGGCACGAAGCATTATCATTCCATTTTCTTAAAGTTTTCGACTCTGGTAGCGCAGTTCCATATCGCTTCCACATTTAAATCACGAGGGATGAGGCGGAGAAGCCTCGCAGACTCCAACTACTCGATAGCCACGGCCAGGAGTATATTAATATACCACCAATGATGATAATCGAAAAGATATCAGAGATGTTGCCTTTATTGTTCAACATTTGGCAAAGCACCATTTTGTCAAGACCTTGTGCTACCCTCTACCCTCACGAGATGAGTCATGGTACACCTGACGAGAGTCTTTTGCTGTGTTCATAGAGACAGAAAAGCGGCAATATGCGCTACGAACCGGAACAGTGCATAGAGGTTGAAGACCAACCTAGGGGCAAGCGAACAGCAATCGATATTAGACTCCGAAATAACGGATCCAGCGACCTCTACGTCTATATCTTCAATATCGGCCCTAAATAGGAAGTAGAGCACATCCATTACGCTACCTTTGAAATTCTCTTTTCCGAGTCAAGGCGTGTTGCGAATGCCGGGTTCCAGAGATATATGAGCAAGAAGTTACGGACGACAGTACCAGATGCGATCAGGAAGAGCGGCTAGCAGTATTGCGATAATACCATCCAGGTCATCGTAACCTCCTACTGGACGAGCTTCGACATCTTTGAGCAGCCGGCCGTCGGTGTCCTCCAGGAGTTTGTATCTCAGTCGCACTGTGAACGATCCGTGAATCTCGGCGATGAGAAATGGGCTGAAATTTGACTTTCCGGTTCGGACAAAGATCATAGTTGAAGGCGCAGCCTCACAAGCACAGACATCAATCTCACTACTTACGAAGCTCTGCGGCGTATCTTGATGTTAAGTGAAGACCAGTGACCCGAAAAAGCACATGGGAGATATCTCCGGCATTCTAAGCTCAATCCTTAGTCTCTCAAACGCTCTTATAGAGAGGAACAAGCCCCAGTCATCCCATAAGACAAACCTTCCAACATCCTGTGGAATCAACTCTAGTCTTAAATAGCTACTAAGTGCGGATTTGGTGCATTCGTCCAGGATCGTAGGGACGGACATGGCAATATAGCGGTCAATAATTATAGTCGTAGACGTCACTGGCCGCTCTATACTTGCTATTGATCCATTTCTAGACCCGACCGAGCATGATCTATTGGGATCTGCACACTCCGGTTTGCGCCTTCACTGAGCTAATTGAACAAGCGCCGCCCTACCGCAGTAGATCTTGGGCGATCCAGAATTCCAGACTTTTGAATCTTACTAAAAGCTAGTGCTGCATCAGTGTCATACTGGTGTGGTTCTTACTGCAATGGTTAATTAATAACTTGGCCGTTTATCGCGTTGTTGAGATTCAAACTCTCTTCACCCAAACCTTCTCAGTATCAGCGAAGATGTTGGCACGTGGCCTGCTTCTCCTCTCCTTGTACGCCGAGTTTGGCGTCTGCGTCCAAGCGCAGGGCTCGATCTTCTCGAGTGGCATCTTCCCAGCCCTCAAGCAAACCCTGGGCTCGCATCCCGAAGTCCTGGCCTACTGTCAGGCTCACTACCCAGTAGCCTCGGCACTGTTTTCAAACGCAATGCCAAATCCAAATGCCCGCCGAAGCCCAACCCATCAACTACTACCGCACGACAACAGCCGGGCTCGACAGCAACGAGCAGGCCTGGCAATAAGCTGGATGAACTTCTTGCATTGGCTCCACATTTGATCCAAGCTGCTTGCTCATGTATCCAAGGACAAGCCACTGTGACTGTAAGCTACTCGTGTATTCCTGCTTGGAATGCACTATCCTAATATCTCCCAGGTGCGATCGTCGACTGCTCTACCACCTACAATAAGTTCGACCTCAGTTTCATCCCCGGAATTCTCTTCTCCATCTACAACTGCCGTCCCATCTACAAACACAGCAATAACAACATCCTCCACTTCGACTTCAGATGCGGCCCCTGCACATACTGTAGCTGCTCCACGTTGCAACAGCTCGGTGTACACAAACGGAGGCTGCAACGATGCATGCGTTTGTCAGAGTGACGTTGACGGAACAGAATACTGCTCATCCCAATTTAGCTTTGAGGACTCATCAATACAGTGCGCTTCTAGCGCTGATTGTCCGCAAGGGGACTTTTGTGAGAGCCTGGATCAGGGGCTCGCTCGTTGTGCGACAGGAACTCAGCCTGGCAACGAATGTTCTTTCTCGGAGCGAACTGATGTGTTAACCTGAAAGATGAAGCTTGAGGAGGTCGTTTCTGGGTCAGGGTAAATAAAGTGGAAGAAGCAAAATCTAAAGGCTCGGATGACCTGGCATGGCGAACATTCATTTGAACTTAATCTGTGGCGCTGATGTGATAGTTAATGCTAGAATATGCACAATTGACACAATCTACTGCTAGAAGGACTTTTCTAGACAGTATAATCGGGCCCGCATGCCCACCTATATGAAATTTTCATAGAGTATATCTGAACAGCGGGCTCCTGTCTCCCATCTCAGTCAGGGTGACTTCACCATGCTTCTCTGTGACGCCGTCCGGGCCGCCGTTTTCATCGACATATTGCTCGCGCTTCTTATTGATTGAGGATAGCGTGAGATTCATAACAATGGCAGCAATGATGGCACAAGAGAGGAAAGCGAGCGAGATGCCGTAACCAATACGATATGACGGCTTTTCCCGGACCAGGTAGATGTTGGATCCGATCAGCCCACCAGTATTACCGAGGGCTAGACATCTAAATTAGCATGCTGCCTCTCAAAAGAGAGTGAAGATTAGAGGCTTGACTAACTGATCTGTAGAGACATGGCGACTGCCCGCTTATAGGGCCCAGCCAAGTTGTTGGCAAGCCAAGAGATGACACCAGGGAAAGCAGGGAAGAAGCCGCAACAAGCCAGGAAGCAGCCAGCGTATGTCACGCTTGCGAGGTGAGGACTTGAGGATGTAGAAATCGCCATAATGAAACCCACGACTGCGAGTACCAAGGCCCCGATGATGAAATAACTACGTTGTTTGTACTTGTCGGAAAAGTGAGCAACACCCAGCGTGAGAATGCAAGCTGTCACGTATGGAGGGATGGTCATGAGCTGGGCCGCTCGGTTGGCATAGCCCTACCGATGGTCAGTTGATGAGAAAACCCCGGATGTTGAGAGACTCTTACCAGTGTTGAGATGATAGTGGGCAGGCCGAAGACGAGGCCGTATGTTGAGACTGAAATGCCCAAGAACATAATCACGCTGACATAGACCTGCCAGTCAGAGAAGGCATCCTTGATGTACGTGCGCTTGGATCCATCCTCTTGCAATCCCCTTCCCGCGCGGTTCCCATCATACGCCAATTTGTATTTAAGGTACTGCTTCTCCTCCTCGGTTAACCATGACACGGAATCGGGCCCATTGTAGATGAAGAAAATGGACATCACGCCGCCAAGGACAGTGAGAAGACCTTCAAGTATAAAGATCCATTGCCACCCTGCAAGGCCTCCGACGCCGTCCATCAGCGTGATTGCGTATGCCAACAAGCCGGAGAATGCGCCTCTGTCATGTCACTTAGTCCTGCATACTTGGTCCAAGTTAGAGTTGCTTACGCCAAAGACGCCGTAGTGCGGTCCTGTACATGGCCTCGTGTCTAGTATACCAAATGGTAATGTAGAAAGCGGCAGCAGGGAAGATTCCAGCCTCAGGGACACCGAGGAAGAAGCGAGCGGCCAGCAGACCCTTGTAGCTATTAACGATGCCCATCAATGTCATGGTGATGCCCCATAAGATGGCAATAAGGGGAACTGGGTAGATTGTTAGCATCTTCAAGGTCACTGATATTAGAGCGAATTCTTACTCCAAACTCGTGGCGACAGGTACTTCAAGGCCATGTTTGCAGGCACTTCGAAGACGATGTATGGAACGAAGAAGATTGTCAAGGCAATGTTGTACTGATCGCCGGTCATGTTGAGATGGTCCTCGAGTCCTGCCAGTCTTGCATTGCCAATGTTGCCCCTTGCCATTATTGACCTTAGCAACGATCTTTGGGTATGTGCAGTAAATGTGCGGCTTACCGATCCAAATAAGCAAGCAGGTACAAGACAGCAATCTAACCGCGCAGCAGTCAGTACCTCTTCGATTCTCCCTCGTCTGACGGGAACACATAACCGACTCACAATGGGAATAAGGTGCAAGTCCAGCTTGCGCATAAGCCTCTTATACTTTTCACCGGAAAATTGCTCCATTATTGCGGCCACGTCGGGAGGCATGCCGTCTTCGTTGATCATTGTTGGCTTCTCCGTCCTCGACTCGACGGCAGTTGCTTCGGCCTTTGCACCAACAGCGTCCGACATGTTTGAGATGCTGTCAACTGTGGATTCTGTGTAGGTCATGGCCGCATATGACTGTTGAGCTTCTTCCCCGTGGGGTAGGGCCTTATATGTCCAAATGCGTCTCGCTTTGGTGCGCCAAGCTGGGGTCGGCAATACTCCAGACGGATGTTGATCAACTTCCGGTGGAAGTTATCCTTCCCCGCAATCGTGGAGTTCCCTCGACTGATCACAATATCCACCGGAGGTGTGTCAACTTACGGCGATAACAGGCGGTCTACTCCTATGGTGGGCATGCCCCTTAATAAACAGTAGATAATTGTCAGGCATTTCAAGCCAAGTATATAAATTTATCGATGAGTTGTCCAGACATCCCAAATTGATTATTGCATCTCCAACATAGCCTGCATAATGGTTTTCCGCGCACCGTCATGGGTTCCCCAGCTCAGTGACACCGACATCCCAGACGATCTGCCACTCAACGATTTTCTGTTCAACGATGAACTACGCCCACGGAAGTGTGCTGATTCCCCAACACCATTCATCGATAGCCTTGACGGTAGTGGTAGCAGCATTGAGGAGACACGGAAGAGGATTGAGTGGCTGGCGGCGGGCATAGCAACTCACTTGGGCATAACAGACACCACTGGAGATGTGTGGGATCGAGTGGTGAGTGTCTTCACCGTCAACAATGTGAGAACTCCGTTTGCCCTGGTCAAAGAATCTCATAATGCTAACAGACGAGCCTCATAGATTCACACTCCGGTTCTTGCTTGGGCGGTGCATCGTTTTAATGGCGTTGTTGCACCAGCCAATGTCGCCTTTCGGGCATCCGAGTTGGCATATCAGCTGAAAGATTGCAAGGCACGTTGCATCTTTACCGACGCATCCCGTCTAGATATTGCCCTTGAGGCGGCTACAGCGGCGGGAATCTGCTCTTCCAACGTCTTTTGGGTCTCGATCCCTGCCGACACCGGTTGTCCAACTAACAACATTCAGTCATTCTCGAATCTAGAAGACTTGGTCAACATTGGACGCCGAACGCCGCCTCTACCAAATACCAGATGGGAAAAGGGTCGTGCTCGTAAGCAACCGGCCTATTTGTGCTACTCCTCGGGGACTTCTGGGCCGCCCAAAGGCGTCATGATTTCCCACCGAAACATAATCGCCAACATTATGCAAATGACCCTCTATGAACTCCCCCTCCGCAATGACAACCAACCTGAAGTCATCCTCGGTATCTTGCCCCAGTCTCACATCTATTCCGTTATTCTCACCACGCACTGCTCTGTGTTTCGCGGGGACACAGTGATAGTAGTGGCCAAGTTTGAGCTGATGAGCCTGGTCAAAGCCATACGGAAATTCAAGATGACCATGCTCTACGTGGTGCCTCCAATTCTCATTGCTCTGATTAAGCAAGGGGCCTTAGCCAAAGATCCTACGGTGTTTGACCTGCCGTCCGTCAGGCGTGTGTACTCTGGCGCGGCACCGCTCTCCGAAGAGCTTACCACGCAGATCAGAGCGCGTTATCCTCATGTTCTCTTGGGCCAAGGATACGGCATGACGGAGTCGGCTACAGTCATGGCCTCGCACCCTTGCGAAGTTTACGATGGGTCCAGCGGATGTGTAGTCCCTGGCCTGGAAATCAGGCTTGTTGACGCCAGCGGAAATGATGTCGAGGGCTACAACCAGCCCGGCGAGATATGGGCTCGTGGGCCCAATATCACTCTGGGGTATTACAAGAACAGGGACGCCACGGCCACCACATATAGCGGTGGCTGGTTGAAGAGCGGAGATGTCGGCGAGTTCCGACTGCATCCCAAAACAGGAGATGCCCACCTATTCATTGTGGACAGAGTCAAAGAACTCATCAAAGTCTCTGGGTTCCAAGTCGCCCCTGCGGAGCTTGAAGGTCATCTGCTCAGTCACAGTCTGGTCGATGATTGTGCAGTCATTCCGGTTGCTGATGAGAGGTCAGGAGAGGTGCCAAAGGCAGTTGTTGTCCTAAGTAAGGATGCCGGCTGTGATCACCGTACGGCCGAGAGAAAAATTCTTGACTGGGTAGCCAAGCACAAGTCAAAACATAAGCACTTAAAGGGCGGAGTCGACTTTGTGTCGGAGATCCCCAAGAGCCCCAGCGGGAAGATCTTGAGAAGATTCCTCCGGGACCGCGAGAAGGCCCGCCAGGCGCAGATCTCCGCCAAATTGTGATCACCAGCTTCGTTCATTTAGGCAAACGACTTACCTTAGCAATGTGAACTGTTATGCTTCAATCTTAGGTTATCTAGACTTTTTGCCTTGACATACAGACTCGCAGATCCACTATAATTGAACTTGTCCCCCGTGATGCCAAACTCATGTTTAGACCAGAGCGCAAATTACACAGAGGAACTTGAGAAAAGAGTACGGTAATCTTGATCCGGATAGCGGGCATGGATCTGGATCCTACCGGAAGTTGACGCGGAACCCAACTGCCCCATCATCACTGAAAGCTGGAGCTCTGCGGGGTTGCCCACCATCTTGATGGACAATCCTAGCTGAGACTAGCCGAGAGACCAAGCCAAGGCTAACAAACTTCCACCGGAAGTTGTTTTCATGACCATCCCCCACCGTTGCTTCTCTAACATGCCCCAAAACCTCCACAACCAATGTCCCCAGCTTCCACCGCATATTCTAACTTGCTCCGATGAGTTCATGGGGAGCTGCTACTAAATCTTCCATTGGAACTTTTCATGCATGCCTTTATTCAAATGGAGATGCAAGCAACCGGTAAAAGTGATGAAGGTCAACCCCCTTGCCAATCGCCGGCTAGCCGAGTCTCTGCTGCTTGTGCTCGATGTCGGCGACAGAAACTCAAGGTGTTTACCCAAACAAGTGGTTTTCCTCGGCCAAGCTAGTATTAGCTGACATTATGAAAGTGCGATGCTTCGAAGCCATGCCTTATGTGTACCAGATCCGGCGTTGAGTGTCAGCCGAGGACTGTTCTGGCAAGGAAACGGAGGAACAAGTCCAATCACGCAGGTACCGCAAAGGGACCGTCTCATCCAGTACAAGGCCCGACAAATGCTTGTCATCCTGAGCCCTCGCGGCCGGTGACTCCGCCTGTCCAGGCCTCCGGTGGATCGCCCGAGTTCCAGCAATTCGGGGCGAACCGATCCGCCATGTCGCTGGCCATGGACATGTACGAGAGTCTCGGCAAGAATGCCCCTCAGGCCTCCACTATCCCCGGAGACGCGTCGCGGCCCATGTCTCCAAGTTCGCCATTATGGTCGCTGCAGTCCATGTGCATGCCAAGTCCGGCCATCATGTATGCCTTGATCGACGTCTACTTTGAGAGGCTGCACTGGTTTATCTGGATCTTCCATAAGCCTTCATTTCTCCAGCAAGCTCACATCATCCTTGCTACCACATCATGGAAGCGACGAGATAAGAGCAGAGTGATAGTCTTGTTGACAGTCGCTGCGCTTGGTCTCAAATGTGCACTGCAAGACACCTCGAGGGAGGGACAAGAGCTACTTGCATCCATATCACCAGACCCTGGGGGCATGGTCAATAGAATGGTAGCAGAAATACGGATTCACCTGCTGGAACTGCTAGACGACAATTGTATCGAAACGGTGCAAGTCTGTCTTTTGCTCGGTGCTTACTACATCTTTCACGGCTCCCCGAGCTTGGCCTGGGCCACTATTGGGCTAGCCGTGAGGACTTCGTACGCCCTTGCTTTACACTGTGGTACGGAAACTGGCGATGAACTTGCAGATCAGGTCAGGCGCAGATGTTGGAATCATCTCACCGTAGCCGACACGTTCGCCTCACAGATTTATGGCCGTCCTGCATCCCTTGATGCTGCGTTCTCAGACCTCCTACCTTTGAAGGAACTTGATGACACTGCCATTGACATACCCAATGCGTCAGAAATCCAAGACCGAGTCAGCGGCAAGGTGGTAGCGGTGACTTTCCACTGGCTCAAATACAAACTATACAACATTATAAGGTCTACTCTCTCCAAGTTTCAGCTCCTGCGGCTGCATACCCCCATGACTGTGCAAGAGTTGCAGCACTTGATCGACGCAGTGCAAGATATTGATGCTCAACTAGAAAGTTGGCGGAGATCACTGCCTTCGTTACTAGACAGTGAGAACATGTCGGATGATTTCCCCGAAGACACGTCACCACGGGCAGAGTCCAGCGGCCAAGGAACGAGACGCAGTCGTGACTTACGCAAGGTGAAATTGCAAGCCTATCTACTTCAGATCACCCATGACGCTGCGACGATCCTTGCCCATCGACCCCTGCTGGAATACCGGGTGTCGTTCGCATATCGGCAGAACATATCAAACAGCATCGCAAAATCCGTCTCCAGGTCGTTCGACGTAGCTGTCAAAGCTGCGATCAGAATTTCTCGGATCCCCATTATGGAGTTCAAGAACGAATTCTGCATGGCTTTCATATTCGTCCATCTCTTCACAGCCGGCGTCATCCTATGCATCCCGCCGACCAGTCACCCCAACAGCAATACGTCACAAGAAGCCAGAGAAGGTGTCTTTCGCATCATTCGCGGTGCAAAAGCACTGCGTCAACATAGCCAAATTGCTCGGCACACTGAAAAGTTACTGAGCGATCTATTGAAGCTAAGTCTGCATCGTGAGGTGGAGCTGTCTTTCAAGGAAGACCGCAAGACAAACGCTCAACCCGGCACGAGGCAGAATGAGGGCCAAAACTCAGCTCTTGACGATACGCATCGGCCGGCGTCACCACCAAGAGTCGCTAGCTTGGCTCAAACTGGAGGCAGCTGTGACAGGGAGCTTCTGGCAACAGATCCTCCGGCAGAATTCAATAGCGATATGCAATTGGAGGAATCAAATTTACACTCCCATAATTTCGACAACCCATGGCCTGGATCGTATCCAATATTTGACAATCTTGTCGACTCTAATGGTTTGCAGATCGAGTCCCTCGACTTGCCGCTTGATGAAGCGTTTGGTCAGTTTGGTCAAGGTAACATGTTTGGCTCAATTCTCGCTGTACCCTTATCCGTGTGAAGTGCTAACAAAGAGTACAGTAATGTTTAACCTCATGCCTGGTGATCCTCTGAACAATTGGGGTTGGGGAAAAGGGAGTATATAAAATAACTGTAAAGGTCATTGTGTTCAAGCATGCCCTCCTGGATTGTTCAATCGGGGAATCGGCGAATTGGATATATTTTTTGACGGAAAGCACCTAGATAGCCGTTTTCCAGATCTTTCTTGCCGTGAGTTGAGGGTTTGAGGCCCTTGAGTGGTCAAGATCTCCCATGTGTGACCACGTAACCTTGGCGAAGCTTCATGCAGGAGTAGCTTGTAACACCCTAGAAGATTCAATTAGCTAAGATGGCTACTTGACAATGTGATATAGCAAAAATTAATCTAGTTCCTGATATTAAGTAGGCATCTATATATATAGGATAGCTTTATGTTGTTGTCCTCTTTGGTTTTAACTACCCTATACCATACAACCCAAGCCCCCTTGGAAAAGGCGAGACTGCCACTCGCCTACTACGAGTTACAATTTTGCCAGATAGACATTAATCTCGAGAATGCAATCTGCTTAGTATAGACTCCGCTATATGCAAGGTGCTGGCTAGATTACCACAACTTTTCCAAATTCTCTCCTCTGAGATATTGGCTTCCTACACTTTTGGTCCGGATAATCACCACGTAGTTTACGCAAGCGTAATGGGAAGCGGTGTTGTTACGGAGGGAAATACTTTGTTAATTTGCTTTTCAACATTTGTTTAGAGATAATTTTACTCCCTGTGATAGTTATAAGGATGCATCTCTATAGAACCTGTCGGGCTAAAGCAATACAACCAATTTCTTGCCAGATACCGTCCCCGACTTCAATCTTTTTAACCCTCCAATTACATTCTCGAGCCCCTGTCCGAGTATTTCGACCGAGTGCGTCTTCAGTTTCTTCTCATCCAGAAGCTTTTGGAAGACTAGAAACATCTTGGCTGCTAAGTCACGCTTGGCACGACTTGCCGGCCGCTTGTACTCCCCGTCAAGAGCTAACTCTTTCCCCATTCCTTCCGGACACATCACAAACTCATGTTTAACGACTTTCCGAGTCTTCCACTCCTCTCGAGGCACTTCTAACGATGCACATCGACAGCCCACCCTCCCAAGGGCGGCAAGACAACACGCCGTTGATGCCGCATCCGAGATGCAGTCAAGAGCGTGTCGCAGGCGGCCATTGGTATCCGTTTTAATTGTTTTGGCAACGCCTGGTATGGTATAGTCATACACAGAACTGGCACCAAATGACTTGACAAGATCAAAATTGTGAGGAGAGCATGTAGCAACTGGTTCAATCCCAGACCTATAGTTGTCATTAGCTTCAGTACGTTGTGAGGTATTTGGAAGAAGAAGGCTGTTGAGTCTCACAGTTTCAATAACTGAATAGCCATTGTACCAGAGGATGTACTGCCGCCAAAAACCAACACCGGAAATGGATCCTTAGCAGGAGACTCAGGAGTGGCTGTAATTTGAAGAGCATCCCAGAGGGCAATACTGCTGGTCAATAATGCAGCCCCCAACGTCACTGCACCTGTGAGAGACATCTCCGACGGAACCCTTAGCACCAGGTGGGCTAGAACACGCACATATTCTGCAAAGCTTCCGTCCTCATGGCTCTCGGGGTTGGATCCATGCACAACACCGCATACTGCGTCACCGACTCGCAGGTCAGGACGCTCTGCTTCGGCCTCTGGGTCTATGGCTACAATGTGGCCCGCGAAATCCCCCCCCATCAATGCACCTGGGCTGGGATAGGCCAAACCCATTTTGTAATCGCTGGGATTGAGTGCCACGGCGACTGTCTTGACCAAAAGTGTGCCGCGCTCGAGACTCGGCAGGGGCGCATCGTGCACCAGTACAGGCTTCCCATTCTCATCTTCAATGATGGCGGTTTGTTTGGATGGAAACGCGCTTAGATCCATTGTCAGAATGGTCATGAGAGATGTGGTGATGGACACCGTTCCCGGTTTCGGTTCAGATGTATGTCTTCTATTCTAAGCTCTGGCTCAAGGAGTCTTCACAAATCGCCACCGGCGAGCATCAGCGTCTGCTCCTCCAGATTGCGCTTATAGAATGGATACGCAGAACTTGTCAGCTATACTCGCTCCACGAGCTTAATGTAACTTGACAGTTGTCCCCGGCAACGCCCACCCAATGTCAACGGTTAAACTGGTCAAATGTCCCGAGCGAATCCTTCACATGGGCCTGAGATGTCACCCAAAATCGCGCACTGTGTGGCACTCGTTGTCGAATGGATCTTGAAAAAGCGATCTTCCGTCCAACTTTATTGTGCCTCTGGTCCGCCTTGGCGATTCGGCCGACAGTCTCAAGGAAGAACTTTGGCTCGTTTCGTATTCTGGCCAATGATCATTGCCGCAGGAAGAAAGCGATCAGTTGAGATAGCGTAGCACTGTAGGAATGCAGGAATCTGCCAAGCCTAGTCGCCGTCCGCAGTACTATAATGGCATGCAGGTTGCAAGTCGCTTAAAAGGACAGGGGAGTTGGCCCAAGTTGGAACTGACCGATCAGGGGCATTATGTAGAGGTTGCAAGACAATGGCAACAATAAGCCCCTTTCCGAGACGTGGCAACTCGTCAGGGTAAAAATCTAGATTCAGAAGGGAGAGGATCGAAGCCTATTGATCAATGGTAGTAACAATCGTATTGGGTCCGCGGGAAAATGAATGGTAACAAAATCCTAAACGCCCCTATTGCGAATGGCTATCTGTGGATTCGAGACGGTGACATGCGACATCCGTCCAGCGCTCTATTAATCAAGTCAAGTAACTTTCTATGATAACTTATTATTATATTTTCCTAGGTAATTACAGATTTCCTTTTATAGGAAGAAAGGTTATTAAAATCTAGCGAAGAAAGCCTCGACAGCGTTCACCTTAACATCTGTACCCTTTGAACCCCAATACCTTGCTCTAGGCTCCCTTATTAATAATATCCGCTGCCTTTTCGCCCACTACAACGGCCGCGTTCATTGTGTTTCCAGAGGTAATTCCAGGGGCTATGCTTAGATCCGCAATCTTCAAGCCCGAAACGCCGTAGACGTTCAGTTGGCCATCTACAACGCCGAGCTTTGCTTGTGCAGCCATCTTGCACGTGCCAACAGAGTGAAACGGAGTGCTGACCACCTTCCTCAACCACGCTTCAATGGCCTCATCATCAGCGGAAGAGTAGATCGGATCATCCTTGGCCGAATCTAATGCAAGGTCGCTTGTTGCCAAGGAGTCCGCCGGAAACTGGGGGCCGGGGGAGGCTTGGCCGCGCTGGCACGTCATTCGCTTCGCAATTTGGCGCTGCTTCTTCCATATCCATGTCAGGAGCTGAATATCCGATCCTTCGGCATCGGCAAGGATACCCGTTTTGAAGTCGAGTGGATCACTCAGTGCGGGACCTGTGATGTGCTAAAGGGTTTGTCTCTGTCAGTTGCGGGCGTCTTTGCGGGGGACACTTCCTAGGAGAAGGCCAGGACAAATTGATCGTTCACTTACAACATGACCACGGGATCGCGGATAGGCGGAATAAATCGGCAGCGTGAAGTATCTCTCGGTTGCTGGATATGTTGCCGACGAGTCTAAAGCCCTGCAGTGATTGTTAGTTTACCATGTCATCACAATGAAACACCACTCACCCTGCAAAAGATGCCATGACGGCAAGGGGCTTGCTGGGGTCCTTGGCAAAATGCTCATCCCAAACTTTGCGAAGGGCAGGTTTGAATGCATTTATCTCTGCTTGCGTCGGCCTAAGCTTTGCGGAGGCATCAACTCCGTTCCAGCTCAGAATTGGGGCATTTTGCTCAATGAGCTCCGTAGAATTGAAGATTCCCTTGGCGACGCTGTCCACGTTTTCCTTTGCAGTGAGGTCTGCCTTGTAAACCGGCGTGATCATTTGGTGGTCTTGATAGTTGACGCCAACGCCGGGCAGGGCTGAAACAACAGGAACTCCCGCCTTCTCCAGAATCTTGGGATCGCCGACGCCCGATCTCTCAAGTATCTGAGGGGTACCCAGTGCACCCGCTGAGAGGACCACGAGCTTCTTGGCTCGGATAGTTTGAGGCGTTGTTCCACTTCCCTGTATTTCTACCCCCGTGGCGCGTTTGGTTTCATCGAAAAGCACTCGGAGAACCTGTGTTTGAACCAAAACAGACAACTTCCTGCACTTGGAGAAGCGCAGCCGCGGGTACAAGAATGTATAGCCCGTGTCTTGTCTTCTGCCAGTAGTTGGGGAAACTGTACGATACGTCGCTCCGGCTGCATTGCCGGTGGCCAGGTCTTGAACATCGAAGGCAGTCCGATATCCAATCTTGCTGCAAGCACTGATATAATCCTTCGAGAGAGTAGGTCCCAGATATCTGCCACTTGACACAGCAATCGGACCATTGTGTCCATGTGTAGAGCTCGGGTCAGGTCCGTAAAAAGTCTCAGCCTGCAATCAATGTTAGCCCGGATGCCCAAATCGCGAAGTGCAACACTGTAGATTCTTACCTTCTCAAAGAAAGGTAGAAGTTCCTTGGCTGACCATCCCGCGACCCCCCAGCTATCAAAATCAGCACGCTGGCCGCGAGCATACATCATGAAATTCACAGCCGACCCGCCGCCGAGGGTTTTCCCCGAGGCAATTGCCAGGGACCGGTTCGCCAACTCAGGCGCAGGAGCCGCGACGCTGAACTTCAACAAGGGGCTAGCGGGAGAGAGATTCGATCTGAAAAGCGCAGGGTACATAACAGATGGAGTATTGAAGCTCTCTGGCCCGGCCTCGATAACCAGTACACTGGCATCCTGATGCGCATCCGATAGCCTGGATGCAACAATGGAACCGGCCGTGCCCCCACCAACGACAATGTAGTCCACTTCTGTCAGCTCCTGAGGGAGCGTCGTGAAGAGGACATTTTCCGGGATATCGGTGGCAGCGGACATGGTGTGGCAGGCGAATAGTGCCACTAGGAGGAGAAAGGCATGTGAGATGGCCATCGTTGCCATCGGCCGAGTCTGGCTTTATAGTGGTGTGTGTGTGTGTCGGAGTTCGTCTACGGCATTGGCATAGCGACGCTGATCTCTACGACAAGGAACGGGCGGAAGAAACCTCACCTCGTGGCTTCTGGAACTTTTGGATGGAAGGTGACCAACACTTATATATCTCAGTGTCACCCTGCCTGCAGATTCATCCCCCAGGGCCGACCAACATCCTGAATATGCGAGACTGATCCTACCTGACGCGTCAGCCTGGGCGCACGTTCTACCCCGGCGATATCTGCTAATTTGATAATATTGATCAGGGACTAAGATAGATTGCCAAGGGTTCAAAGTCCCGAGAAAGTAATAAAAAGCCTACGATCCAACTCCAAATCAAGTGGTGCTTCTGACAACGGTGGCGATTTAAAACTATTATTGCGGCCACCGATCAATAAAACATGCAGTTGGCTACATAGACTCTTATTACAGCCTAGCAGCGACCCAGCTACCGTGAATGTCACATCGCTACTAGAAATAGCTACTACTCCGAGTTCTGCCTGACCCCATCCTATCTGCTGCTCAGGGGCCGTGTTAAGCTTTTGAGTTGTGATGCACTGACTCCATTCTACGGCTAGACACAGCATCGTCCTCCCTGTTCCCAAGATCTGTGAGCGCCACTTCACTACTCCCATCTTGCATCTTGTGGTAGAACTTGTTAGTATTGGCAGCAGGCCACGATTGCTGCCCACTCTGGTCGGGTTTTGACTGCGAGCGATTCGAGCCCGTAGCAATCGCTGCCCACGACTGCAGAGACACTTTGAATTTCGAGAGCACTCCTGAACTCTGGCCTGAGAACAGCTTTGGGATTGCCGGTACGCAAAAGACGACCATGGCGAGGGTGGATTCACCGAGCCCCCAAAGAATGATGATCGGCACATTGTACAGACGATCAATAGCCTTGTGGACTGTCGAGGTCTTGTAGACACGACCTCCGGCGAAGATGCAGGTGCTATGTCGATCCGAGAATGTTAGCTTGCAGGCCATTTTCGTGGATGCATTAGGAGCACAGCACGTGGGAAACTTACGCGATACCGAGGCAGAACAGGATGGAAAGCCCAATCTTCCGTTGAGCATTCATTTTTAATTTCCAAATTACCATTTGCGGCAAAATAAGAATCAGTATGTCGATTAGGAGGTTAAAGCTGACGGTAGTGGTATCGGATATCTGCCTGTCGACGAGGGTTCGCCCTTTGATCCAGGGTTTCCAGGCTGCTTCTATCGGGAGGGTTGTGACGCAGGTGGCGATGATTGCTCCAATGTAAAGCCCCGTATTCACAACCATGAGAGTGACACAAATCCAAAAGAATGCATTGCGCCGAGGCAGCGGGACAAAGATGTGAATCCACTGGACGGATCCAATCCGCAAGTCAGTACGGAGAATTTCAAAAGATTTCTCTCGGTTTCGTTGTAAACACTTACCTCTAGCAGGATGGCGTTTTTCGCAAAGGCCAAATTAATGGCATAGAAGATGCGCAAGACGATGAAATTCTGCTCGAGTTGTGAGATGTTGGTTCGAGTCTTGCAAGATGCAGTGCCAACAGACCTTCCAAAACGGCTCCAAATCCCGAAGCCGGTAGTCCCAGCTATACATAAAGGTTCCCGGGTTGACGTCCATCTGAATGATGGTGTAAATGTGGACAATGGAAGCAAGCTATGTAGGGAAACGTAAGTTTGGGGAAGATTTGAGCGATTTGGATGGGATAACGAACGAAGGAGATGAGCCCAAACACTAAGATTCCACGCCAGATTAGACACTTTTCTCATTGATCGATAGTTGGGGTCACTTACCATCTTCAGTCCTGAATCTTTTCACATAGACGACTCTAGCGTACACACGTAGGAAGAAAAGGACGGTAACGAGGACCTGAGATGCCACGGCCAACGAGATGGTCGTCCCATTCAAATCTCGTGGCTGCCCCACCCGTGATACGAAACCTGGAGGGGCTTTGGCAAGAGGCTTGTTCAGGACAGCCTCCTGCTGCTGCGGTGTGAGAAGATCCCAGTTGATGTCCATTTCGGCCGAGAAGAAAGACACAGTGCAGAGAGATGGACAGTCATAGAAACAGGCCCGGGGAATGTGCAAAGGGCCAGATATATGAGAACCCAATCATGTAAGCAAACCAGTCGAGTTGATGCTACTCAGATTGTTGCCACTGCCACCTTGATCTTGCCTATGTCCCAAGATCCAAAGGACCTTCTGGTTGCATTAGACTATTACTCTAATCCTCAAACAGAGATAATTACGACAGCCACAAAAGGACGCAGCAATACCACCCTTGTGGGGCGTAGGATTCCCGTTAGGCATATTATATGGAGAAGGATTGTGCAGTGTAACCTCACTGCCTTACAGCAGTTTCTTGACGTGCTGCAGCCAACAAACCATGGTGGCTCCGTGGTTCCCTTCCTTGGAGTTCATGCCGAAATTATGCTCTCCTTGCATTAGACGGCTGGGCAAAAGATACAAACTCTGGCAACATGAAGGATCGGCTGTATCTGGCATATGCAGCAGTGACCGTCAAATAGTTTCTCGGCGTTGAGGAAACAGGAAGGTGGGTATGGCCTAGACACACTGTGCGATGCGTACCGTGTGCTTCTACGCCTTTGATTGGATTTAAGATTGGGCTTGGGAGGCGTATTGCGACTACAACTACCGTCACATTGTGATCCAAAAACTAGGCGATGCACCTGAGGAAGCTCTCATGATATGCCGTACTCTCCACTTTGGGATTCTAAAGATCCTAAGGATCAAGGTGATGATAGTAGACTAAGGTATACGCGGCTCGTTGTTAGACGGAGTTTGCGTACAACCTACTTCCAGATGCGCAATCTCGGTCAGTTGATTAACAAGGTGCCAGGCAGATAGATGGCAACGTCTTTTCCTATTGCCTCTTCACATACCACTACTTCCTGCCGTGGATGTCCTTCTTTTAATATAATATCTACTACAAATTGTAGAAACACATACACGTCTACCGTCAGCTCAGCATCTGACTGACGCCCTCAACATGGCCAACCAAGAGCCCATCGCAATTGTAGGCATTGGCTGCCGGTTCCCAGGAAATGGAAATACTCCATCTGCACTCTGGGACGTTCTGCGCGAACCACGGGATCTCCTGACTCCCATTCCCGAAGACAGGTTCAGTGTCGAAGGCCACTACCACGAAGACAACAAGGTTGGCGGTCACTCCAATGTCAAGTCATCATATTTTCTGGAAGGCAAGGGCTTTCATCGCAAATTCGATGCCAAATTCTTCGGCATCAGCCCGGTTGAGGCCCATGCCCTTGATCCCCAAGTACGCCTGCTGCTAGAGACAGTCTATGAAGCTATGGAGGACAGTGGACACTCAATTGACCAGCTCCATGGTTCAGATACCGCCGTACATTCTGGGGTTCTGATGCATGACTACGAAATCATCATGGGTCGCGACTCTCTCTTCTCGAGTAGATACCATTCCACGGGTATTACTCTGTCTCTTATCGCCAACCGAGTATCCTACTTCTTCAACTGGCATGGACCTTCTATGATGCTTGATACAGCTTGCAGTTCCAGCTTGTACGCGGTGCATCTCGCCATCCAGCAGCTACGCTCAGGGGGCTCTAAGCTTGCTGTAGCTACGGGCTGTAACCTGTTGCTAGACCCGCTGCCCTATGTCTCCCAAAGCAAAATGGGTATGCTGAGTCCGACCGGCAGGTCACGCATGTGGGATTCAGGTGCAAATGGTTATGCCCGAGGAGAGGGAGTGGCGGCTATCATTCTTAAGCCACTGAGCCGTGCTCAGGTAGACGGTGATCCCATCCACGCCATCATTCGCGAAACAGGGCTCAACCAAGATGGCAGGACGCCCGGTATCACAGTGTAAGTCGACTTGTGCTAAATGCCACAACCTTCAACAGCCAACTAACATTATTCTAGTCCGAGTGCAAAGGCTCAGATGGCCCTAATGCGCGACTGTTATGCTCGTGCTGGCCTCGATCTCAACAACCAATACGATCGGCCTCAGTATTTCGAGGCTCATGGAACTGGAACACCGACAGGAGATCCAATTGAAGCAGAAGCAATCAGCACAACCTTCTTCGGTAATGCAGAAAATGAAGCCTTTAGTCCCCTTCATGTAGGAGGTGTGAAGACAGTCATTGGCCATACCGAAGGGACTGCCGGTCTAGCTAGCATTATCAAAGTTGTGCTGGCAATGAAGCACGGAATTATCCCTGCCAATCTTCTGTTCGAGCATTTAAATCCTCGGATCGAACCATTTATTAAGAATTTACGAGTTCCAACCGCGGCACTAAAATGGCCAGTTTTGCCTGAGAACCAACCGCGAAGAGCGAGTGTGAATAGGTGAGTACCTTGCATGGGACTCTAGCTTTACTATTCCCCCTTGGGGTCAGCAAGACCAATGACCTTAAGCACGAGGAGCTTTTATTATTTGAGGTTTTGCTGACATCTTCGCCGCACGCAGCTTCGGATTTGGAGGTGCCAATGCCCACGCCATCATTGAGGGTTACACTTCTAAGCTGCCCCAGACGGATAATGCCACTGTCTTCTCTCCCTTCATTTTCTCAGCAGCTTCCCAAGCTTCCTTGCTTAGCTACTTGATATCTTTTAAGAACTATATCAGTAGCCGAGGCACTGAACTGAGCATGCGAGATCTGGCGTTCACACTTCATTCTAGGCGAACCAGGCACGCCTTCGCAGTCTCTTTCTCAGCCGCCTCACCAGCTGAGCTGCTCAACAAGTTGGACCAAAAGATTGAAGAAGTACGGGCCAACCCAGATGATGGCCCCGGTATCCGAAGTGCCCCTACTTCAAACGACGGCCCTCGCATCCTCGGTATCTTCACTGGCCAGGGTGCTCAATGGCCGCGAATGTGTGCCAACCTTATAACCCACTCACCTGGTGCCAGAAGAATCATTGACGGATTTGATGCGCATCTCGCTGCTCTGCCTCCAGCGATGCGCCCAGATTGGTCTATTGCCGAGGAGCTTCTCAAGGACCAAGCATCTTCCCGTGTTCACGACCCGGCTGTTGCCCAGACCGTCTGCGTAGCCACGCAGCTTCTCGTTACTGACATTCTAAAGGCCACGGGAGTCAAGTTTACTGCCGTTGTGGGCCACTCATCCGGCGAGATTGCCGCTTCGTATGCAGCCGGGCGCATTTCCGCTGGTGATGCCATTTTGATGTCGTGGCATCGCGGGCTAAGTGTTAGCCAGGAGCAAGCTGATGGCAAGCCCGGTACCATGATGGCGGTCGGTAGCACTCAGGAAGATGTCCAACAGCTTCTTGATGAGCCAGAGTAGGTAACCCCGCGATCCCAATATCTTGAAGCTTCTATACGACAGAAGCTTTCAGGCCCCCTCCAATACTCCCACCTGTCTTTATTTTATCTGGCCACTGATATGCTGACTCCATGAATAGATTCAAAGACCGCGCTTGGATCGCCGCTGTCAACTCAGGCTCCAGCCTCACCATCTCTGGAGATGCCGATGCCATTGATGAGATATACGATGTGCTCCGAGATGAGAGCAAGTTTGCTAGACGCCTAAAGATCAACAGAGCGTACCACTCGCCACACATGATCGGCAGCTCCAAGTATTACACCAAGTATCAAGATACCATGAGCATCGAACCTGGTGCCCCTACTGAATGTTCATGGTTCTCCAGCGTTTCGGGGGAGGACAACGCCTCACTTCAAGATGAGCTGAAGGGACCTTATTGGGTTCGGAATCTGCTGAACCCTGTGTTGTTTAAACATGCTGTGGAGAAAGCTTGGAACGAAAGGGGGCCATATGACATTGCCATCGAGATCGGGCCTCATCCAGCGTTGAAAGGTCCGACCCTGCAAATAATTCAGGATATTGCTGGCCGGCCAATCTCATACACGTCTCTGCTGGAAAGAGGATTGAACAATCTTGATTCCATTGCAGATGGGCTCGGCTACCTTTCATGCCACGTCGGCAAAGGCGTCGTCGACCTCAAAGCTTACGACATCTTCCTCTCGGACGATGCCACATTCAACGTATTGCAAGACCTGCCCCCGTATTCGTGGAATCACAGTACCGAGTACTGGCACATGTCGCGACAGACGAGTGCCATTGCTCATCGGCCCGACAAAGTACATGAGTTGTTGGGCCACTTGACTCCTGATTCCACCGATCGGGAACAGATATGGAGGCATTCCATCTGCCCCAGAGAGTTGCCCTGGCTATCAGGGCATCGTGTTCAGGGCCAGATAGTGTATCCCGGTGCCGCGTACATCGTCACCGTGATAGAAGCCTGTTTGAAGCTCACTACGGACCAATCCGTCTCGTTGATCGAGGTGCTCGATATCACAATGGGTCAAGCCCTCACTTTTGACGACGACGAGAGCCAAGTGGAAGTAATATTTTCACTAACTGGCATTGAGCACCAGAACAACCCGTCTCGTATTACGGGCAACTTCAACTGCAGCGCCGCCAAAGCTGCCAGTGATTCCACCCTCGATTCCCTCGCTCACGGCAAGGTTTGCATACTATTGGGTGCGCCATCCCACACCGCACTGCCAGGAGGCAGCTCTCATCCGACCAACCTTTTGAGTGTGGACTCTGATACTTTTTATACCGCCACCCGCGAGTTGGACTATGACTTCTCGGGCCATTTTAGAGGTCTATCAGATGTCAAGCGGAAACACGGTGTATCGACTGGTTTCCTTCCAGGAGTCAATGCGCCTTCGATGCTGATCCATCCTGCCATGCTAGATGCACTGTTCCAATCCATCGTAGCTGCTGTAAGTGCTCCCAACGATAGAAGATTGATGTCGGCACACATTCCCAACCGCATAGATGCAATCAGGGTAAATCCTTCTCTATGCGAGGCTCAACGCCAAAGCTCGCAGCGACCCGCCTTCGAGGCTGTGTGTGAGCTGAGCAGCAACTTGTCTTCCGTTAAGGGCCACTCGAATCTGTTCCCTCAGGAATCTGATTACTCGATGATGGCCGTCGAAGGAGTCAATATGGTGGCACTCTCACGCGCGACGGCAGAGAATGATCGAGTCATGTTTGCCTCAACACCACTTGAATTGGCTTCACCGGATATTTCGCAGCTCAATGTGACCCCGAAAGCAATAAATGAACAACTAGAGCTTGTAAAGCTACTGTTGCGAGTAGCCTGCTTCTATCTTCGTATGCTGGAGCAAGGCGTACCTGTTGACGACCCTTCTCGAATCGAAGGCCCATACACCCCCTTCTTTCAGTATGCTTCACACACTCTGGCATCCTTTAGAGACGGCGCGCTCTCGATTTGGACTCCGGATTGGGAGACGGATACTTTTGAAACCATCGATAAATTACTCGACAGCTGCCCCCGTAGACCCGACGTCCAGTTGCTTCAGGCCCTGGGGTCGAAACTTGCGGACATTGTCATGGGACATGCATCGCCCATTGAAATCGGAATGGAAGACGACCAGTTGGGCAAGTACTACAAGACGGCTTTCGGCATGCAGGAGGCACTCTCCATTCTCTCACCAACTGTCGGCCAAATATTGCATCGCCATCCGCGTATTCGCTGTCTCGAGGTCGGCGCGGGAACAGCCTCAGCGACACAGGCAATCTTACGTGAACATGGCGATTTATTCTCCGAATATACCTTTACTGATATATCATCTGGCTTTTTCCCAGCTGCTCAGGCGAACCTTGGAGAGCTTGCCGACCGGGTGCTCTTCAAGCCTCTTGACATCAACCAAGACCCTTGTTCTCAGGGCTTCGAGCCGCACTCCTACGACATGATCATTGCCTCAATGGTACTACACGCCACTCCGTATGTTACCAAGACGCTAGAGAATGTGCGGCGTCTTTTGAAGCCCGGTGGCTACTTGGTCGTCCTCGAAATTCAGAAGAACATCCCCGCATACAGCGTTGCCATCTTCGGCGCATTCACTGGCTGGTGGGTGGGCGCCGATGATGGACGAGCGCTATCTCCCTGTTTGGATGTCCCGGAATGGAACGAGCTCCTCTGCCGGACTGGCTTTTCTGGCTGTGACACTTCTCTATTTGACCCAAACACGATGGTAAATCCCGTTCTCGTCTTCGTATCACAAGCCGTGGATGAAAGGGTGGCTGGCCTGCGTAACCCCCTTGCCAACCCGCCCCCTCAGAAGATCTTCTTGAAGATAGTGATACTTAGCAGAACGGCACCTGAGAGCTCATCAATTGTACAGCAGCTCACGTCTTTGCTTCTGCCGTTCTATGCCAGCATCTCGCACTATGCCGATCCAACTGAAATCCCCCCGGAGGCCCTTGACTCGGAGACTTTGCTGCTGAGTCTTATAGACCTTGACAAGCCCTTCTTCCAGGATCTTTCGGAGGCTAGTTGGATATCAATGAGGACCAGTTTAGAAAGAATTGGCAGTCTTGTATGGGTCACCAAAGGTCGCCTTTCTGCGAACCCTCATTCCAATCTGATGGTTGGGCTCTTACGCTCAGCCCCGAGCGAACTTCCGCACTTGACAACGCAATTTCTGGATTTCGAAGACGAGGGCGATCTGACAGCCCGCAATTTGGCAACTACTGTTTTGCAGTTTGCCGGGGCATCGTGGCTGAAGAAAGAAGGCACCTATGCAGACATATTGCATACAATTGAGCCTGAGCTCATTTTCCAGAAGGGGGGGAGGGTCATGATTCCGCGAATGAAGACGGAGCAGGCCATGAACAATCGATACAACGCGTCCCGCCGGGCCATCATATCCAAGATCCCAGCTGCCAGGGCCTGTATTGGAGAGGGGCCAATGAAGCGCGGCTACTACGTCCGTGAAGATCGCACTTTGGAGGGTGCTAGAGAGGCCAAGGCCCCAGAAGTGAGGGTCTCGCATTCTTTCCTGAAGCCTATTCGGTTCAGCAGGGACGTTTCACTCTTCTTATCAATCGGTGAACGTATAGATACAAGTGAACAAGTGCTCAGCTTATCCCTGTCGAATGCAGCAGTTGTTCGCCCGGAAGCTTTTGTGAAGCTTGATAGCTTTCCAACCAATATCAGTCCCACAAACTTGCTACGGCTGGTATCTCTCTACCAAATTTCTTCATTGATACTTGGGGACTCTGACGAGGGGACAAGAATCTTGATTCATGATGCGGACCCTGCACTCCAAGAATCCCTGAGGGCAGAAGGGCGTAGGAGAAACGTCGAAGTCCTTTGCACCACAACTTGCGATCATGTATCAGGTGATCCCTATCAACTTCATCCCAATGCTGCAGCGAGGAGTATCCGCGCGCTACAGCCCGACTTGATTACCAGTTTCGTTGACTTTGGAGTCGCGGGTGAGGCACAGCGTGTTTCGCAGCGAATCCTGCACCATCTTAATGTTGCCTGCAGGCGAGAAACTGCCAAATCCATCTTTGGTGGATTTACCAGGAAGCTCTCTAAAAGATCGAAAGAAGCAATTCAAAACACTCTACAAAATGCGATATCTGACGCCTCCTCTTCCTTGTCGGATACCTCGACAGAAGACGCAAACACCATCTTGCCTAAGGATGTGGACAACATCGACCTTGATATCGCGCACCGGTATATCGTCGACTGGGGAACAGAGGCTGAAGTAGAGGCTCTAGTAGAGCCGGCAGATACTTTCCCATTATTTTCCAAGGAGACAACATACTGGCTTGTTGGCTTGACAGGGACATTGGGCTGTTCACTGTGCCAATGGATGCTTCGCAACGGGGCACGCTATTTTGTTCTGACAAGTCGAAATCCCAAAATCGAGCCAGACTGGCTAAAGACAATGGCTTCTCAACAGGCTATTATCAAAATTACTTCATGGTATGTCCCATCTTCAATAATCTCTTTAAACCGGGACAGTTACTTATCAGAACCCCCACAGTGATATCACTATCATGCAAGACCTGGAGAAGACGTATGACGACATATGCTCGAGCATGCCCCCTATTAGAGGTGTATTCCAAGGCAGCAGTAAGTACTCATCTTATCGGCTTACTAGGGCATGTATACTAACCATTCCTAGTGGTCCTTCATGATATTGGGTTGCCTAGCATGGGCCTCGAGCATCTACAAACCGTCTTGCTACCAAAGGTTGAGGGAAGCATAAATCTCAACAAGCTTTTCCAAAACAACTCACTAGACTTCTTCCTCTTCTTCTCGTCCGTGACGTCTGTAGTCGGCACGCCCGGCCAGGCAGCCTACTCCGCGGCCAATCTGTTCATGGCAAGCCTTGCAGAACAGCGAAGACGACGCGGCCTCCGGTCCGCTGTCCTCAACATTGGCCCCGTCATTGGCGCTGGCTACATCACGCGAACGATGCCAGACCTAGGCAACATGCTCCTCCTCGATCTATACCCTCTGTGTGAGAGCGACTTTCACCTGCTCATCGCTGAAGGAATCGCCGCTTGCCAGTCGAAATCAGATCGACCAGTTGACATCACCACGGGCGTGAAGCAAGTGCGCAGAAACGAGGGTATTCAGCCAAACTGGGTCCATAGCCCAATCATGAGCCACTGGATCCTCAATAATGAAACGGCGCACGTGGAGAGTAGCAAATCCAAAGTCTCGCTCAAGGACCAATTGGCTGCAGCTCGAAATGGAGAAGAAGTGTTCAGCCTGGTCAGAGGTGCTATATTAGGCAAGCTCTTTGCTCTACTTCGGTTGGAGACCGACGCTGGGAACTTTGACGACGGCACTTGGTTGGATGAGCTCGGGGTCGACTCGCTGATGGCTACGGAACTTCGATCTTTCCTGATGAAGGTCTTCAATGTCAATGTTCCAGTCCTCAGAATAATGGGTGGTATCTCATTCAAGGAGTTGGCAGCAACAGTGGTCGACGTCCTCGACCCTTCTATGATACCGAACGCTAAGACAAAGTCAGTTGCGGACGTTGCACAGATATCAACTGATATAGTACAGGGGCAGTCTGGAGGCTCTGAACATTCAGCTCAAGGAAGTGAAGTTTCTAATGGGGAGCTTGGAGAGCAGCCTTGGACTTTGGTAGAATCAACTGATAGGGAACACAAGCCAGATACTGAAGCCTTAGAGTAGTCTAGATAAGAGATTTATTTTTAATACTTTTTAGTATCAAATCCTTTAGATCCAAGTTCCTATTTATCAATCACGGGTAAGTCTTCTTCTACTTATAATCATTTATAGTATACTGAAATATGATAAAGAATATCTTTAATATCCTCTATCTCTAAGATTATTTATAACATTCCTAAAATAAGGAAATTTCCAATCTTTTTCCAATATACCTATCTTGCGAAACTATTGTGTTCTCCAGATCACGACCAACACCCCATAAGCCATGCAATCTTATTCTAAGACCTCGAGCAAGTGTTGTTAACAGCTTAGAATGTTCTCAAGAGATTCTACATGCTCATGGGCCTCGCATCCCAGACACCCGCAGTTGATCAAAACCTACACTATTCATCAAACTGTGACCTCAACAATGTATCAAATTATCTTGAAATTAGTATTGTAATTTCCTCTTTTGGATAGTTCGCTAGGCTAGCGAGCTTTTAACACAGGACAGAGAAGAATTTGATATACCGATCATCAAGTACAAGCTGCAACAAGTGGATGACTTTGACATCATACAGGCTGATCCGTATTACAATTATTATACTCCATTTGCCATATATGGGCAGAGAATTCACGGGTTAGGCTACCGCATTTTCTCGACAAAAACGCCCCGTGCCTGTTGACACATCTCCACGACACCAACGTCGGCAACAATGCTGTTCCTTGTGTTGATCTCGTTCTCAATCTTGACAAACCGCTGCCCACACCCTCGGCTCTCCACTCATAGCAATCTCCGATAAACCTGCTACTCTCAACTAGCCACTGCCATCTCTCCCGCCTGCATTCTTCAAAGACAGCAAAAGCCAGCTCGAGGTCGGCGGGTGGGTTGACCAATTCGTGGGATAGTAGTGCGGCCAAGATAGCGCTATCTTCGATGTAGAACCCAGATCCAGTGCCGTGGTGTGGAGATATCGCATGCGCGGCGTCACCAGATATACAGACCCTCCTTTGATAGAATGAAGGCACTGGATTGTCGTGTAGGTCGAAAATGGCCCACTGGATGGGAGAAGAAGATTCGGTCAGTCACTGTCGCATACTGAGTAAGAAGAGAGCATGTGGTCTAGGCCTACCACATTCAATTTCTCATCTATCAGCTGCAGGATCTTGGTAACGTCCGTAGCTGGTGAAGTGTCAGGGGCAAAAGGGATTGGCCAATAAGGGCGCGCTGATAAATGGGTCCGGTACGTGAGGCCACCACAACAAAACAACATCGCGATCTCGAGGGATTTTGGAAGGGTCAAGAGCCAACCTGTCTATTAGGAAGATATCCGTTATCGTATAGCTATTTAATTGCAAGCCTTCTGCTAATTAGCATCTGCTCGTCTTCACTCCTCCCAGCACACGCCGTTATTTATCTGACATGAAGTCGCAGAGCGCATCTGCGCGAGTTGCTGTTCTCACATTTCTTTCACTGTCTTTCCATGGCTCCTCCAATGTTGAAAGCCATGACATCCATCACCGCGCCAGACTTGACTGGGGATGTGAGAACATGTCCCTCCGTCCCATCTAGGCGTGATTAGTAGATCTCCTCGACCAGTAGGATTTTGGAGCACTTTGACACTAATATATGCATGCGCTTTGTTTGAGTCCCGACGATACACTGAGTTTCAGCCGTGGAGGTCCATTTCGGAACTGCTCATCTCCCCGAATCGGGATCAAAGCGTGGGGGCGGGGTAAGTTTATCTCCCCGAAATGCGGGGAAAAGATGTTGTAATCTCCCCGTTGTTGGGGGACTACGATTCCGAGAGAGACAGGCCCAGTCCAGCCCCAGTAGCTTGAGCCTTAAATACTTACAGAACAGTACAGACGCTGGATGTTGCGGTACTCTTCTTTGACACCACGGACATTACCGTAGGTTCTTCTACATTATGGCAATCATGAGTACCCTTTCCTTCGCCCAAGACCCTCGCGCTGACTTTGCACTCAAAATATGCGCCGGGGGACTTGTTCTTATTTTCGTCCAAACGATCCTTTCGGCAGTCTACTGTTTATTCTTCCACCCCCTTAGGAAGTTTCCCGGACCGCCCCTTGCTCGTGTCTCGAGACTATGGAGTCGACTTGGAAACTTTCAAGGCCGAAAATCAGAGAGAATCCATGAAGCCCACGGAAAATATGGTCGGTAAGCCTGGTTAAGAACACTCGATTTACAAAGCTAATTAGCAACCACCCAAGGCTCTGTTATTAGGGTTGGGCCAAACGAGTTATCGTTCGCGGATCCGGAAGCCGTCCGTGCCATATACAATTCCGACGTGTTCATCAAAGAAGAGAGTTTTTATGTAAGTTTCTGACATCGCTATCGATTGATGTAAGTCAGTTTCTAACAAAGTTTAGCGAGCTAAACGGATCTTCCACGAAGACTTCCTCCTAAGTTACCGGTAAGGGCCGTTCAGCTGTTGATTTGTTTCCACTTGGTGTGCGAATGATAAGTTATACTCATGTGTTATCAAAAAGGGACCCAAAGGCACATAGGCAGCGTCGGAAGCTTGTATCCCGTGGCTTTTCCCAGGCTTCTATGAACGAATTCGAGCCAAACATCGATACCAAGATTACCGCTATGTTAGACCACTGGACGACCAAGACAGCGCAGGGCAATGCCATTGATGTCTTTAGCTGGGTTCACTGGCTAGGATTCGATACCGTTTGTAAGTCAATTGAACGTCCGGTACTGATGTATTCTCGCTTACACGATTAGACCATCTCATGTTCGATGTTGATCCGGGGTGCGTCAAACATGGGCGATCCCACGAGGTGATGCCATATTTCTATGCCTGGAAGCCGACCTACATGTTTGTAAGCGAAATCACACGATCTCAACTCTAACAATTGGCTCGCGCATTAACCCATTTTACAACAGAAAGAATTTCTCCCTGTTCTTGAGCGGTGGGGTGTTCTTGTTCCGGGTTATGTAGGCAACTGCTTCCGTGGCGTCAATAAGTGGAAGAAGGTGAGCAACTCCCCAGTGGGACACAGCGAGCAAAGTTAACAAGATTCAAATACAGTATGCGATGAACATTATCCAGGACTGCCGCGCTACGGGAGTCAACACGCCTTTCCTGCGCCAAGTTATTTCCAGTCCCACAGGCCCCAAAGATGTTGACCCGGGTGCTTCCCTTACCAACTCCCAGATAGCGGAAGAATGCATGGGTGGAATGTATGAAACCCAGGTACTCTACACTTGAAGCTTTTTTTAGTTACTCACAGTATCATAGGTTTGGAGGTACTGGGACGACGGCGACTACATTCATCTACATCCTCTGGGGCTGCTTACAGAAGCCAGAAGTGACCAAACGGCTTCAGGAAGAGCTCAGGGCAGCCTTCCCCGACCGCGATGCAGTACCAGAGTACCGTGTAAGAATGTTCCTCCTTCGATACCATAGACCTCCATAGCTCATAGACACAGGTGTGCACAGGGTTGCCTTTGCTTCAGGCAGTCATCAACGAAACATTGAGGCGATACCCGACCATTATTGCCACACTGCCGCGAACAGCAATCCAGGACACGGTAGTTGCGAACGTTGCTGTCCCTAAAGGAGTAAGACCTATCACCCACGGAGTTAGAACCTGTACTGACATACTCCAGACCATTGTCGGCATCCAAAACTTTACCATCCACCTGAATGAAGAGGCCTTCCCCAACGCCGAGGAATGGAACCCCGACCGCTGGCTTGCAAAGGAGGGAGAAGAACAACGAAGAGAGGCATGGGTTCCATTTTCCGTGGGACCTCGCAAGTGCATCGGGATCAAGTAAGCAACGGCCACGAAGTGAGACATTATCCAATGCTTCTAAGTAGCTAACACTTATCGTCATAGTCTAGCGCAGATGGAGCTCAGCAAGCTCACAGCAGCGTTCTTCCGCCGATTCGATGCTTCGATTGACAGTAGTATGACACAGGATGACATGAGACTGTATGATACTTTCAATGCTAGCCCGGCGAGCAAGAAGCTGGTCCTTCACCTCAAGCAATGCGAAGATTGAAGGCCGCAGTGACCCGATGGGATGGGTTTGGAAGAGAGCTAATAAGAGTGTAAGCCTGTACACATTCTGGGGCATAGAACTGCTGCACCCCAGTAGATAGTAGTATATACATCTTTATCATCAGTTGAAAGTAAGGACGACTCCCATTTATCCACGCCTAGAGTGTAGAAGGTCTTTCAGTGTTTCTAACACACATCATGTTGTGCAAGGGATTCTAAGTTTCATTTCTCTGCAAAACTCTTGTTACTCTACAAGGTCGGATTGTAGACAATAATACCGAGAATCACAGCCCCACGGCTCGACTGGATACAGTGCGGACCATGAACAGCGCCTGAGCTAATCACCTTATTAACAGTCAGCCAACTCCGACTAACAGCCATTGGATAAATTCAGACACGCGGAGAGCTAGGCCTCGATCCCAGCCGAATCAGAATCCCAGGCCAAGCAAACCTAAACGAGGGGCCACACCTCGCTGGGTTAGTGCTGTCCACGGATCCTCTTATTGCCACTGTATCTGCCCCAACTTGCCTAGGTATCGTATGAATTCGCAGCCAGTCATTGGGCTGGCCTGTAATGCGGGGTTATCAAGGATGGGGAACAAATCTACCCCCGGCCCAGTTGAATGGAGACGCGCTTATATAGATGGTACGGGCCCGCCAACTATCCGACCATCTTCCTGATACATATCCGCCGCCGTCCCGGTCAGTCCTTTTGCCATTTCGCCATGGCTGACGAGACGTTCCCGCGGATGCAATCTGATGCCGCCAATGCGCGACCAACGGCCAAGCGGCGCAAAATAGCTCTTGCGTGTAACTACTGCCGTGCTCGCAAGACCCGTTGCGATGGCCGACAGCCCGCTTGCTCGACATGTGAAAACAAAGGTGCCAGGTCAACCTGCGTGTATGAACAGGGGACTCTGAAAACTAGGAGGTAGGCATCAAAATCAAGGCGGTTTACTTGCGACAAGGCCCGGATGGGCAGCTGACCATGTTGCAGATATGTCTCGACCTTAGAGGCTAGGGTTCAGGAGTATGAAAGAAGACGGCTGATGGGTTTGCCTTGAGCACAAATGGCATCTGATTGTGCATGTCTGCTAACTCGCCATTATAGAGCCGGTCGATGACGGGGCAGAACAAGACATGAGGCTAGCAGCACCAATCGCTGTTTCGAGAAGCGATAACTCGCCAATTTCCACTATCCAGGGCGACTTTTCAGCAGCCGAGGGACCGATAATCAAGTCTCCGTGCCGCGACGCCATAGAGACTGACGCAATGGTTATTGTTCCATCTTCCGAGGGGGATGTTACCAGCCATCTTAGTGAGTCATCACCTATGGCGTTCGTTCGATCTATGTTGCGAACAATCGGCAAGAATGACTCGCCCTTGCATGCGACAAATACAAAGCCCAACGATGGTTCTCGCCCTGAGAGTTCCTACCTCAGTCCGCAATCACAGGATGGCGATCTGGACCCCGTGTCACTGCCGACACGAGGAGTAGCCGATGGCTTGGTCAAGGCGTTCTGGGAATATCTGCACCCTCTCCTGCCTATTCTGCACAAACCTACCTTTATGAGGTCCTATCGCTTGCAGTGGATGGGCGAGGACGAAGCATGCTCAAGTCAATCACCAGGAAGTCAAGACGATCCGCCGTTCCTCGCGACGTTGAACATTGTTTTCGCCATCAGTTGTCAGTTCAGTGACCAGATCACAACCACCCGGAAGCGTGTCTTTGCCGATACATTCTACCGGCGATCACGGAGGATATTCGCCGACGAATTTTTAGACTATCCGACGCTTGCCACCGTGCAGCTTCTCTTGCTCACTGGTGTATATCTCCAATCCACTGTGCACGCAAATCGGTGCTGGAACATTGTAGGGTCGGCCATCAGGACAGCACAGAGTCTGGGCCTTCGCCTTGACCGTACGGCTGGAAACAAGACCCAGTTGCAGAGGGAAATGGAACGTAGAGTTTGGCACACTTGTGTGTTCCTGGACCGGTATGTCTCTCGTGCAACATCAATCAGCAGCAGATCTAACGAGATACCATGACTTGTAGTCAGCTCGCCGTAACCTTTGGCCGGCCCACAATGATTTACGGCCGTTCAAAGATTCCTCTGCCCCTGCTGATCGACGATGAATACTTGCTAGAAGACGGCGAGGGTTCCCAGCCACATCAACCTGCACAGATGGCCAGCTTCGTCTACTCGTGCAAGCTCTTCGATATCCTGAACGAAATTCTCTTGAATTTTTACTCGGATAAAAGCAACGAGCCTCAAGCATCCAACCATCCCTCTGCGCCCTACCAAGAGCTGAGTACCGTCATGAGACTGAACAGTGCCTTAGATGATTTTCAGGACGCACTCCCAAGCTACCTTGTCATCAGTCCTGATTCAGCGAACCCTATCACCCCTGTGCATGACAAGATCGCTCTTGGGGCAAAGATTCTGTATTCTAGGTTTGTTGAGTTATGCTAAGATCCTACCTCTGAATTATTTTTGGGCTGACTGGTATGTGCTGCAAGGTTCCTGTATATCCGTATCTTCCTGTTGCGGCCGATTTTATTACTGGTTGCGGAAGTCTCGACAAACCCTCCGGGTGAAAAGAAGCCCTACAAGAATGACAGCCTCGAACAGCAGCTAGCCTTGAAGGCCTGCTCATTATGCATCTCCACGGTACAAACGTTGATCGCCCACATTTACAAGAACATGGACAGTTCCTATTGGACTTCTATTTCGCACAAGATTCACTGCAAGACAAGCCTCGCTCATTCCTGCTTCCCAGACTCTCTCCCATGCTGACCTTGCAACACTTTAGATGCCTTTTCCTGCGCTATAGTACTCGTAGCTGCACGTCTTTGTCCAGCCCCCAAGTTGGATCTCGAAACGGCTTCACTCCAGACTTCTTGGTCTCAGTGCATCAAGATATTCGAGCAATATGTGCCACACTTCCCATGCGCATCCTACGTAATACGAATCCTTGAGATTCTGGAACAAAGAATGCCCCATCTCACAGCAGAAGGTAATAAACACACTGAAATCAAGTTATATTATACCTTGGGCCTAACGAATTTTAGGAGATGCTACTATGCAAGGGCCTCGAAATCCCATGGCACCGGTAGACGAGCCCGTCTGGTCAAACTGGGCCATGCTGGACGATCTTCTGCAGTGTGAGCCCATGGGCCAAACCTTTTCCGGCGACAAGTGGCCAGAGGAGATGCTCTCGACCTTTGGCTGGGCAGAACCACTTTGACGTGGTGTATCATGTTGTGGTACAATGGTAGAAGTAGACTAATAATGCATTATCATTGGCTATGCTTCTACTGTCTCAATGAAACAGTTTTTCAGTTGCCCATAATTCTCCTTAAATTAATCTTCTATATTATTATCTAAATCCTCCAGGGACTCTCAGGAAGTGATTAATCCTTAGGTTATAACTATTCAACCTACATCAGGAATCAACAGAGAAGAGGCGTTGTTGCGTACATGAACACAGCACACAATCACAAGAGATCGAGTATATACACATTATTAACTCAAATAAGCACTTTTTGTAAGCCTTATCCGTTCAAATCCAATAATCAGATCACGAGGCGGGGTAAGTGTCATGAGCCACATGACCCAATTGCATTTGATGATGCTGACAAGCAGAAAACTGCATCATTGAATCTTGACCATCGTCTCATCCCGCCTCAGTATCAATTTGTGGTTTACCATCAATCAAACTACCTTTCTATTACGTCACGTCGCGTTCTTATTTAACGGCAGCTGATTTGGGAGGTTCAGTGGGAAGGGCACTGCACTGAGATGGTCATTCACTAACCATGGCAAAGCGGGCGTTGAGTGAGGCTGAAATTGATCAAACCACGATTCTTAGGGACGACAAAAAGATAAAGCTTCAAGATGAGAAAACACCGGAACCGGAGACCGCAGGTGTTCCAAGTGATACCATGCCGCTGTCCAACAACAACTATACCGTTGGTTGGATCTGCGCGATAACCACAGAATATGTTGCCGCGCAAGCATTCCTTGATGAGACGCACGGGGAGCCAGAACATCTGGCCACAAACGATGATAATATCTATACACTCGGAAAGATAGGGAAGCACAACATCGCTATCACCGTCTTGCCACATTGGGAGTACGGAACGGCTTCTGCAGCAGCGGTTGGAACCCACATGCGGCATTCGTTCGCAAATATACGAATCGGCTTGATGGTCGGGATCGGGGGAGGAGCTCCAAATCAAAAGCATGATATTCGTTTGGGCGATATTGTGGTGAGCACTCCTCGCGACGGGAAGGGCGGTGTGATCCAGTATGACTTTGGTAAAACAATACAAGATCAGTGCTTTCGCCTGACTGGCTTCTTAGACCAGCCTCCTCTACTTTTGCGGACGGCGGTAAATGCGTTGAAGGCCAAGTATGAGGTTGATGGCCACCAAATTGCAGATGCAATAAATGCCGTCTTCGACCAGAGGCCAAGGCTGCGAAAGAACTACCAGCGGCCGGATCCTAAATCAGACATATTGTATCAAGCTGACGTTGCCCATTCAGCCTCGGAGGATGAAAGCTGCGAGCATGCCTGTGGGACCGATGACTCGCCAAAGGTAGTACCAAGGTCACCACGGGATGAGGACGAGGACAACCCGGCCATTCATTATGGAATGATTGCCTCGGGCAACCAACTCATGAAGGATGCTCTGATTCGGGATAAGCTTGCAGCGGAACAGGACATATTATGCTTTGAGATGGAAGCAGCAGGGTTGATGAACCACTTTCCATGCCTAGTCATCCGCGGTATATGTGACTACTCGGACTCTCACAAAAATAAGAAATGGCAAGGGTTTGCCGCAATGGCGGCCGCAGCTTATGCGAAGGATCTGCTCTATCGAATTCCACCAAGCAAGGTTGAGGCGGAAAAGAAGATAACCGATATCATTTCGAGTAAGTTCGCAACGTTCTCACTACTTCTGGGCGTCATCAGTTGCTAATATAGCATCAGATGTCCAAGAGACGGTCACAGGTGTTTCGAAAGAAATAAACAATTTACTTCATCGCCACCACGCTGAGGAAGATGAAGAGATCCTAGATTGGATTACACCAGTGGACTATACTCCACGACAAAACGACTTCATCAAGAGGCGGCAACCGGGTACTGGCCAATGGCTTCTAGACTCCGAAGAATTTCGTGCATGGGTCGAGGGTAAAGGGCAAGGATTGTTTTGCCCAGGAATCCCCGGCGCAGGCAAGACAATTCTGGCGGCAATAGTGGTCGATCAGCTCTGTGCAAAGTTCCAAGGCAAGAGTGACACATGTGTTGCTTTTATTTTCTGAAACTTCCGGCGCCATCCCGAGCAGAGGTTTGAGGACCTCTTAGCCAGTCTGTTGAAGCAAATGATTCAACAGCAGCCCTCTGTACCCGACGATATCAAGCAACTCTATGGCCGTCACAAAAAGCGCCGAACGCGCTTCTCTGCTGAGGAGCTGTCCCAAATGCTACAGGCCACTACAAAGCTTTTTTCTAGAACTTTTATTGTCGTCGATGCGTTGGATGAGTGCCAGAAAACCAACGGATGTCGAAAAAGTTTTGTTGACGACCTGTTCAATCTACGAGCAAACTACGGCGTCAATCTGTTCACGACTTCTCGGTGCGTCTCAGAGATCTTGGATACTTTCAATATACATACCAGCTTGGAGATTCGGGCGCATGGAGATGATTTACGAAGATACTTGGGTGGATGCATGACCCAACTACCAGCGTTTGTTCACAGAGACCCGAGCCTACAGACTGAGATCAAAGACGGGATAGTGGATGCAGTAGATGGCATGTGAGCTAAATTCATTCGGAGATATCAAATGACTATATCTAACACATATATAGGTTTCTTTTGGCGCAGCTGTATATGGCTTCTCTCACTGACAAAGAGAGCAAAAAAGCGATCAAGTCTGCGTTAGACCAGTTTCGAAAACAGACCGCGGACCAGGACGAGGATACTAAATTACAAGTCCTATCAGAAGCATATGATCAAGCACTGGATAGAATAAAGGCCCAGAAAACGGGCTTTCGCCAGCTCGGGGAGAGAACTCTGCTTTGGATAACATGTGCCAAAAGACCTCTAACAGTCTCGGAGCTCCGACATGCTCTCGCTGTGGAACATCAGACCGACAAACTAGATAAAGATAATATACCCGAAACCGAAGACATGGTCTCTGCATGTGCTGGCTTGGTCACTGTTGACGAGGAAAGCGAAATCATCCGTCTAGTACACTACACCATGCAGGAATACTATTCTCGGAATCGTCATAACCTATTTACAGAAGGGGAGGAAAGCATGGCAAAGACCTGTGTCACATATCTCTCATTCTCGGTCTTCAGCGTAGGGCCATGCAAATCGGATCAAGCGCTGGAAAGTCGGCTAGAGGAAAATCTCCTCTATGATTATGCCGCACGAAATTGGGGTTGCCATGCTCAGAAATTATCAGTCTCCACGAAGAAGCTGATTCTAAAATTTCTTGCAAGTCCTAACTCACTTTCTGCCTCCTGCCAAGCGATGCTAGCAGTAAAACTCTTTGGGGGCGACTCTGAATACGCTCAAAGAGTACCAGGAAGAATGACAGCCGCGCATGTGGCCGCGCAATTTGGTCTCAGCGATATTATAAGATCTCTTGCCGGCAGCTATGCTATCGATTCGAGAAACTCCCACGGGCGAACTCCGTTATCTGTGGCCTCTGAGCATGGACACAATGATGTGGTGACGATTTTACTAGAGAAGGAGGGGATCGATATCAATGTCATGGATACTACTCATTCACGGTCTCCGCTCTCTTGGGCCGCGGGAAACGGACATTCCAAAGTATGCCAGTCACTGCTGAATAGAGATGGAATAGATCCCGAATCTCGAGACTCCGGTGGACGGACGCCTCTTTCATGGGCCGCAGGTAACGGGCAGGCCGATGTAGTCCGGCTTTTACTCCGCCAAAGTGGAGTATTGCCGGACTCCAAAGCCACATGGTGGAATAAGGGCCGTACACCTCTTTTACAGGCCCTAGTAAATAACCATGAATCGGTAGTTAAGCTGCTTGTAGATTCGGGAAGAGTCGATTGCGACTCAAAGGATGATGACGGACGGACACCGCTGTCATATATGGCTCAGCATGGATGGGAGCTCCTTGCCAAACAGCTTCTGTCGAGAGATGATGTAAACGCTAACTCCATGGACAAGTTTGACAGGACTCCACTCTCCTGGGCCGCACAATATGGACAGGAAGGTTTGGTCAAAATGTTACTTGCCAACAATCAAATCAACCCAAATACCTGCGATAGTAACGGCTTCTCGCCCTTGGCATGGGCAGCAAAGCAAGGGCACGAAATGGTGGTGAGGTTGCTACTGAGAAAGGAGGATATTTCTCAAAATTTCCAGGACACAGTTGGTCGCACACCATTAGCGTGGGCCGTGAAAAGCGGGCATGTTCATGTTATTAACGCTTTACTCTCTAAGGAAGAAGTTGACCCCAACATTAAAGACAAATTGGACAGGCACCTTTGTCATGGGCGGCACAGAACGTGCGGACGGGGCAGTTAATCAGCTTCTTGACAAGGATGGGATAGATCCTGAATCTAGAGATGACAGTGGTCGGACTACGCTGTCGTGGGTGGCAGGAAGCGGTGACCCGATATTGACGAAGAAACTTATCGAGATGCACGGAGTAGACGTCAACTCCAAAGATAGACTCGATCGGACGCCTCTTTCATGGGCAACGGAGAACAGACACGAGATCATTATGAACTTGTTGCTCGCTGATGACCGTACAGCTGACAAGCCTCGCAAAAATATCAACTCGGCTCCGAATGGGGAACAGAAACCTCTGAGCGACGAACAGAAAACAGCTATCAAAGAGCCATGGGCTTCGAATTGGCCTCCGTCCCTGCCATCGTACGGAGGTCAACCTAGCCCTCCGGCCCCTGCCGTTGCCACAGAGGCGCATGCGGCGGAGCACAAGATCCCTCCAGGTTTCTCATTGGAGAACTGGGATCCTCGTGAACAGCCCATTCTCCTCTTTGATAGTGTATTTGACGCTATCAGCCTGGGCAAGTGGATCTATGACTGGTCCGCCTACAAGGCAGGATCTCGGGCGCCTCTCGCAGAGATGGCTGGTGAGCTCTGGTTACTCCTTCTCAATCTTTCAGAGAAGACCAGCCGCGCCGAGGGGATTGTTGGCTCGATCCGCAGCAAGGAGAAGAAGCAGATCGTCGAGGAATTCCTTGATAGCAGCGAGCGTCTGATGAGTATACTCCAACTTCTCCTTAAGAAATGTGAGGTGCCTATACTCGAGGCCAGCAGTAAGAAGCAGTCGCTTGGACTAAAGTCCGGAATCGTTTTTGTCGATATACTCTTTGGCCGCGACCACGAACTTAACCGAACAGAGAAGTTCATGCAGAAGGTACGCAAGTGGGCTCTCCGCTTCGATGTCAATACTAGTCCAATTCTGGATCACCCTACCCAGTAAAGGGCTGGAAAGTACGCATTAGGCAACTTGAAGATAAACAGAACCGTGGGAACCGGAAGTTTTGGCCGAGTATATATGGCTCAATCAAGGTTCAACCTTTTATGCTGTCAAAGTGTGGAAGAAGCCCCAGGTAGCCAAGATGAAACAGGTCACTCACACCAACGATGAGCGTCATGCCTTGAGTAGTGTCAAACATCCGTTTCTTGCTTGGCTTTGGGTGACTTGGTAAGATTGGAGACATCTTTCCATGGTGATGGATTTTGCGAAAGGGGGCGAACTCTTTTCACTATTGAGAAAAGCAGGGGTAATTTCTTCGATCTATCATTTTCCATCGTCTGTCGCAGTTCTGCTAACGGTAATATGACTATGTAGAGATTTCCGAATGCAGTTGCCAAGTTCTACACCGCCGAGGTTATACTAGCACTTGAATACCTACATTCCCAGAAATTTATATATTGATATCTAAAGCCAGAAAAAATGCCATAAAACATTCTTCTTGGCAGGCATGGACATATCAAGCTCACCGATTTCGGCTTCGCGAACCTTGTTCCTCATAAAACATGGACTCTGTACGGGGCCCCCGATTATGTAGCGCCAGAAGTAATGGCTGATGAGTGTTACAACAAGTCTGTAGATTGGTAAGTTGGTTTTTAGACGCTTTAGACTATTTGTACGGGGAAATTCAGTCGAATACCCCACTTTGTGGGACACGATAGGCCAGTATCAGGTATCAGTCGAGTACTATTTTGCCAAGCTAGAGACGCAGCGCAGTCGTTTCTTGGCAATTATGTTTGTGTTGTGTTTCGTAGGGTTTAGTGATTGGGTTGGACCTTTCGGCGTGATCTCGGCGGGAGATCATCATGCTCTCAAGGTTATGTAGGCAGGCAGTCCGTGGTTTTTCTTTTTGCCGTGTCTGTTCTCTCGCACGATTCTTGCGCCGATAATCGGATATAGTCCCAGTCTCCCTTGTAAGATAAGACGGCATACTTGCAAAGAATCTTTATAGGTATTCTTGCTCGTCTCATAATCACTTCTGTAGCTCTACTTTCATTTTTAGCTTAATGGTTACTTTATTGGTGGTGCTAAGAAAGACATCTGCCACGGCTGGGTTAAAGAAAGGCTCTACTATTAAGAAGACCACTGTTTCCAAGAACGCTAGAAAGGGTCAAGCTAGTATCAAGATATAAACGAGTACCAAAGGGAAAGGGGCTTCCAAGGGCAAGACGGCCAAAAGTAAAACAACTTCGAAGGGCAAGAACTCTGCCAAGGGCAAGGCCAGCTCCAAAAAAAAAAGATTCCAAGGGAAGGGCATCAAAGGCTAAGCCTATCAAGGGAAAAGATTCCAAAGTCCAGGCTCCGAAAGGTAAGACATTATCCAAGGGAAAGCCTGGACTCAAGAGCAAAAGCCCTAAGCGCAAGACTTCCCAGGGGGAAACTATTCCTAAAGCAAAGGGTAACTCTTAGGACAAGACAAAGAGTCCCAAATCCGGCTCTCCAAAGACAAAGTCTACTGGTCCCAAATTAGAATACCGTGGAAATGGTGATTATAGTAGTGCGTGGTGCAGTGTCACCAAGAGACCAGGTAGCCCCAGTAGCGGCAATCAAGCAGGACCTAGCAAGCAGCAAAAGGTGGATAGCCCTAAAGTTCCTTTATCCGATGATCAAAAGAACAAGGAGAAAGTTGATCATATCCCCGACTGCCAACACAGCATGTACCACGTTGCATGGCCGAACCCACATGAACCTATACCAGAAGGCCAGAAATACATTGACATGAAGATTGGGGATAGTAGTAAAGATAGATTCGACAAATATAACACTCATGGTAGTTCTTTTTCCTGGTCACCCAGAAAGGGGCAAAATCCATCAGCTAACACCAAAATAGCCATCTGGGAAGAGGGTACTGGAATCGGGGAAAATGGCGAGGTGCCTAAACCCCTTACACATATCCAGAATCTTATGAATACAAGTGAGAAAAACAGAGTGAACCGCCCCGGCACAGTCGAAGAGAAGGCTATATTCGGAGAAAACGGCAAAGCACCGAAGGGAAAGAGTAAGCGATCGAGCCTAGTATTTACGATTACACTTTCAACTAACTTTGTTGTTTTAGATTGGACCGAGAAGCATAGAGTCAGGCCAAAGACACAAGAGGAGCTTGATGCCGACCACAAAGCCTCAGGGGTTAAAGGAGATGCCCCACTGATGGTTGACGAACTACAGCGGCGCTACTGCATGGGAAGGCCCCCCATCGATCCCTCTAACAAAGGACGTCATACCGTTTCGGCGACGTACTACAGGTTATTGGAGAGCTCTAGAGCCTCAATAGAAGAGGCAGGCTCCTTTTTCCTCCATCATCTATGGCTCGGGCTTTCGACTCGGCCTAAGATGTTTCCAGGTCCCAAAGACCTGGACAATTCAAGACCTAGCAGACAATATACAGGTCCCCAATATCCTAACCATCATCAGATAAGCTCTTTCAAGATTTTAGGCTAGTAAAAACACAGAGCTGAACAGCAAGATCATATCAAAAACCATAGCGCGGGGGAGGATGGTACGAAATTCAGGGAGGCCACCAATAAGATGAAAGAAATGAGCCACCATAAACCTATCTCCAAAAGCAAGCCTTACGAGAGATCCATTCGCCGTCGGGTTTATTAGACGAGAAAGGAAACTCATGTTCTATTAGTAGATTTTCATTATTAGTCCAGCGTGCGTATTTAAAGATATAAGGTTAGAAACTGTTATCGTGAATTAAAAACAAGCACTTTTTTATTAGGTTCATCACTATCTAAATAGCGACTGGTAAGGTCAGTGGGAATTCACACCACAAGAATATAGATCTATGCAAGTGGGAAATGCAGCAAAATATTTACTAACAAAGACATCTATAAAGCAAGGCAGAGTAGACATAACAATTGTACTGTTTTATCACAAATGAATATTTGCTTCCCATAAAAGATACCTATCTGTCGGAAGGTTTAGCTTAGCCCGACTCTTGCCCGCGCGTAGACCACGGTGGCACACTATAATTGCCCTTCTTATGGCGCCAGCCCTCATCTTCTTCATCGTAATATATATGGTATTTCGGCTGCTTCCTGATGATTCGTTCCTCTGGGTATGAGGGGGTGTACCAATTAAAACCAAGGTATCGCTTTAAAGCCTGCTTCTCCATATAGTCTTGAAGACTTAGGTGAACGGACTCCGACGCCCTCGTCAGAATTGATGCATCTCTCTTAAGGCGGCTTTCACCACTGGAGCTGTTGGGCTTGTATCGAACTGACCTCACCCGGCTAAGGAAGTCACCGCAGGCTGCGATAATCTCGGCAACCGGGTTCGAGTCCGGACCGTCCTTGGATGTTGTGTCTACTGATTTCTTGGGATACTTGAGTTCGTCGTTATTGATCCCGGTCAATCTCGACATCAAATCATCAATGTCGACCACAGCAACATCAACCGGGCCAGCTATCTCGTCACGAACTCTATCAAACATCTGGAATACTGTGTGGCCAGAGTTGCTGTTTTCAAGCGGCGCAAGTCGATCAAGGAATTTATCAACAGCATATTGGGCCTCTGTGAGTGTGTCCTGTCGTGCATTTTGCAGATGAAGCGCTCGAGCGTTGGTGTCGTCGAGCTCGACAACAAGCAGCACGTTACGGTCGCGCAGCTTTAGATCAAGCTCCTTCGGACTGGAACCCTCACGAGCAAGAGTGTATTCAACGCTTGCGAACGGGCCTACGTCATTGTCGTGATAGGGCGGACGTTCCTCGGCCATATTGCAAGGTAACAAGGGCTTGATATGCTCTACATTAAATAGGGTCCTGATTAGCCCTCTGGCATTGCTCTGATGGGACTCAATGAGGGGTCAATTGGGATGGGAATAAGCTCTGGCTGGGATTTCATGGAACTCCTTCTTACTCTTGTAGTGCTGTAGCGCCGTCTTAGCACTCAAAGATCTGCAAGACTCTGTTCGTTGCAGGGGCAATCGATTAGCACGGCGGTGGATCAAACTTCTACCTTCTGGCCTGCAGAAGGGTTGAAGGCGGCATGAGCCTTTAAATGAGGAGTGATGTCCTAAAAATAGTAACTTTCTGGCCATCTGATTCTGGGGCTAACCTCGACCCACCAGCAGAATGTGAAGCTGGGCTGAGCTGAGCGATATGGTTGTTGCAGGTTGCAGCTCCTGTGGATTTGGATCTGACTCATACCTACTTATAGCTACGTGTTGTCTATACATTAGGATGATATTTGACTAAGATGAGAGTTACGTCAGAGAAATAGTATTAAAGTTCAATAGCAATGGAAGATATCAGAGCCTGACATCTCAACATAATGAATAAAGGTGGGAAGTTAGGCTCTGGATTGATACGCTCCAGCCTTGATGCTCTTTTTTACCGGCTTCCTAACTTTACTCTGCTTTACTTTACTTTCATTGAAGCTTCAACCTGAAGTTTGTTTCATACACCTAGGTAGTCAACGCTATTTACTTAGTCCTTCGCGCTTATGTGACACATGAACCAATTCATTAGATACTAATAACGTTATAAACGAACGCTTGGGTTCTCATAGGAGCTAGAAGCTCAAGTGATAATTCAAGTAGTCTACACAAGTATACTCTCTTCAAGTCCAACTCGACTACTAGGTGGCTAGGACTATTTGGCCGAGCACTATATCCAGATGGTTGACTAACCGGTAAATCGAAAGCTCGGATGGTCGTCGCCAAGATTGTTCCGCTCCTCCTCCGGCAGATCGAGCCTGTCGTCACGCCCCCCAGCGTCGCGGATCTTATTCTCCCTCCTAATCCAGAAGTTAAATACACAGGCAACCAGGACGCAGAGCCACACGAATCCGAGCCCCAGCCCGTATCCAAGAATATACCTCGGTGCCTGGGCCGGAAGAAAGATGTTGGAAGCGACGATGCCAGAGCAGTTGCCAATCGAAAGCTGGATGGCAGCACCGACACCTCGCTTGTAGTGGCCGCCAAGGTTGTTATTGAGCCAGACCACGGTGACGGGCTGTGTCAGCCAACATCCGCACGTGATGAGGTACAAGGCGAAATAGCGTGCCTCGACGGGGACGTACGGCGTCGCGAGCAAGATGCCATAGCCGATTGTCGTGATGAGGCAGCCGAGGAGGATAAAACCGAACCGGTGTTTGAGGCGATCCGAGAATATCGCCACGGTGAGAGTGATGGCGGTGGCTGCGATGTAGACGGGGATGGACATGTACTGGGCGCGGAGAGATGTCCAGCCGAGCTGGCTGAGGATATTTGGGATAAAAAAGGAGGTGCTGTACGTCGTGGTGACGATTCCAAGGTACATGAGGGCACTGCCAGGCCGGAGAGGTCAGCACGGACTAAGAGAACAGAGGCATGAAAACCCACCCAAGCCAGATCTTCAAATCGCCCAAAACCCGTTTCGCGGTGGACTTGTTCCAGTGGTTCATGCTCGCGTCCGGAGTGTCCTGGGCCAGCCGAGCCATGACCATTGCCCGCTCTTCCTCGGTCAGGAACTTAGCAGTTTGGGGCCAGTCAGGCGTCACAAAGTACGCGAAAACACCGATGAGGAAAGTGGCAATTCCTAGCACAGGCAAGCACATCTTGTTAGCCATAGCTGAGGAAACGAAACCACCATGGATGCCTACCCTCGATTATAAAGATCCATCTCCACCCGCCATAGCCCGCAACCCCCGACATGTGAGCGATGGCGTAGGCTAAGAGACCTGAGAAGGCGCCCGCGAGGATGGATGCCGCGTAAAACAGATTGATACGCCATTGAAGCTCGTGGCGCTTATAGTACATCGAGATCAAGTACACACAACCTGGGACGAATCCCGCCTCAAGAAGACCAATGAGGACCCGGCATACGACGAGGCCACCAAAGGACTGGGTGACACCTTGGCCGACTGTGACAATACCACACCCTACAACGATGAAACTGAGGATCACGGAAGGCCTAGCCCGCTTGAGGAACATGTTTGAGGGAACCTCGAAGAGAATGTATGTTATGAAGAAGGTGAACAGGGCAATGTTGTAGTCGCTTCCTACCATGCCAAGGTCCTTTTCGAGTCCTTGAATTCGAGCATTGCCAATGTTGATGCTTAGCTTTCTGTTAGTTGTGAAGAGTATTGTCGTTGAATCTCGAAACATACCGACTATAAACACCTCGAGTCAGTAATTACATTGAGTATATTACAACACACCAGGATCAATAAATTGGCTTTATCGCCAAGTATGCGTTATACTAGACAAAATGAAACGCGGAAAATACGTACTGTTGGGACTGAAGTTAGCCACTGCCAAAACCACAACGGTATGTATTGGATGAGATGATGCTACGTCCATCACGAAGACTAATCTCTAAAAATGTACAGAGCAAGAGTAGGCAAAGGATCGGAATGAGGTGCAAGTCGATCTTGCGGACAAGCTTCTTTTCCTTGTCGGGATCAATCTCGGTCAGTAGGACCTCTCCAGCCTTCTCGTCAAGGTGGCGGACCTCCTCGTGGGAGGCCTTTTGCTTCTCAGTAATCATTTTCTGTAGGGTCAGCTCCGTGTTTGAGCTCTCAGGTTGTACTGCGAATAGCTACTCTCAATACCATGTTTCCAAATCTGGGGAATGGAGGATGTTGTATACAAGCCCTCTCCTCATATACTCTGTGGGTCAGTGCTTGCATGTGTCCCGAGACTACCCCGTGGGGTTGGATCTAGAGAAGGTAGCATTCGCGTCTCGTAATGGATAGAGATCGGATCGAGAAACATGAGGCAGACGAACCAGATTCGTCTCCATCGTCCCTCCGCGTCCGTTCCGATCTCCCCGCAACCCCGCACGCAGCGCATTTCTACGCAAACACGGGCTTCAATATATGGAGACTATAGTCGATGGTGTGAAGCACGGAGCGCAGAAACATGACTAGGGGAAGTCTAACGTCCAATAGGGTGGAGGAAGCGGAACAGATCCCCAACCATCGGGATGTAAACTGACCCTTGTGCAGTCTCCGATGCCGCGTCTCTTCCGCCCCGTTGCAATCCTAATGCTTCAGACGGTTGGGAAGCAGTGCCGCTTGGCATTCATTAGTAGTCGTGGTAAAGGTAGTGGTTATTCATATGCTCAAGCGTACCAGGTTAAGATTGCGGCTAGATAGAAGGAAAGCTTTATAAGCCTTTGTATTGATAGCTCTCTTTCTGCTGAACCTCATCAGATCCAAATTTAGCCTACCCTCTGTTGAACAGATGCTAGCTTTCTTCAACTTGAGCGATGATATTCTCAGATGTGTCAATAAACAACTTTATTAAGGATCTTGTTTCGCTATCAAGGAGTGACTATAGTCCTTGAATGAAGCTATATTCACTTGTCGCATTTTGCATCTAGCTACTCTGATTCTTTATATGACGTACTAACAGAGCTTAGAGCCATAGATAGAATCAACAAAGAGACTGGGTTCTTGTCTTGTTTTGTATCACAGGACGGACGTTGTTGAAATTAAGAGTATTCTGAAGATATACTCAACTTTTATCTTGACAAGTTTACTAAGGAAACGAAGAGAAGATGATGTATCTTACATTGCCCTTGGCCACGCCGCTGCAGGATAAGATCGCCAATAGGGGATTTTAAATCCCTCAAATGACCGAGCTCTCGTGGCCTTAGGCATAAAAAACATTTGTTTGGAGGGACTCGGTTCTCTGGAAACAAAACATTGCTCCATCACTCAAACCCATTAGAAAAGACACAATACCACCAGCCCAGCCCAATGGTCGTAGGGCGTCACGGAGGCAGCAACCGACATCTTACGACTTTTGTCGGCAAAGGAAATCGCGGTGTGATCAGCAGAAACCTTGTTCCAATTGCCACTCAAGACATGTCGAGTGTCAGTACGGCCACTTATCACCGCCGCGCCGAAGCTCCCGACGCCGCCAAGCTTCAGTTCCGACAACAGCAGACGCAGAAAGATCACTTGCAACTCCGTCTTTAAATCCCACTCCGCAGCATTATACCGGCGCTAATGTGCTCGCGTCAAATATCACTGCAACTCCGAACGTCCAGGTGTCTTGTCATGCGCAGTGTTTTGGGGCCAAGAATGGTCTCCAATGGCTCAGAGATACAGGCACTGTTCGAAACCCTTCAGTCAGCAAAAGAATCCCGTGCATAACTATTTGATTTCCTTGTCCAACCTAACGTTTGCAGTTGTCAACTTTGACCCATGTTCAAGTCATCCCAACCAGCGAATTTGCTCTGCGCAATACTGTGCAGCACCTACAGTCGCCCACATGTCTTCCTCCGAAACAGCTTGAGGAACAGCTCTTGATCGAATATTTCGACAATATCGACCCTATTCAGCACTTGATTCACGTGCCAAATACAGTCATCCTGTTCAAGAATCTATACTGCTCGGCCCACCTGGGCGAGCCAGTCTCCCCGGCCAATGTAGCGTTGGTTCTCTCGATATGTGCAACTGCCGCTTGGTTCCGTTCAGCCTCTGGGTTTCTACATATTTCACCTACTGAGGCATCAAGTCCTACCCATCTAATACATTGCTTGCTCCAATATGTCTGGGAGGTATTCGAAGCTACACGCCATGGAAGATGCGCTGGGTATTGATGAAGGTTGTGTCTTTGACAGGGGCCTCTTTCGCACCGCGATCCCTGCTAGTTGCTTGTAGCGAAATTCAAAGTACCTATACCATGTTAGGAAGATCCAGGGTGATACTTCTTGTTGCTAAAAAGCGACCATGGAGCTCAAGGGCCCGCGGGGGTTACCGAACTATGAGGTTAAGCTTCAAGCAGTCTACTTATTCGCACAGTCTATACTAGACGCTTGGTCTCAAATCATAGAAGATATCCAAAGGTGTTCAAAAAGTTGAAACAACATCAGCAGTCTACATCCCATTGTTACATGACAGTACGGAGTATACCTTCCTATCGAGATCGAGTAAGCCGCACGGTCCACGAGGATTTTCATATTTGAACCAACGGAAACCTTGAAAATTGTAAGATTGTTTCATCGGGGCGACTAGGTAATTTGGACATGAAACACAAATAGTTCCGAAATTCCCGATCCATGAACTACTGTCGAAAGTTGCCGTTGTCGATCAGTAGATAAAGCGCCGAGCATTCACGAGCTCTTTTTTAGATTGGCCCATTAGCTTTGTTGCTTCAGGACTTTAACTGAACCATGTACCAGCACGCATTCCTTTTTACCCTTTTTCTGGGACCCATCACAGCCCACGCAGCTAGAAGCTGTAAGCCAGCCGTGACAGTTACGGAGTATGTGACGGTAACTGGAGCCCCGACACCTGTCTCCAGCCTCTCTACGCCCCTGACGACCTCGACCTCCATCGCATCAGTGACCAAAGCTAGCTCAGCTCCGGAGCAGCAACCGTCTAGTGCTGAGACCAAGAGTCAATCATCAGCTCAGGTCAATGACTCATTGCCTAGTTCCACCGCCTCCTCCCCATATGCAGATGCGACGGAGGTGAACGTCAACATCGCAGCAAAAGTGCAATGCGGAAACGACGATCGTCTCATCATGCCAGGCTTGCCCTGGACAGTCGCCAACTCGATGTATAATTCCAACCGAATGGTCGGGACGCAATGCACCAACTACAACAAGGTTCTGCAGACATCCGACAAGACGTACCTGGTTGATTGGACCAGCACCACGAACATCGAGAACGTTGCCGACACAAACGACATCTGCAAGGGCTACTCAAACATTGGCATTGGAAAGAACCTGAAAAAGCGTCTCTCCGAGGTCAAGTCTATTCCTACCTACTACAAGTGGTCGCGTACGATTGACGGAGAGTTCAAGGGTAAGACTAACTCTAGCATGCTGTTTAAACCTCTGCGATACTGACCATGGCCCTCTTGCAGGTGCGAATATTTACGACTTCATCACATCCCCCGTCCTCGGCGCAGGCGAAGCACCAAGCAGCAATGAGTTCATGCTCTTCCTGAAGATTTGGGGCGGGCAGGTTCCAATCGGCTATGCCGACGGCCCTGCCGCCACTTTTGACATGTACGGCACGACATGGAAGATGTATCAGGGCGAGAACACGGGCTCTGGCCAGACTGTACGAAGCATGATCCCGGACACGCCCTTTGAAGGCGAGTTTAGCGGAGATTTGAAGGTCTGGCTGGACGCGATGGTGGAGAAGGGCTATGCCGGCAAGGACGAGTACCTCAACATAGGCAACTGTGGTGTAGAGGTCTTCTATGGCAATTCTCACATGGATGCCACTGTTGCCCTGGATATCCAGGTCTAAGGAAATTGAATGTTTGTAGTCCTTAAGATCTCCCAAGTCTACGGGCTGGTGGCTGCACTGCACCCTGAAAATATATGTTACCTGAGCCTTTTCAGAAATTGAATTCTCTTGCCACTTGGTAATAGTGGGGTATTGCATGTACATATACCTATGCCAGACCATTCATTCTTAAAAAAAAATCGGATTGAGTTTGGATGCTATTAATCGTGCCGTAGGCCCCTTTACCATGGTGATAGTTGAGGCACCGTTTACATATACCGCTATAGGGTAGCCATATCTTCCAGATGAAGCTGACGCGTGCGCCAAGGACAGGCGACATTTACAAGAAAAACATATCATGACGCGTCGACCGCGTCCTGTTTCTATTTTCATTTTGCCTCTGCCCAGAATTGTTCCAGCGCGTCCTGGCGAACCTCATAGGCCCAGTGGTGGCATGTCTGGTGCACTACAGGGCTCACATCACCAACGCCATCGTCGTCGTCATCGTCATCAGCAAACACGCTGCGTATCCCCAATGCCACGTACTTCTTGAGCAGAGTCCGTCGCCAGCGGCCCGTCTCCCCTACGCACTTCTTCCAGCGGCTGATCTGTCGCCCGTCATCGTCGCAACGGCGGCCCATCCAGAAGCGACAGTACCATTGGAACCAGCCGCGGACATCGTGCTCATGGGCGATCCAGCCAGCTGCCTCCCATTCCTCAATGCTTTGTCCACACGCAACGCCGTACTTGTTCACCTCGGGGCTATACGAGGCGCTGGTGAGATATGTGTCCACGTCCAGCCCGGCTGTCCATGATGCTGGCAGCTCCCTCCAATCGTCCTGTACCGTGATGCGCAGACGCTTTGAAAACAGCGGCCGCCAGTAGGAGCCGCCGAAACTTCCCTCGCGGATGATCTCCTCGGGCGATTTGTTTGGACGAAAATCGGGATGCGACTCGAAATGAAACGTACCAGCGTCGTCACGAGAAGGCTCCCCGGCTTCAGAAGTCCATGCAGTCCACCCAGCTACAATTGCCTCGACATCCTTGGACGACTCAACGTCTGACCCAGGGACTGAAGCCGATGCTGAGGGAGCTCGCTTGGTGTTGGCAGCCCGGGTCGTCTTGGCCTTCCCGCGTGGCGTAGATGTAACAACTTGCTGATCGTCGTTGTAAACTGGCCTTGCGTTTGCTGTGGCTATGCGTTTGGACTGTCTCGTAGGGGCGCGACTTGAATTGGCCTTCCGTTTGATGCTCTTGCTGCTGGTGTTGGGCTCGGAAGGTCGAGGCTCAATATTGGTGACTAAAGGTTGTATTTGGTCGAGAAGAAGCTCGTTTTGTTTGATGTTATGTCGTCGGCGAGCTGTAAAGTCTGCCATTGAGATAATCACAAGTGAAAGCTGTGAGCAAAAGGGCGAGCTAAGCAGAATGTATTCCTCTGGAGAAGCTACTTGATGCCCTCGACGACGTCATAGCGCCAAGACACTGAGATGAAGGACATATAGGGTCACGTGACCACCCAGCAGCTCGCCTGAACAGTTCACAAACTCGTGTCTTACCTATTCATCATCCTCCATGGTCCGCCCCTTTTTTACCATTGCCTCAACGCGCTCGACTTCGCCGGCAACCCAGTCGCGGAAGCTGTACCAGACATCATCAGAACATAGCCAAGAGGCCCATTGCCAGTAAGGATATTGGCCATCCTTGAAGTTCTCGCCACTGCCCGGGTTTCGCCAATGCGCCGGTGATATCATGAAATGCATATATCCATCGCACTCTGTTGCGGGCGAGAGGGCAATGACTTTGGAATAAACATCCTCGTCCAAGTCAAGGGACATGGACCACATGAAGTTCTCCACGTCGTCATCGGCCAGATCAATGTCCTCAAGACCGTTGATGCCGCCGCCGAGGAAGTGCCAGCCTCCATAGAAGCTAGAGAGGGTCAGCAAGCCTAGATTTGCAGACGGGGGAATGTTGAGACAGTGACGACTTACCCATTTGCGATGCGAACCATCTCTTTGAAGTCGGGTGGAAGTTCGCCAACCTTGGCTTCGGCCTCCACGATTTCCTCCTCTGTCGCAGGGGAATGCAGAATGTCCTCGGCGCAAGTGAGACCTTGCCCTTCATACTCTGTGCGGTTCACTGCCCATGCCCCCTTGGCAAGTCTATCCAGCAACTCTTTCCAGCCAACCTTTTCCGGCGCAAGTGACCATTGCCGTCCTTCTCGCGCACGCAACTCCAGGGCTGCCTTGACTTCTTTGACCATGGCATCAGCGTCCTCTGTTTCAATGTAAAACGGACTGCCTTCCTTTCCCCTCTTGGCCAAGAGAGGCAGGACGTCGTAAATTCCCGGCAGAACCAGATACCGTTCCAACTGGCCTCCATCAACATCGTTGAAACCATCGAGCCTGAGTCCCATAGACAGGATTTCGGCAGCAGTCTCAAGCTCTCCGAGCCTGATGGCTAGCTCTACAATCAACCTCCGATAGAGCAGGTAAGAGTGTCTTCTCACGGTCTTGTTTCCGTCCCATTTGAATTTCCACTCCGTGATTGGAGCCTGGGGACGTGCGTACAGCTTCTTCGCCGCATCGAGAGCTTCCCGCATCCTTTGCTCACTGGGGTACTGGCCCGGCGTCTTGTCCTTCGCCAGTAGCCGCGCACACATTGCAATCATGGGCTCGTCGTCCGTCTCTCGCCATTTGTGTGGGTCTGCCGGCTCGGGCAAGTTGCAGTGCTCTAGCATCCAGCCAGTGCGGGTGCATTCGCGGTACTCGTGCCATTGTTGGGTTTTCCTCCGAGCGGACGCGGCGTCCGGATCCTCGGGTTTCTCTGGCGCCTTTCCGGGATAGGGGTATATCGGGTAGGCCTCCCAGAAATGGCTAAACGGCCGAGTTCCAATCTGCAACGCATAGTTGCTCAAGGAAGACGGCGGTAGTATGGCCTCCTGGTGCTCATATAAGGCACAGAGGAGTGCATAGGCTTGATCAATTTGGTCAGACAGGAGAAGGAGTTGGGCCAGGCGGCTGATTTTGCGCAAACCCTCGGTGGCATTGACGGGCTCCAACAACGAAGACACTAAATCGGAAATGTTGTGCCTTACAAAGTAGCCACTCTCGCCGTGGTCGGCTTGGTCAATGTATGATAGTGTTGCCATTTCGTCGTCTCCTCAGAATATAGTCGCCTGCGAATTGTGAAGAGCGTGAATCTCTTTTAGACCCGCTTCACGACGCGGATGCAAACGCAACCACGTGACATAAGACGCTCAAAGAAGTACCGTGAAACTAAGCACCATAAATCAGAGTGGAACATGAGAAAGCTTCACTGCTCGGCGCAGCTTCAATGGAAGCTTTCTTACGCTGACCTTGCGAGTTGGAGCTGAGAGCGTGTGAGCTGAGTACCGTAATTATCAACAGGTTTGCTGGTTGACTATTATATGAAGTTTGTACGTGGAATTCCTGGGCGTTTCAGGAACGTGACTTGGAAATCCCAAGATGGCGCATTTTGTAAGTCCGAGGGTCTCAGGTACTGTTATTCAATGACCGCTTTCCCAAATCCACCTCGATCCCCACCAGGTCTTCAAACTCACTTGCTATTAGGCAGAGTGATGAAAGCAGATTGAGAAAGGAGACCTAGTCCTTCTCCCTGAGCGGTGATTGCAACCCTCTCAGCTACAGAGGATTCGAAGCTGGTTTATATGGTGACATTCCACGACTTGGACAAGTAAGCCAAAATCAAGGACCTGGTTATCCGGCCACCACATTTTCGCAAGGTAGCCACCTACAGGGGTGGGGTGGTTGATTTGTAAAAAATAGGTGGTTGGATAACCGCCTCCAAAATCAACTGTCCACGACATAGGAAGGATTGAGGGGTGAAGAGGTTCAGTCAGATTGAGACCAGATCGCGACTAGTGCTGACTGTTGTCTGTAGGGCTATGGGGGCGACAATGCAACGTGCCAAGAACATCGAAACAGCCCTGTCCAAGAGTCAACTATATAAGAGGGGTAGACACGAGCTTTCTCGACCCATTAACCTGCTCAAGATACACCCAAGTCTATCTACACCATCATGGCTAACCAGTCACCATCTCTCAAGAGTCTGGCGGAGACCATCTCCCAAACCGCAAACGCACTCGCTGCCAAGCTTGAGCAAGATGGATTCCCCGCGCCCTCTTTTGCTGAGGACGGCCTTGCCGACTACCCCAAGATGCCAGAACTAATGGGCATCCGTATGACACTCCTTGACGCCGTGGCCGACTTGCAGCGGCTTGCCTTGGGCCCGATGGACTCAAACTTTCTGGTTCCCATCTTGGTTGGTGACCCTGGTTCTGTTTGTCCTCTTCTAAAACATCAGCTGACCTTTGAGATAGCTAAACTATGATGCTACCGCCATTGATATCTTAAACCAGTTCAACTTCTGGGACGCAATTCCTCTGGGAGGCTCGGCGACTTATGCCGAAATCGCCACCAAGGTAAACCTGCCAGAGAGCCTGGTCCGCCGCATCCTCAAGTACGCCACCACCAACCGCATCTTCGCCCCTGCGCCTGGTAAGCCGGAAAGCGTTGTGCACACGTCCATCTCGGCCGCGCCAGCCAAGAACCCTCTCCTCAGGTCCTGGATTCGCCACAACTTTGAGGAAGCTCGACCCGGTGCTGTTCACATGCCCGAGTCCTTCCGCAAGTTCAGCGCCGGCAAGGAGCACCCTAGCGAGGAGCCTGCAGAGAGCGGGTTTAGCACAGCCAACGTGGACCATCTTGATAAACCCGAGAACTTTTGGGACTACATGGCCCGTGATGTCGAGGGTAAGCCCAAAGGCTGGAGAGCTGACGAGTTTGCTGCGAGCATGAAGGCTGCTGCTTCTGCGTCGGCCATCAAGGTTGAGGATTTGTTGAAGACTGGCTATGACTGGCCCAAGCTTGGAGACGTGACGGTTGTTGATGTGAGTCAGTCTCCTCCCGCTGCGGATGAGATCATGCTAACATCCACAGATCGGTGGCTCGGGCGGCCACGACGCTCTTGTCCTCACTGAGGCGTTCCCCAATCTGAAAAAGTATGTCGTGCAGGACCTCCCTGAAGTGGAAGCTTCGTTCACGGAGCGCATTCCGGAGGATAAACGGAACCGGATCAAATTTGAGCCGCACGATTTCTTCAAGCCCCAGGAGACCAAGGGCGACGTGTACATACTAAAGACCATTCTACACGATTGGCCTGACAAGTACGCGGCGCAGATCCTGAACCACTTGGTCACACACCTCGAGTCTGGCTCACGCCTCCTCCTCGTGGAAGCCATTGCCCCGCCGGACATTACCCAGCTTCCCTTCAACACACTTGCGCGCATGATGGGTGCGGCAGACTTCCAGATGCTGAATGCCTTCAACTCGCTGGAGCGTAGCATTGACGACTGGAAGGGGCTCTTGGCAAAGGTTGACGAGAGGTTGGAGATTACATACACTTCCCTGGTTCCAGGGTCGTTGCATAACTTTATTGAGATTCAGATCCGCGCTTGAAGTAGCTGGGTATATAGTTGCGAGTTTCTCAGATTGACATAGTATTTGCGTTATCGAGCAGATTCGGTGTAGTAAACAAATTAGCTTCACGACGTTGGTTCTGGAAATCAAGCCATCTAACAGGCCATCTCTCTATACATAATGAATATGTACTGCAGCCTCTGTAAATTGCGATATTCTATGGTATACTCATCATAGGTAGATAAATGCGGATAATTAAAGTGGAAGACAATAACAATATTCCTTTATTGCCGAGAAAATAGTCTCCAGGGAACTACAACCCGTAATGGATGTATGGTATCCAATATAGCTGCTGTTCCTGATCGCAGAGCTCAATGTCTCTGGATACTTCCCGGACAGAGGGCTCTGAAACTACCTTAGCCCTATTATCAGCAGAAGCTTTGCCTCTGCTAGACTCCTCCCTATCCCACAACCACCTATCACGAAGACTTCTTAATGCATGATGCAGTCCCTCGGCCACAGATCCCCTAGCCAATTGCTTATCCTTGATCCATGTATAGGTGTCAATTGCCACACTGGGGCAAACACCATCTTCGACATTCCAGAGCGTGCCCACGACATTTTGGAAACCGACAAGCTCAAACGCGCTCATCAGATGGATAGATTCGTCAGTGGAGTTTCTACCCGATATCTGCCCTGTTCCGCATGCCGAAAGATACGCTAGAAAAGGCTGTTGCTGGTTAATGTTAGAGTCGAATAACTGATCGACTGTCAGGGTCCCAGCATCCAGTACCAAACAACTCTGCAATGGGTCAAGAGAGTTGGCTCGGCCGTGTCCTGCAAAGTGAAAGATGCGGCAGTTTTCCAATGCAGATAGGACTGCTTCCCTGTTCTGGAGAAGGCTCATTGTTTGTAGCTCCATGCTTTGGCATATCCCCTCCAATTGGTGGACCTCTTGGGGAGCGAATGGCAGGTTTTGTGTCCCAACGAGGACGGCCACTTCTCCATGTTCGGCTTTGTTCGGTGTTCGATCAGTCTCTGATTCTGTCTTATTGTTTTTACGAGCCTGGATAAGCGACTTGACCGACGAGCTGTAGGATGATATCACTCGATCAATCACAGTGTTGGTCGATCCTTGATGGTGGTAACCTGCTGCGTGAATAGGTAATCCGACGAGGGCGTTTGTGGGAATCCACCAAATATGAGGCCAATCAGCGCCAGTAGGTGTCTCTGTAAATCCTAACGCGTCGAGCACTGGCTTAGCTATAGTGTCCCATAACCATTCGAGAACCATTGGATCGAACATAGCAGCTCTGATGTTGGGAATGTCTTCATGTTTTAAGCCAGGAAGGGGCAGTGTTACAAGCCCTGTTTGTTTGATCAGTACGGCGTCGCACCGTTCAGGGTTTGTGAGAAGTAGAACGATGGGTCCATGGATTGCTGCAGATAGAATGTCATGCTCGGATGGAGGTAGCAGGAAGTCCTCAAATCCAGGAAGACGACGAATTTCCTGTGCTTTTTCGTCAAGTAACCTTTCTACATCGTCCATATTTCTAGCTTGGTCGAGCACCCTAGGAGTCATGTGAAACTGAGCCTGTAAATCGTCAATGACTGAAAACTCTGCTGGATGACTGATCTGCAGGCGCTTGAGCATACTGCGCTGCAGTACGGAGCCAATAATTATGCCCCTTCCAAGCTCATTGAGTCGGATTATCTCAAATACAGGCTTTTCTAGCATTAATGCTGTTGTTGTCGCAGCAGAAGACAACCCCCAGGAGACTGAAAGCAGATGATTCTTATAGGCGTGATCTTGAGAGTGGTGAACAAGAAGAGGCACAAGAGCAGAAGTGGTACATGCAATTTCATATGCACGAGACCAAGATTCTCCGGAGGCGAGGATGTGTAATATCTTGATCCCAGACTCCAGTCGCCACCTCGGGCCAGATAGTTTGTGGTTGAGGGATTCATGATAAAGTTCCATCATGTTTGCGAAATCGATGTCGTCGCCTAGCAGCTCGAATCTTTCTTCATACGCGGAGGCCGCATGCCACATCAGTTGAGCGCTGTCTGGATCATTGTCATCTGTTTCGTTGATGGCATCCAGATGTATGCGGATACAATCTTCCAATTTGGTTGTCTCCCCTGTTGCATCAAATCTTTCGTCGTGTGCGAGTCCGAGATCATGGCAAAAGCATTTTCGGGACTTGCTACTTGGAGGGAGAAGGTCCACTGCTTCTTGTAGTGCCTCTATTGCATTCTCAATGTCCGAGTCCGAGCCACAGCTTGATATTATGAGCCCATTATTGGTTTGAAGCGTTTCATGCGCATTATAATGTATCAGATCACACTTCCGAATAGCATCAAATGCGTAATCCCGTTGATCAGGTGAACGATAAATTATAGAGAGGGCAAGCGCCTCTTTTAGTCGATGCCGCTCCCGATAGCATTGACCAAGGGTTCTTAAAAAATAGGCATAACTCAGATGATCTTTCTCTGTAACATCTATAGCTTTTCGAATCACCCGAATAGCTTCGTCAATGTATTTCATGCTCAAATAAAACTCCTGGTTGTCTTGTCGAGAGCTTCTTTCAACATATGCGACGGCAAGATGCTGTAGCAGCCGTGGGAAATTCTCATCAGTATCTAGCGTTTGCTTTAAAATACCGTAAATCACATCAATTTTCTGGTCCAGATCCTTGATAGCTCCATATTTGTCGTACTGAGTTCGATGTGTCTTCAAAAGAGTATAGAGTTGACCTAGCCTTTGTGAAGCGTCTGCTGTCGGCGAATCGGTTGAGGCTTGCAAGAGCTCTATCGGTACTATTTTGTGCGCCATTACTTGTATTGTTTGTTAAAAATAGGCTTTAGCTAATGGAAAGTGTATATGTGATGATGAATTATGGTTTCGACTGATAATGAAGTTATATATATTAGTGTAAGATGAGATAAATTTTACATTGATGCCCAATAACTACAGGAAGCCCAACACCAATAGGTCACGTGTATACTCGTGTAGTAATCGCTTTCCGCTTATTAGATACTAGGATTGCTTAGGCCAGTGAACCTATAATATAGAGGTCTATCAAGCGTATATGCATTACACCTCTTATTCATTGTGTTGAGATATCGGATTTGGCATCTTCACTTTGAATTTAGTTTCATCCGCATATATTACATTTTCATGTTATGAGGCGCCACTTAGACGAGGCTTTGAGAGCACAGCAGGGATCTCTCGCCGCCTTGTCCTTAACCAGCGGCTACGTGCCGACTATTTAGAAGAAATCCCGACAGGATTCGACAGGATTAAGGAAGTCAATGATATTGCTGAAATGAAAAGCCAACCAATGCAAACAATTGTGAATATACTTTGCATAGTTAACAAGTCCAGTCAATATCTGTTGCGGCGTCATTTATTCACCGAAAATCCCAAGCGGATATCAAGTCGGAGGAATTATCGATGGAGGATGTGGTGCCTCAATTTGTTTGGCACCCAAAGGATTGAGAAGTCCTTTCATAGCTCTTGTTATATTCGGCACGGCTATTCTATGCTTCGGTGCTACAGTCGTTAAATGTATGATTGTAGTTATTTATAGTCGGTTAGAGCTGGATGAGAACGAGCAAGTGCGTTTTGTCGGTGTTAATAGTCTGCTTTAACTTAGCCTGATGATTTGCCATGCTATGGGCAAAGGCTGTGTAACGTCTCTTAGATTAGTATCGCCACATACTTTGCGTGCTCTAGTCCTGCGCTAATAATTTTATCATTAAGGGCGACATGTCTTGAATGATGCCATGCTGATTTTGCCAATGGTGGCGTTATAACTCGCAGAAGGGGATTTGTTACGTTCTTACATAGCTACGCCGTTGGTCAAAAGACTCGTTAGCATCACCATTCAGGGGCTTACATGGCTCGTAGGTAATAAAGAAGAGGGAGGTATCTCCTTTGCTAAAGATTAATGTAAGTATATGCCGAAAGAGGGGAATCCAACGTTTGTGATGCCTAAGGATGGCTGTACAGAGGTGAGCGAGCTTGGGTTGGTGTTACGGATAACCTGGCTCATGCGGTCATCATGACAGAGCTGGCTGCCTCAAGGGAGGAGCACCGTCTATGTCTCTGTAAGACTGCATCATCGCGGACGAAATACTCCACGTCTGTGCTCTAATGCCTGCCCAGACCTGGTTTATGACCCGCCCTGCCGGAAGACCGAATTGCTTGGCGGATATCTAAAACAAACCAAGACACTCTGGCCCTGCAAGCCGTCATTTGATTGGCCAATGCCCCCGATGAATGCTGACTAGCCAAGACCAATCGCGGATATGCTTTTGGATGACGACATGGAAATCGTGATCGCCTGCGTATACGTCGTTGGTCCATGTTTGCCAAACGCTCAAACCTGTTTGGAATTACGTCAAGTGGCGTGCTCGTAATAGAGCTTGGACAATGGGATGGCTATTAAATGCATCGGATAAACCGTGAAAAGTATATCACCAATTGCAGTCAGCATCACCATCCAGTGCATCTCACTCAACAGGGGGCAACTTTGACCACACACACCACGTCTCTAATTCAATTGGGATCACCGCAATCATGGCTAATCTGGCAAATACTGCTTTTCCCGTGGAGCCTAAAGAATTCCCTTCGGTGGATAGCAAGGCTTCAGATAGTGAGCCGAATACACACGCAGTCACATCAATTGCATTTACTGACATGATACTCCAGCCACCTCGACTCCCGCCCAGGCCCAGGCATTTTCTTCCCAGTCCCAGTCCTTCTCCGTGCCCCGAAAGGCAGTGCACAATGTACCCGGAGAGGAGAAATATGCCGATCAACCACGCACAAGCACATTGAAACAAATGGGTACGCAGAATCTCGGCTGGATGATATGATGGTTGAGGCAAATGTACTAATCGTTCTAGGAGCAGTCAATCCGGACAGCCTCTACAAGTACACCAGCGTGAGATATCCCAATAACTTACTGTTGACTTCACGGCATTAGCTTACGATTGATAATAGTGGGAAGACCCAGTCCGCACCCTCGGCTCGTACGTTGGTATTATGAGCCTCCTCTGCGGAGCACACTACCTTCCCCTTACTCAAACAGCTCTCAAGGCGGGAGCTACGATTCTTGGAGGTACGCATCAATTGGTCAATATTGGTAGTAAAAGGAGTGTATACTGACCATGTTGCATCCAGTGGCCGCGACCGTCGAGTACGCCCATCGCTCCTTCACTCGCAACACAATCCTTGCCCGTCTCCGCCCAGCCGAGTATAAGAAGATCCCAGAGCCAGTCCTCAACGACACACTCAAAGATGTCCACGATCTTGTGCAATATCTCGTTGTCGAGGCCCAGAGAATCGTTCTCGGCGAAAACTTGGGGAAAACCTTTGGAGTACGTTTGCTTGACTGCCGGGCCCTCGGGAATTGAGCGTTGGCTAATTGATACGCAGGCTTTCATTACTCTCGCTACCTTGTACTGGCTCGTGAAAATCGTCTCGCCATTCGGATTGGTCCTCTTGGGCACCACCGCGCTCTACGCGGCCCCCCTCGTTACATCTCGCCAGGGCCGCGAAGTCCTCGAAGCTGCCAAAGCTCGCACTGCAGACATGAGCAACGCAGCCTTAGAGAGCTCCCAGGCACTTGCCCAGGCTGGAAAGGACAAGGCTGCTGGACTCTCAACCGCGACTCAGCAGACTGCCGCAGACGCCAAGCGACGTGCCGGAGAACTCGTGCAGGGCGGAACCAGTCCATCCAAGACCACAGATGAACATGCCAACGCCTTGATGGAGGCGGCCAAGAATACCGTTGGAAAACCCTCCGACAAGACAAGCCGCGCTGTTGGCCAAGATCTTGACCAGAAGCCTCGTTCCAGCCATGATACCACCGCTGTCCATTCGCACAAAGATGCAGGGAACATGAATCTCTCCGGCAGCAAGTCTGCAGGCGTAGGTAAACTCACCGACCCATTGTCCAATCCTCCGGCCACTGCTGGCGGGATCGCAAAGGAGCACACCCATAAGTATGCAGAGCCTGCACGTCAACCTCCATCTTACCATGAATCGCGCCTGGCCGACATTGGCCTCGGCTCGGTAGGAAAGCCCATTGTTGATACCGGCGACAGCCATTACGAGCTCAAGAACACCTCACAAGGCTTGAGAGACGTGACACAGTCCACTCCTAGAAAACACGATGCCAGTACATCCGTGGCTACTACCAGTGCAGCACCTGGCCTTGCCTCAGAAGTGGAACAGGAACAGGCTGATACTAGCATCCTCGACCGACCTCGCGCCATTCCTCCTCTGGCCAACCTCGACCAGACGTCTCCAGCATTTGGCAAACACTAAGCCAATCGACTTGTACGACTATTTGAGTAGTGTGGATTTATAGCTATTTTTGGAGCTTCTCATAACGTTGTTTTTGGAACCATGTTGGAAGGATTGGCATTTCGAATTTGAAAGGTTTTATGTGGTTAATAATGGATTTTGATATGGATATGAGTTTGCTACCTGGAGTATTAGGCGGAAATTGTACAATTACGCCCCAAAATAAGACTGAGAAATGATCATACCTCAATTACTTCCCACACATGTAAAGCGACTTGTGATCATACTTTGAGATGGACACACTCACCTGCTTTGACTGGCCTACTTCAAGAGATTGGGAAAAGCTATTAAATAGTATTTTCTTTATTAAATACAGAGTGCTATTTTGGGGAGGCAGTGTGCAGGACTTCAAAAGTCCATTTTCTTCAAAGGCCCATCAACCAACACTCCAAGCTTCCAGGCGTTTAATCTCACTAGAAGCAGTAAGATTGAATCTAGATGAGGCTATGTAGGTACATAAACTGGAGAAAATCTGCCTAATCTGCTACTACCAACAGTTTCGCAATATAATACTACTTTGGTCATGCTACATACGCAGGTCGGTCTAATTTGGGGCTAAATGCAAGTCACGCATAAGAAGGCAAAACCAACTGTGACTACCTACATATTCTCACGTAATTGAAACTTGATGCTACGCCCCCCAACCATTCTTTTGCCGGTTCGGGTGGTTTCTCCCAACTAATGCACCGGGCAGTTGGCCCGATCGAGTACATGCAGATCAAGCGCCATTGATTGATGCCATCGATTTCTACGCTTCCTTCCTGTAGGAACTTTTAGTGAGTAAGATTCGTTGGTCTGAAAGACCATTCCTACGTTGGTTTCAACAAAAATAGCTTTGCAACGGCCCAGACGTTGGTATGTTGAAAACTAACCGACTCTTTCTCTGGCTATATATTGGGACACATTTCATTATCCAAGTCTCATTGTTCTTTTCATTGATTTCCCAACCATCTCCAAGCCTCAGAATCCAGAGCCAACAAAAATATTCTCTAGTTTGATTGGATTTACATCGCTGTGCACCGATTTGTTGCATAATCTAACCCTTTCTGACATTGGCTAAAACACACCACTACCATTCTTTTCTCACAATGATTTCTATCGCACCTCGCGCCATTGGCGTTGCCGTGCTGATGATGGCTCATAACGCCATGACAGCAACCCCGCAAGCTGAAAATGTCGCCGTCCAGGCCCGTGACATTTGGGACGGATCCGACCCCTATAGCGCAGGATACGATAAACGTTCTTTCAGCCAGCGCTCCCTCGAGGATGATGAGGTGGCAGCCCGAGCTAGAGATGTTCTGCAGGCCCGATCCGATCTAGCCCAGGTTAACAAGCGGTTTATTATGCACGCCATAAAAGGTATTCTAAAGGGCGCTGTCAAGGCCACAAAGAGCGACGGTCCATGCTATGGCAAGGGCCCGAAGTGCTACAAGAAGGAGAAGGCGCTGCAGGAGAAGAAGGCGAGAGAGAAGAAGAATCCGAAGCCGAAGCCAAAGCCGAAGGAAAAGAAGAAGCCAAAGGGGAAGAGTAAGGGGAAGAAAGGGAAGAAAGGTAGACGATCTCTACCTGTGTGAAATCGAGTCCTACAATCGAGGTCAACTACGGTCGAACTAGCGTGGGGCTCTTATACACAGGCGAGACGGAGTGAGCGAGCTTTTAGATCCATCATACAAATACAGCACAAGGCTCGATGATATATTTAGACTAGGCGCCTTTGAACAAGGCTAAGAATCAAGTGTTCCAATCAATTTGAGACTACTTCGAGTTGTTCCGAAGTTGACTCTTGATCCTCAAGACCGAAATGTACAAGAATTTCTGATTCGACGATTGTTGTTTGTTCAGTCACGATTAATTTGACCCGTAGGTCTTTTGATTCGAGTTATTGCTAAAACGGAGCCGGGTTTTGGAAGGTGCTGGATAACATTCGCTGATAAGTCAAGTGTTTTCGGATCAGGGTTAGCGATATTCGTGTCTTAAGCAAACATCTCCGTATCATCAACACATCAACGACCATCAAACCGTGACCTCTATTTTCGGAAGAGAGCCATTTCATTACCAGACGAAACACGTGTGCTTTAGCATCGTCATATACTAGAATCATATATTCTTACGCAACCCCAGTTACATGATTCGCAAAATCGCTGCATGCTCCTTGCATATCCCCAGGACGACGGTATGTCTGTTCTTGGAGCCAGTACGCAGAAGGAAGTGCAATTTGAGTCTTTCTACTGCTTGATTACATTAAATTGCTGAGTAGTCGGGTATATCAGGCATTTTCGTCTCCACCGGGGGCTTTATCACTCATGAAGTTGAAGTGAACCTGGTCCTAAGGGATGAACATTGATCAAGCAATGATCTCGGATGCAGCTATCAACTAGTGAAGAGACGGCGTAGAAGTTATAACTGAAGAGTTATAGTATGAGGAATAACATTTTAATAATACAATAACTTCCAATAGGTACTAATCGATGTAACTCAAGCTACTCTACCAAATGCTAAATAAATCTCGAGAACTCAGAATCAGGCGGTATTCTCAATCAGACGCATCATCGACAGTGTTTGCATAGTCATCAAAGTCCCAACCACTCCCAAAATCCAAAGCAAGCTATTTCAACATGTCAAGTTTCTCTGGTGGAACATCATAGTCACGCCCGCAAAGCCTATACATTTGCTGCATGCATACACTGCCAGCGTGGGTCGTGCTAGCTGCGTCCAGCGACAACCCAGCAAACGTCAATCCCTCGTCGTCCTTGAGGCCATCAACGCCATCTGCCAGAGCCAACACCTGGCCAATGGCGAACGGCAGCTGCCATTCCTGCTGTATATAGTCTGGCCCAAAGCTGTCTCGGAGTATGGGATCCCAAATCTTCTTGAAGGCAGTCAAGAGCGTCCAGTTCATCTGGTGCATGAGCAGGTAGGGAAAGGAAAGCTCGTAGACCTCCGAGTTCAGCGCAATGGCAAGAGCTGCAAGCAACTTGTGCGGTGAGGCACGGACAGTTTCTGATTGCACTCGTTTCTTGCCATGTTTTTCAAGACTGAGAATCTCACTAATATACTCTGGTGTCCAGTCCATCTGGTTTGCGTTGTTGACGTACCGGCCACGGAAGCGGCCATGAAATGTTGCTCGCGAAGTGAGGAACCTCGTACCGGCTTTGGAAAAGTCATCGACCCCAATCTTCTTGGAACGGCGGTGTCGGTTTATAAGGGTAGATGCCGAGGCCCCAACTTGCAGCATGAATCGGTTGACATAGGCGGATGTGTTGTCAGGCTTGCCTCCAACAAAGAACTGTTCTTCTCCAAAAATATCCATCAACATCTCCATATCGGGCCAGGGTGTCTGGCAATGGCCCTCTTTCAACGTGGCATTGTACAAGTGTGCCGGCAGGATAATAGAACCCCACTGATTGGCGAAGAGAAGGCCAGCCTCGTGCACATCTGCGCGATGGTAGTGCAAGGCGAGCCCCGCCATGATAGGTGACCTCCTCAAGAGCCGCCACTTCTGAATTCCCCTGACCACTCGTTGTCCCTTTGGGTCACCATGTACAGCCATTTTCTTGACCTCGTGCAAGGGATCTTGAAGGAACCATTCGAAACCCTCCAAGCTCTGCTGCAGGCATCGTTGGTTGTGAGATGACCAGTGGGGGTTTCTGGTTTTCTTGCTGAAGTCTACGGCTGATCCCAGCACTCCTTCCATATGAGATAGTCGATCGAGAAGAGTGTCGACCGAGGTTTCGGCGAACTCGCCGACGGCATGGTGTATGTCAAGATTGACTTGAGATGCAAAAATAAGACTAAAGGGAATCTGCTTGGTCTTTTTGAACTGTTCCACCCCTCGGACAAACTCGTCTGTAAAGGGATAGTCGGGGACATGATGAACCAGCGTCAAGGCTTCAAAGAAGAGCTCCGTGGTGATGACGAGGTCTTGGCTAAGCTTTTCGTACACGTTTTAGACCCCCAGTCCGTTTCGAGTTTCAATGTACCAAAGACTCCTCCCTCATAAATAAACGGCGCCCCTCGCCAAGGCACTTGAGCAAGTTTGTCCAAGACATTGCACTCCAAAAAGCAGGACTGGGAGAGTATATTGTAGAACCTTTCCGTCGACTCTGTATCCATGTCCCAGCTACTGGGATGCGTGATGGACTGGTTTGCTGGCATTGGAATGAGTGACAAATAGTAGTCCATTACTTTCCGAACACCGCCATGTGGCTCGAAAATAGGCAACATCTCCTCGATAATGTTTTTACCAAACTCGATGCCAGTATTAGTCACGATGGCCATCACGCCTGGGTCAAACGTCGAGCCTTTTTCACCGACAGTGGTTGTCCAAAAAGTCGAAAGCGCATGCCGGATCTCTCCCAGATCGACGCACATCATGTAGAAAGCAACAATGGCTTCCTCCAATGATTGAAAGGGGTCGACTTCGAAGATCTCGGCTTGTTCTGTAGCCGGCTTGGGTCTTTCAATGTCCGGTGCGTTGACGAATTCCTCGGATGGCACATAGACCTTGAGAGCCTCAAACTTGTTGGACAAGGTGCTGACGGGATCTGGCGTGGGAGAAGCAGCCGCAGATTTGAATTGTTCAAGCGCGCACCTTTTTCAGGACGCCGACAAAGTGAGAATGCTTGGCGTCCGACTCGGCATCGAGAGCTACATTATGCTCCTTGAGCTCCTTGCTGAAGCCTGCCCTGACGGAAATGACGCGGTCAAGCGTGGTGAAGAAAGCCTTTGGGACACACAGGCTGGGGATCTTGGAAGCGGAGATGCATTCCGCCAGCGGGACAAAGTCTTTGATGGAGATGATGTACCGGACCAGAGCTGCCTGTGGCTTCGTAGCGGGACCGGGTTGGCCTTTGCCCTTCGCCTTCTTAGCTGCAGTCCTGGCCTTTCCTTTCAGTCGTCCGCCATTTGCGGGGAGCGGTACAGTGCCGCCAGCACCAGGCGCGCTGGGGAGTAGAGAAGCGGGATATCCGCATTCCTTAGCCGTCGAAGCAAGTCATGTTGCGATGGAATCGGTGTCTTTTTTGTACTCTTGGTACACGCTGACTAGGGATTGTGGCAACATTGCAGCCAGATGGTTGTTAGGTTGCCAAGTTGAACCAAAACACGAAGTGGCCTTGAGCTGTTCCTGTCGTGGGATTCAATCACTCCGATAATAAGCGGTTTGGGCGAGTCAGGTCTTGTCAGTCAACGAACGAGATTGAAATGGATGGAGCACAATGGGTGTTTATGTATCCCAAGCTCAGCCCACACGTGATCTGTTGCCTTTTCTCTTTCTTAAACAACATGCGTTCTAGGCCCAAATTTCAGCTCCTTTTTTTAAAACCTTGACTTTGCCACATGAAGGCTAGGCATGGGCAAGTACAATAAGATAAGTAATGCTTTTAGAAGTCTTGCTGAAGGCGTGGGAAGCTTGACACCAAACCAAACACCAATAAACTCCCTCTTTAATAGATTCCTTTCCATTGTCCTTCGATATAAATAACATAGGTTTCCACCGAGCCAATGGGACGTTCCGGAAAATTGAAGGGTATAGTCTAGGCCGGGGACTGTTTCAGTTCAGCCAATCGAAACACGACACATTCACCCGGAATGGCGTCAACACGCGACGCGCCTCCGTTATCTAATGAATGTTTACGCAAAGACGCGTCAGAGGTCACTTGATCTACAATCAGTTGTCTAGTCGCATTCTATTGATCTATTACGGTGCTTAGACCAGGCTTGTCGGATGTAATTGACGTCATTTCATGGAGCTAGTTTGCGACTTTGCCCAGGGAATACTCTCGCCAACTTGGCCTATCTACCCTATTGCTGTTCAAGAAGTGCTCATACGACTTTGCATGATAAGTTACCACTTCAACAGATTTATGACAATATCTATATATCTATACTATGAACCTACCAAAATATTCAATTTTTCAACGTTTCCTACAAGTTATTTGGGTTATCCTAACAAATTCTCTAATCAACACATATACATGTATACGCACCGTTGTGCGACCAATTCAAGTGACGAGAACAAAGGTAGACAACTAGAGCGGGAAAGCACATCTTGTCCTGCAGTTCATCTCACAACCTCTTTGCAAAGACAGTTACGTCTCGCTGGACTCGACTGTCTCAACATAATCAGGTTTTGCCCGGAAAATAGCTATTGCAAGCAAACACATATCGGTGGCAAAACTGGGAGTTTATCCAACATTTGGTCAATCTACTCCAAAGTCGAGCTTCAAGAGAAATGCGATAAATGACGCATCGACTACACTGATTACCGACGGAGCATTGATACATGATGAGATTTCAGAGCCAAATTTACAGTATTTTTCCAGCCGGTGCAGCCGTCTAGTATGTTGCTAAAAAGGACGTAGTCGGTGTCCTCAGCTCGTCGATTTAGGCTAGGACTTTCTCATAACAGTGATAACTAGTTCAAGGTCAAACATACAAGTCTTGCCAGAATCACTATAACTCAGATAATCTTATTCATGCATGTAGTAGATGATTTGGGTCTTGATATTTACTTAGAATGGATTATAGACATCAATAGCCAGATCAAAAGAATCCAAAATTGGCTTGACAAGCTGTGCCCCGAGCGGCTGCTGTTCCACAGGCAACTTTTCGATAATAGCATCACTAAACCCAACCGTAGCCTTCTTCTCGAGCCCAAGGTTGATCAAAATAACAGGACTTAGCAATAGGTGGTCAAACTTGGGCTTGGCGGCGACAATGGTTGAGATGGTAGTGTTGACCTCTTTGGCGAGGGCCTGCGTGGCCACGGCGACACCGATGGCGTCGAGGAGGGTCAGTGGCTCCGAGGCCTCGGCCGTCTTTTGACCCTCGTGGATGGAGGCGAGGAGCGTTGTGGAGCCCGCGACGATGGGAATCGTCCCTAGCAGACCGCCGTTCCATGATGAAACGTCGTCATTGAGAGACTTTGTATCGCCAGTGATTTTCTCAAGGGCCGACACGATGGCGGGGCCGTCTGCGAGGGCAGTGACAAAAAGGCCGGCAGCAATAATGACACGGTAGAGCATCATTTTGATTAGGAGTAGGACTTTGAATGAGGCTGGATGGTTGCAAAAAGAGTAGCTAAGGGGCACTCTTGCTTGAAAGTTGTGTTGTCCAGGGCATTGCTTTCGAGATGTAGGTCACAATATATAGTTGACCTCGTATTCCATGGGTCCAATGAGCTCATCTGTTGTCCTCGGCTCTTTTGCTACGATTGTGCAAGATCTGCCATCGGTAGGATGCCTCTTTCGTTCCCATTCCCATGTGCCTGGCCATCTTGATGGTACGGCAGCAACTAAGCGTCACACGCTATCCAAGTTGAGTATAATGTTTAGAGATGGAGACAATAGTACCTAGAACTAATACAATTCGAGAGGTTATATATCCCTCTGCTGTTGCAATTGAATGAGGGGTAAGAGGAAATATTACGGTTGGTTGGTCTTAAATCCGGGGTAAAGTCAACCCCGGACTCTGAGGCCGTACGAGGTGTGATCGGCAACCCACCATCAGTCTTGTGTGCATCCTTGCCGAGGGAACATGTGAAGCCCTACCGTAGGGCCTTGACATTTGATCTGTTTACCACACCCTATTTGTCAATCTTCACTTCCGACAAATCGCATTTCAAAATTTACTTATTATCACTTTACGTGAGAAGGAGAAGAAAGCAGAGCAAATAACCGAGTTCTTGTTCGTGGGTAGGGCATCTCTAAAACTTCTACAAAAAGGCGAGAGTCAAAGTCAATTATTACACTTGGAACGGTCAGATGATTGCAAATCTAACCAAAACTTGACTGAAAGTCACCCTTTCTCATATATAGATCAGAAAGTCCTATAGGATCCCCCCCCCCCCCCAGACACTTTCCGAATTACCAATGGTAGGTTCGTCGAGTGGATCGATTAGTCACAAGGAACAGGTGACGTTGCATTGGATGCTACCTTTTTCGGTACTCTGCCCAGTGCCTGTCGATTAACTGATCTGAATATAGGTGGAGTCGATAGGCTTGGTTTCATCATGTTTTCGAACATGGTATCCTGGCAAGTTTGCTTAAAAGAACCAGTTGTCTTCCTGATCAGTGTTTTTGGCATTGGGTTTATATATGACGAAGTTGGGGGATTACACTCGCAGGGGCTTTCGCCTGCTATCCCAATTCTGCTTGCAATTTGCAATGGAGTTATGAATACGGAGAACCATGGAACAAGTCTTCATCCTTAGTTATTACTCATGCTGCCTTTTGGATCTTGTCTAAAGAACTTTCTGCTGACCATCTGGAACTAGCTACCACAGACCGAATCTTCAATTGCTGCACGCTAAGGTATGTCACTTAAGAAAGAAAGAGAAAGAAAAGAAAAAAGAAATAACCCAAATTGATAGAAGGAAAGATTTTTAGGCCACATGGGTCTTGGCCACCCGACATAGTTGGAAATACACGTCAAGTCATTAATCCCTCTTGATAGGAACATCATGACGTAATACTTGAAAATCGTATTCAGAACAAAGAAAATTACTGTGGGCGAAGAGCAGTCCTCTCCGAATCACTGGACCACCCGTGAATGTACTGCCTCACATTCTTGCCCCAGAAAGCAATGGGAACTGCCAGAATGCCAAAGACGGCGATCAGGACGCTGATGAGCATAGTGGGCTGCATAATCTGGTGAGATGTCGTCCAGGGCAAGATGGCCGAGGCGACACCGAAGCTGACCATGTTGCCTGTAAACAGCTGGACGGCCAACGCTGCGGCCGCCCAGCGTGGAAACGCCTCGGTGATCCAAATCGTAAACGCAACGTTTCCTGTTAGATAGCTGAGAATACTGATGGCGGAAGTAGTATAGAGCCATCCTGAGTTCCACTCTTTTTCAATGGCAAAGCCGTTGATTAACACGCTGGCCAAGCCAGTTCCGACGGGGATGGCAAAGGCCGGTAGGTAGACTTCAGCGTGGCGAACACCCCCGTTTCGCAGCGAGTAGTACCGGGCAAACCAATTGGCCAGAGGACCCGTGACAGGAAACGCCAAGATGGACCCGATGATGCCAGCGACGCCGAGCCACATACTGACTACCTCGGGGTCTTGAGTACTTTGTGCAAGAACGCTGGGCTGAGTGAGATTCAAGAAGATGACTCCGCTGAGGATGATTCCAGTCAGAACAGAGACCCAGAATGTAAGCGGGTTCAGGATGCATAGTATCATTTGCATGTAGGCAGCAACAGCCGCGCTCCAGGTTGTGCCTGGTGCCCGCGAAATCTTGAGACGAGACCAAAAACGGCTGGAGGCAGGCAAAGCTGGCAGAGGGCGCTCGGTCGTATCTGTCTCAAACCTGCCCCAGTCTTTATAGACTTCCACCTTCTCAGAACTGCTCTGCACGAGGATCCGGCCATCTAAAGAGACGGGCGGACGGAGGAAATACGTCTCTGGGACGAAAAGGAGAACTCCTACGGCTGCGATGAGGCACGGACCAAGCCAGACCTGGTATACAGTCCGCCAGCATGTGTTCAGGTCCGCGATAAATGGAAGGACCAAGATGCTGAGTTTGATGAAGACTGATCCGACACACCAGAACAGGGACAAGGCGTTGGGGCGCTCATGGATGAACGTCGCATCAATAAGGATGAGCAGACACTAATACGGTCAGAATCACCGACGAGCCGTAGTGTGATAGTGAGACTCACCATGCCAACAGCTGCGCCGACGGCCAAAGCTTGGAAGCAGAGGGAAGCGAGGAGATGCCAAAAGCTCGGGGCCCAGCCAGCCCAAAGCGTTGACACACTGGTTAAAACAGCCGCTCCTACTAAGACGGGCCGTCGTCCGACTGCAGTGGAGAGAGGGATTCCTAGGAGGTAGCCGAAGCCGGTAAAGAGAGTCATGGACGAGGAGAGGGCTTGGAAGCTAGCCTTCTCGATGCCCTGTGTTCATGTCAGTACAGACGAAAAACAGGATCAATGCTGAAACATACATCTTTTTCAAACTCATTTTGTACAGCTCGCATCAGTAGGCCCGGGAGATTCACTTCAAAGGAGGCAACCACGGAGTAAAGTTGCAAAGCGCAAAACGCCAGGACTCGCTTCGAGCCACTCCAAGTCAGCGGATCGCGCGGCGATTTGCTCGGAATTGGCAGTTTGAGCACACGGCCATCTGAGGAGACGAAGAAAACACTTCCCGGCGTGTGCAGCGAGTCCCGCTTGGAAGGCATGGATGAGTCTTCACTGTCTGAACTGGCACGCATCTTGTCTGAATCGAATAAACCCACTTGTCAAACTCTTGAGTTCCACAGAAAGAAAGGAACGGATCTGTGGAGATTTATGAGGGCAACAGCCGCGACAACTGCCGACGCCATCTATCCCATGAAAAGCCTAGACTTTGGCCGGACGTTGCCGGACGTTGCCTGACAATCCATCCGGCCGCTAAACAACGGCCGCTACTAGGACGAATTGGACTAGACGTTTGACTGCGGTGACAGACGTTTGGGCTACAGTGACAGATCTTTCGGCAGCAGTGACATGTTTGCAATCTCTCGGCCCCCTCAGTCTAGCCTTTTATTGGCGGCAGAGCTGCAGGGGTCACTACCTGGGGTATTCGAGCCCGACGATGAAACCCTGAAACGAGAGACGATGATAAATTGTGATGACGAGGGCTGTGCTAGAGGTCACTGCCGAAGGAGGCGGGGAGATGCTCGAATTCCCCGGGGTTATATGAAGGATCTTATGGCGCATCTCACGGCCAAACACCACTCGTATCAGAACCAGCTAACATTATTGTGTCTTAGACAACCTCAGTAGATGAGAGAAACTAAGGCATGGAGGAATTCATGCTGAAATTAGTTATTTCCTTAATGCAGATCTTGAGGCACTCAATAGGCTATACTTGGATAAATGTTAGAGCCGGTGCAATGTCCCGGTGACAGTTTAATTTGCGCGTAATGCGAATGAATGAAGCAGTCAGGACTCGCCTTGAATCACGTAATCTCTCCTTACTTCGATACCACGTCTCGACCTTGATAGAGATCACGTCGGGTCGCAATGTGCCGGCCTGTCACTAAAAATACTATTTGATCTGCTCTACCCCTGTTTAGAACTTCATGAAATCTGCCCAATTTGCCGCCAAGCCACCTTCCCCAACATTTGAAGCTTGCCAAGCAGATTATGACATGTAACCTATTAAATTCAAAGACTTGGCGCCAGAAGAGGCTGCCACACCTATATCCTCTTGTAGCTATATCTCCTTGTTTTATCACTATGCACGGTAACATCGTGACGCATGATAATGCGAAATAATACTACTGTACCTTGGCTGGTACTTTGTCAAGCGCGATGCCCTTCTACATGATTCTTCTTAGCATTTTAAGTCCTAGATGTGACGAGAAAACCAGGCTGTAAACGCCTTTGTAGCCACACCGACATCACACTTAGGAACTATGAATTATAACAACAAAGCACTAATAAAAGTAGGCCTCCGACACAGGTCATCGAAAGTCTTCACAAATGAAGAACCGCTTTTACCTATCTTCCTGCCATCTGCAAGGGGCGTGGTATGAGATCCAGAAACACGCCAAGATACATAATGCTGAGGCATTTGACTCTTACGTTTATGCGCTGCGCTGTAATTCTTTCGCATTGTAACCTCGAGCAAGGATTCAGTAAAAGACTTTTTGTATGGGCTGATCGACAGTGCTAAGCCGGATGAACCGGTATGGATAGTGGATGCGAACACACCCAAGATATCCGGGGAAGAGTCGATGTTCAAGGTCTACAAAGTCCGTGAAGGGCCTCCACCATCTAGATGTTAAATTGGACCATGTCACAGCGGATCTAGTTTGTATAATAAAAGCTGATCCTATTACTAGCGATCTCGACTGAAGAATAATTAGGAGGGGGGTTGACTACATTCTGGGAGGGACACTTGAGGGTGATCTGTAGGGTCCGGAAAGGAGATAACGACTCGCCTTTGCGCCCGCATAAGATAGAAGAGTGCGATTATCTTAAGTAAGTGGATTGTATAGAGTAGAATTAATACACGTTTTGCACGAGTGCTACTTAGAAGAAAAACCGATCCTAGGGTTTGAGTCTTCGTAGTCCATAGAATCTTCAATAAAAGATATTAGACTCTTTCCGAGAATAAAGTTCTTTCTGTGATTAGCGCTACGTTTCTCAGTGGGAGGTCAGAGTGTCAGAAATATTCTTGGCCTATTCCTAAACACAGTGTGTTAAGCATAGGTACCTTAGTTGAGTACCGAATTCTGTAGCATCACTTCAACCACTGGATGCTGTTCAGTCCCGTAATGAGACATGTGTGGGGTGTTGGTTGCCTCGTACAAGGCGCGAGGGTGGTTCGCATTTTCTTTTTCTCAGCTCAGGGGCTATCGTGCCTGTCATCTGGCTCTTCGCCAGGCGCAGCTGACCAGTTGCATCTGAGACGCTGAATCGTAGTTTGGTCAGCTCGGGATGGTTTTCAGATCACCAGTTGCGCTGGGCATCTTTGGGCACTACTTGTGGGCCATCCAATTCATACACGAGGACCAAAACCAGGCTGTCCCAATGTCTTCTCCTAGCAAAGCGAAAGTGTACAGACTGCGAAACATTCCCGAGCATTTCGATAGGCTGTTAGCCACCGAGTGGCTTGCGCGAACATTTGGCGACGTGTCGCTAAACGATGTCCAAATACACTCGCTGGCGTTGTCAGTCGATACCTGGTCACCAAGCAAGACGGCCACGGTGACATTTAGAAAGGTACCATTAAAGATCGCCTCTATCAATAATACGCGAGAATGCGTGATACAGGTACCGGAGCTGGCCAGACCCTTGATCGTGGACGACCACTTCCAAGGAATAACACCACTTAATAGAGTGGCAAAGGAAGCACACAAATCTGAGTTGGTTATTCTTGTCTCTCGTCAACAGCTATTTGCCGGCCGAGCTAATTACTGATAGCTGTGTTATCATATCGGGCCTTGCTAGCCATCCATTTGGGTCATGGCAGCCTCGAGGCAGCGACAAATCCTTCATGTGGATTCGTGATGAGCTTCCCCCCCGGCTCCCGGGTTAGATTTCTGCTGTTTGGTTACGAAACTGACCTTCGGGGGAGCAAGTCTTTCCAGCCGATTCTTGATCTGGCATTCTCCTTCATCAACAACCTGGAAACTATAGGATGGTCGTCACCAAACGCCAAGCCAGCTGCACTTCTCGCCCACAGCTTAGGTGGCGTAGTCGTGAAGCAGGCACTCGTTATGCTCGCCGGGAGCGGAGTGGCGGAGGAAGCCATTCTTTTGTGCATTAGAGGAGCCATATTCTTTGGTGTACCTAGCCAGGGGATGGTTGTCCCGATATCCTTTCCATGGTCGGTGACCAACCGAACAAAGCTCTCGTATTGGATCTGTCAGACAATTCATCTTATATTCCTGACCTCGATGGTCAATTCAATGATGTTTCCTATCTTCAAAAGCTTCGATTCTTTTGGGCATTTGAGACCAAGGTTACACGTACTGTCTCCGCAAGTAAAGAGGCAAAACCTCCAGCATGTGTTGCTGGGATTTGCGCTGATATTAGCTTGCAGAAATTGCCAACTGGAAAGTTTTCGAGAACAGGCCCTGAGACCGTGATGGTTCCGAAAGAATCTGCTACAAAAGGACTATGCAACTCCAACCCTGCTCTTACGATACAAATTGATGAAGATCATTCGAATATGGTCAAGTTTTCGACAGGTGATCACAGGATCGATATTTTAGCCATCAAGTTATCTGAGATTTTTGGAATTGAGCACAAATCATTGCCGGATGAACTCTCGCCGAGCTTCACGATACGGACTCGCCTGTAGAACAGAACGCCAGCGAGTGTCGCTAGTCGCGATACGATTCGTTGGGACGACAGATGTAAGTGAAAATTTGGCCAGAATGGAAGTGCAAGATAACCTAAACGCAAGTTAGTGATCATTGGTTCTATTCGAGCGCCGGAAAGAGACCGCCGTCTTGAGCAGATAGATACTAGGCTCGGACATACCTTTGACTGGGCCTTTGATAATCCTGCTGTCAATTTAACGAGCTGGCTACAAAATGGAAAGGGCCTCTTTTGGGTAAGCGGCAAACCTGGCAGCGGAAAGTCTACCTTTATGAAGTACATATTCAACGATGACCGTACCACCGAGCTGTTGCACAGTTGGAAATCGGCTCGCAATTGATGGCCCTCAGCTTTTTCTTCCACCATCGTGGGACTAATTTGCAGAAATCATTTGAGGGACTACTACGGAGTCTTGTGAGCCAGATTTTGGAAAAGAAATCGCGCTTGGTAGCTCTTCTCCACCCCATTTTGGACAGGCAATATCTTGAGAGTCTAAAGATTGAGAATCTCGGCGACCTCAGATCTGATCTTCATGAACTGTTTAGAGCTTGTGGGCTCGGTACTGATCAGAGACTGGAAAGCTTAGAGGGATTCATTCAACGCCAGGATGAAACATCGGCCGGTGTAGCAATGTATATCGAGCTTCAAGACCTCCTGGAACGAAATGGAGTTGATGTGCCTCATTTAAGACCAAAAAGCCGTCGAGGTGAGGTGGGTGACAGTCCCGGCGACCCAACTACATGGAACGGCTTTCTCCTCCGACACCATCAACGGCAAAAAATCAGATCCGATATTGAGACGGGTCAATGGTCCAGAGAAACTTTAGAGGAGGCTCTGCAGCGATTGATTACGCAACGATACTCGAAATTGGACATTTGCATTTTTATTGATGCGCGAGACGAGTATGTGAGCCGACCCGAATTTATCGTGTCGTTTCTTCAAGACCTCGTTCAGGTTTCACCTCAATCCTGGACTAGGATTAGAATGATATTCTCTAGTCGGCCATGGGCGATATTCAAGCAGAATTTCTCGGGTTGTCCTGGATTCCAAATTCACGAGTACACCGAAGGAGACATCTTTGACTTCTGCAATGCAAACATACCTTTGAACCCGACGTCGAAGTCCCTTATAGAGCCTCTGGTTAATGAAGTTTGTCTAGAGCTCGAGGGGTATTTCTATGGGTAACTCTGGTAATGCGCGATCTCGCGAGCGTCACCCAAGAAAAGGGATCCAACATAGAAGAGCTTCAGGAAAAAGTGCAGAAAACTCTTAACTCTCTGCCCAACGAATTAGATGAATATTATGGCACAATTATCGAGAGAATACCGTCGGGCTTCCGCCGGGAAGCGTATATGGCACTGGAGGTTATTTGTCGTGCAGAAGAAGAGATAAGTCTAAACGACATGGTCCACATAATCGATTGCTCCAGAGCCCGCAACCTGGAGGAGGCGAGAGCTAGAACCAAGGAAACGTCTCGAATTACACAGGGTTATGTTCAGAAATACGGGGGAAAAGGATACATTCGAATGCTATCGGGTGGATTAATCGACATTGTTCACCACGATGGGAAATCTCAGGTTCAATTCATGCACCAAACCATCAAAGATTTCGTGGAAGATCCCCGGTTCAAAGCCCTCATCTTGGAAAAATGGCGTGCCAATTTCGCCAAAGAAAATGGCCATTCTTTCTTAGCAAAGTATCACTTTCTCGCCACAGACTTTGGCAAATCCTGCATCTATCACGCACAAGAGGCTGAGGTTACCACGGGACTAAGCCAGTTCAAGGATTATGCACAATCCCCGTTTGTGCCCTACACCTTCATCATGAATGGCTTTTCGCGCAAACTACTGTCGCCACTCGCCTTTTCGGTATTCTCTGGATTGAAGCTCTGCATCGAAGATGCATATAAAGCAGATCCTTCTTGCCTGGCAAACTGCTCAGATGACTTGATAGTTCTTCTCCATGAAGCAGTTGGCCGGACCTATCACTTACGCAATGCGATTGATCTAGCCAGGTCCTTGGTTGCAAAAGGCATGAGAGGGCAAAGGAGCCTGGTTGGAATGAGGCAAGTCTCGGGTACTATCTGGTCACTCGAACCATCCATGACCGCGGAAGCGTTCACTGGCGAGCCAAACGGTGGGTATGAGACCTTGATGTGTATTTTGCTCGAGGCGTTACCACGGCCAACAGCGATGACTCTCATTAGAAATGACCCGGAATATTTAGAGGCGCTGCGTTTCCAACGTGAACTCCTTCACGAAAGTCCTCCAAACCCTAGCGGAAACACTTATCAAACGCGGAGTCGATGCCAATCAGCTGAACTCAGATGCGTGTACCCCAATGGACTCAATCATCAAAACCCTGATGAAAACCCTGATGCAAACAGAGATCCATTCAATTCCTTTTGAAACCCTTCATGCACTTTGTTTAACTTTTTCGCGTCATGGGGGAGTACTGAGTAAATCCAGCCCTGACCAATAGCGAGCGTGCATTCACAGCTTTGCATCTGCAGGATTTGACGTGCATGCATTTGAAGAGGAAGAATTTCCTAGCTGGAATGAGCAGCAGGAATCTAATCGATGGTCAAAATTATTAGGGACTATGTTTCGGATTTTCAGGAAACCAAAATGGTAAACCAATTCCTCATGATATAGGTCCTAACCTAGCTAGGAGAGGGAAATAAGTATGGCAGGAGAAGCACAGCACCCGAGCTTTGCCAACCACAACAATGACTCTTTTATGTTAGCCAGCGGCCTCGCTAGTGTTTTCCTTTGGTTCATCTTCGAAAATGTCTTTCACAAGTAGGATTTTAAAGTCTACAAAGTTTAATAATGACAGAGTTATCATACTTAGTATAACAGTTAGGATAACAAGTTTGTGATCCATTTTTCTAATTCCTTAAGGAGGCTGGTGGCCAGTAGTCAGATTGAAATAGCAGCTAGGTAAAAGCTAAGATATATCTAGATTCAGCTTTTGTTCAAGGTGTGAATTGTTCGTAAGCTTTGGCTTTATCTGAGTGCCGTTGAGTGCTGAAACGGGCGAACTACAGGCCTAATTAAACCAACTACGTCGTAATTAAGCTATGTTGAATCAATTATACACTATAAAAAATGATTTAGATGGCAAAGCAAACACCGTTGACTACGCTAGGACATTAATGTTGTTGGTCTTAAGAGCTTGGGTATAGGTTAGCTATGTTCTGCGATGTAACATGAGAAGATCCTTTCCCTTGTTTGTGTGAGGAAGACGGCGCTTTGTCAGCGGCATCGGCCAACTCGAATTGCCGTGCCAAGCCTGGAGTAGGAGATGATTAACGGCCCGAGAAGTATCCTCTTCGGGGTGAGCTATCATATACGAGCCGAAGCCCCAAAAATGCACTCGATTGGTATGGGAACCAACCTTCGCAAGGACGCGTTCAAGATGCTTGATGACTGGGGCTGGTGAAGCCCTTGAAACCTCTGCTCCAGATGTAACCATCTTGCGCCGATCTCTCCAGTATATATTTGGCAAGATATCCTCATGAAAATGCGACTCTAACATCTCTCACCGGCGGACCGTTGCAAACATCACATCAATATATCGATATGGTCTCCTTAGTGAACTTAGCGACTGAGTCTCGGGGGCTATCGCTGGCCTCGTTTCTTGGGCTTTGTTGTATTTTGGTACGTGCTTTAAATACTTGTTGAGGGGTCCAGACCACGATGTTGACCGATAATCAGTTGGTTGGATATGCCGCATCGATAGCCATCTACAATGTCTTCTTCCACCCTCTGCACCAATTCCCTGGCCCCAAGCTTTGGGCAATCAGTCCGTTATTTGCAGCCTTGAATATTGCCAGGGGAAGGCCACACAAGAAACTACTTGAGTTACACAAGCACTATGGCGATGTTGTCCGTGTCGGCCCAAATGAGCTGGCATGTGCGCATGATGATGCTTGGAAGGAGATTTGTGGACACTTGAAGCATGGCCAGCCCGAGAATGGAAAGGATCCCAAGTATACAAATGAAGACGTGGACAAGAGTCTCATCTCAGCGAGACGTGAAAGACATGGACCGTTGCGACGAATTTTGGCGCATGCCTTCTCGGCACGAGCCATGGTCGAGCAGCAACCCTTCATCAACCAGTACATTGACTTGTTTATACAGAGACTGCGTGAAAATGGCGACAACGGTACCAAGCCATTGAACTTGACCAAGTGGTATGAGTGGGCAACCTTTGACATTGTCGGGGACCTAGCTTTTGGGGAGTCCTTTGGCTGCCTTCGTGACTCCAAGTCACATCCGTGGGTGAACATCCTTTTTAGTTCCATGAAGAGTATTCCTCTCATGCAGGTCATACGCGCACTGCCTCTCTCTTCGGTCTTGTTTCCATTCTTTTTATTTTGCTTTGGTGGAGAGGTGATGAGGAACCGGCAAACTAGCATCGACTTTAGTCGAGAGACGCTGAAAAAGCGGATCGGTCTGGGAATGATACGGCCTGACTTTGTCGATGCCATGCTGAACAAAGGGGTTAGTTTCCCGACGTGCTCGTTTATTTGCTGAATCTTTCGTTATACTGACGGCGTTCTTACCAATAACTTAGAAAATGTCGGAGCTTGAAATGGTTGATACGAGTGTGCTTCTTACCACAGCAGGATCGGAAACAACTGCTACGACGCTGGTAGCAACAACCTACTTTCTCTGCTCTCACCCTGATGTTCTGGCCAAGTTGAACGCCGAAGTGCGTTCAACTTTCAAGAGCGAGGGTGAAATCGATCTCCACAGCGTCCAGAACTTGACATACATGCTTGCTGTCCTCAAGGAGTCAATGCGAGTCTATCCTCCGGTGGCGATAGCATTGAGCCGTCAGACACCAGCTTGTGGAGCACAAATCAATGGCCAGTATGTGGCCGGTGGGGTGAGTCCGAACTATAAACGGCGTGATACCTGCGAAACTAACACCTCGTCTGTAGGCTAGTGTGGGTATCTGGCAATATGCCGTCTATCACAACCCTTCCAAGTTTCTCTACCCAGACACCTTTATTCCCGACCGCTGGCTCGATGATGAGCGATTTGCCGACGATCACAAAGACCTACACCAGCCCTTTTCCTATGGACCGCGTAACTGCATCGGTATGAAGTAAGTGTTTAGCTGCACCGCGTTGTTGGCGGTTCCAAACAAATGCCAGTCGAAATCCTCGGTTGCTAACTCCTTGCATAGTCTTGCATACACTGAGATGCGTTTGATACTTGCTCGCATTATCTGGAATTTCGATTTGAAGATGGCACCAGATTCCGAGGGCTGGATTGATGATCAAAAGATATTGTTCTTTTGGGACAAACCTCCGCTAAATGTACATTTGATCCCGCGTATCTAAATCAATACCTAATGATGGTATCAATAATGCGCTGCGTTTGAGCATTATTATTAAGGATCAAACGAAGAAATGGTTGCAACTTTCCGCTGAAAATTCTCGAGAGCGGTTAGAGCAGAATATTCAGGATGTGAAGGATCGCTACCAATATGATGTTATTATATCAATAGCCTCTTCCTAAGTATTTCAAAATCTCGAGATTTTTATAGGCAGTTACTTCCAGAACTCCATCTGTACATATGCATAAAAGTGAAACCTTTGGAAGACCAACTTAAACAATGTACAAAGCGCCAAGAGGCACACACTCCATGTTATCCGCTTTATGAGAGACAAGGTAAACCTTTATCAGCAATTTCTTATTAGTACAAGAGGCCAAGAGGAAAGATAATAAAGGAACTCCTTACAAAGTATTCCCCGCCTGCGTACCTGCAGGCTTGGAACTCATCCTGGTAGCCATAGAAGACGCCGTCGGAGACAAGCTTATTGCCATCAACTATCTTCCAGCCGTTATCCGAGGTGATGACACCGCTGTAGCCAAGACGCTTCTCATCGATTTGATTCCTCATTATGTTGAGTGTTAGTCCCTTAGTAGAGATAGTCGCATCTGAACTGAGAGTAAACTGGTTGGCTTGGCTCTCCCCGCCAAGTTGCGCCCACACAGGATCTGTTCCCCGTTAGCGATGCACGATAGACGTACATATTGGGCACGGCCAGGGTTGGGAAAACATACCGCCACCATCGCTTTGGGGCTTGTAGAGGTAAACGGTACCAAGATCCGGGCTCTTGCCCTGAAGGCGCCCAGTCTTAATAACTTCCTGGGTAGAGCCAACTGAGGCGAGCGCAGCTCCAACGATGATAGTTTTGAGTGAAACCATCTTGCAGACTATTCTTGATAGTAAGTAGGGAATAGTGATTAGACTCTGTGTAACCCGTAATATTGAGTGTCGAGGTGAATGATGAAGAAAAAATAAGTTGAATGTGAAAAGTGCTAAGCGTGGTACTTATAGTCGCTTTTGCAGCCCGTTGTTATTTGAATTACTGTCCTTTATTACGATGTGGAAGGTAGTATTGCCGCTTGTTTCGTTAAGTATATGGGATAAGTCGCAAAAGAGAAGATCCCAATACATCAGGGGAAGACCTTGCCCGAGACTGGTACTTCGGATATCACCAACGTCCTGCAGCCTGTACGGGTTGAACAGACCCGATGCCAAGATGCTCCCTCACCATGAATAATCGGCTACAAGCGGTATGGATATATTGGAATGCTCTACACGGTGGCGTAATTAGGGACTTGAACTTCTCTGTTTGGCAGCCATACAACCCGCCGCGGATGGCGAAGTTGTCAAGCTAGGGTTGAATTCCCCCCAGGATCGGAATAATTGTCTGTCGCCTGGATATCCCTGAACAACTGTAAGTCCTTTTGGGGTTCTGTATTTTATAAGGGCAGCGTGAGGCACGAAGCCGTGCCTTTTCGGTCATTACCCGATCAGTTTGACGCTGCATCCTAGACTAGAAGGGATACGTTGCCGCCTCATTCCTTTAGCTTCGAATAAAAAGTCGGCCGCCCAAAGGCAAGGATTCTCATCCTTGTTCAAATCGATGTTAGTCTCAAGTCTCGCCGGGAAGTCCGAGTCGCAGGCACAAGTTCAGGAGCTAGAGTTAATAAACTCCATACACTCGAGGTCTCTTTTGGTAAGGGGGCGTTTGGACTTAATGGGAACTTCAGTAGAGCTGCTCTGTTGCTCCTCAGTCTTGCTATGTAAAACGATTTTTTTTTGGCGCACGGTAACATCTATCTCGGAGCGCCACTCGACATATTATTAGTGTGAAAAGTTTCATTACTTTGCATCAGGAAACTCAGCGACTGAATTAGTATTCAAGAAATCACTTCAGATGTTCTGGCTCTCGACAGTATAAAGCTGAAGTAGATTTTATATCCTTCAAGCTGAGATATTTTCCAGAACGACGATTTATTAGGTAGCGGCAAAAGGCGGCCAATTTAACGGGATAGGTTACGACTGATAGGTCTCTTCGGGCCATATCTATCGTATCTTGATACAACACATTATTAAAAAACCTGCATTACTACTTAGAAAAGTCTCATCCTAGTCGGCTACTTTCCGGCTGTCTAAACCTTCTTGACGTAAAAGCTAAAGTCGTCATCATGGCGCGGCGTTGCATCCTGAAGGTCCAGCTTTATAACCCCCATCTCCGCAATAGGATCAACAATCACTTTCCCGTCCACAATATCCTTCATATTCTCTTCGAACCCCCACAGCTGGCTCACTTGCTCGTACCCAGGTGTGATGGACTTTCGTCCCATCAGGCAAATATACCTATTGCCATTGGAGCTTTTACCAAAGATGACCTTGGTGGTTGCCATAACCTGGTCAAAATCGTAGGCTTCGAAGCTGAAAAGCTGTTTGGCCCTTGGGTGTTGATAGTCATCAATAACTGCATTCGTAAGTTTCGTATTCACACGTCATTCAATATGCTCTTGAAATATGAAAAAGGAGAACGAGAAACACACAATGAGTTTTTAAATTGTTGGCCATGACAATGCTTTGAGCGATGAATTTCTTCTTCTTGACAGCAAGCTGGAAAGTTGACATCAGTGATCAACCATGTCATCTTCTTATGGAGGTATCTAAGACTTACCAATACTTCAGTCTGAAGAGCTTCTGGGTCGTTCTCAGGCGGCGATTCGGCCTTCTGGGGGTTCTTGCTGACTTCATTTACCTATGACCCAGTTAGACGTTACTTGTTCATAAACAGACAGATATTCAAATACGTACCCAGCTTCTATAGGCCTGCAGTTGCTTGCTGACTTTAGTGTCGAGCTTATCACGGCCGGTTCTGCCACTTGTATAGTGGCTCGAGTCAACTAGAGGAAATTTAGCTCCATACCTGGGTCATTGGTTGAAATGAGCGCGCCATACTTGCTCGAATCATATTCTGGATGACCAAACACTTGGTAAAGGCGTTGAATATGGCCCAGCTCTAAGGAAAAGGTGTCAGTTAGGGATGAAAAAGTGCTTAGGGTTAGTTTGTAGTCACGTACGCGATCTTCGGCTTCGGCGTAGTCAAGAGGCTGAAATTCGCCATTAAAGTTGGGAATGTTGGTGTACTTTTCTAATAGCGCACTAGAGTCATTATTAGCAAAACTTAATAGCCAGTTAAGTGTAGACTTCGTAAATCTGACAATCTTCTATAGCCCTGCTTCGGGGCCCTCTTGTAAAAAGCGTCGGCAACCTGTTTGAGGCGCACCATGTCATCCTCCGCCCCGTCGCTCAGCTGCATCTCGGTTGGAGTTCCAACGTAATGCAGGTAGATCTTGACCTCAGAGGTTCTCTGAATCTTCTGGATGGCCTTGTTGATTTCGGAAGTGATCTCTACATTGGCACCGTAGACCTTGAAGGCGGTCTTAGCTCTACATACCCAGTCCTGTTAGCCCGGGATTCCGTGCAGTGGTACAGTGATTTTCTCCAAGGACTCACGCGACCTTGAGCTCTTGAGAAGTTGAATTTTCATTAATAATGATAGAAACGCGAGCAAAGAGTGCCCCGCCCTTGACAAAATCTGGAAGCTGTTAACTGTTGGGATGCAGAGCCCAATGAGGGAGAGTGATACCGGAAATGAAGCGGTCACCGTATTTGCCTTGAGGGTCGGAGGATTCTTTCCAGTTAAATGTGTACTTGGATCTTCGGCTCGGCTGTCGCTGGGTATCCACCTTGACTACATAGGTGATCAGACTTTTCTTGATCTGAATTATTCATTAGCAAGCACATTCTCACAAGATGCTTTGATAAGCTGACGGTTCTTACCTCTGTCCGGTTAAGAAACTTGGAGTCAATCTTGGTTTCTGTTCCCCAACCTGAAACTCCCGCACCAGCACTAATATCGAGTGTCTTAAGAAGCGCGCTACATGGCAAGGAAGTCAGCTTTTTCTCGTCTTCAGGACCCCTGAACCTGTGATAATATTACTTGTAGTCTTTGATTTCAGTGGATTCATAGGTTATATCCACGGGTGTGTCTGAGCCACCTGTCGTGTCTACGGTGACGGCATCGTACACGCACGTTTGTTGCAGGTAGGAGTTGAATCTAGAGGACAACGGTCCAACATATCAGCTTGGTTCTTCTGGATCTTTGAACATGTTTACCCTTGGCCCTCAGTCATGCCATCAGCATACGGGACTCGGATTTGACCAATCATTGTGAATTCAAAGTCGAGAGGAAACACTGATGTTGATTTCCCTAAAAAGATGCTGAGAAAGTTGTAGACGGAGAAAGTTTCGTTGTTGAGCTCCCTCCTTTTAATACTCTTAAATATTTCTGAGCGATATCCCCGTGCCATTGTTCATTGACGAGCGTGCGGACCCCTCGCTTCGTGAGCGATCTTGTCATTGGACCAAGCCTCTGTCACGATATGACCCAGTTGCACATTGTTTCGTCATCAACTCTTGCACAAATTTATGGCTTACACAGCCGGCCACGAGTTGCTGAACATGGCGTGTCTCGGGTCGACGGTTGTTGTCCGGGCTATTTGTGAGATGGATGCATCTTCAAGGTAGTGGCAGGATCTAGCTATCCACAGTATTATTTGAAAGCACTTGCGTATAGATCTCGCCTCGGCACGGCATGAATATACATACATTGGTTACATCCTCACAAATGCCATCATTGCTATTGGTTGATGTGTAGGACATATGCACCCTTCATGGTATCACATGAGCCCAGACTAGACATCGTTGACACCAGCCCACAGATCATTGGCTCACAGGATTCCTTACCAATGAATAGCTTAAGCTGTCAGCTTCTATATGATGATGATAACATAGCGACCTGATCGTTTGGTGACTAGCGTGTAGGCGCTCACTCTGTCTAATATCGCTGCCAAAACAAGCAGATACGAGATTTGTTGGTCTTATCTGAGACCGTGCTGGTACGCAGTTCCTTCTCGGGAGGGACGGGGTAAGGCATGTAAGATGACACCAACGTTAGTATTTGCGCTAGACAATAGGCCGAGCCTTGAATAGCGGCGTACCAAGTGTCCAGGATCCAGGAACAGCCGCAAGCCCCATGACACATGCCCAACCTCGTGCCTTTAACTCGTTGTCGGTTCCTGAAACAGTGCATATTCAAAAGGCCAACTAGACCAGGGGAACCTAAGAGGTCAAAGGTTCACAAACAAGTAGGTATTACGTGATACCGCCGCATAAGATAAGAGATGTATGCAGCAATGTGACCCCAAACGGCCCGTAAACAACTCTAGAGTAACTATGGTACAACGGGAGCGCTATGCACCCGTCCCACTGCCAAACAGCGGTTCCATATCACCACGACGTGAGAAGAAGCAACCTCCTTCCACTACTGTCTAAGACGTGGGAGCCGAATGCGGGGAACTACCCGAATTAGATAACACCTTTAAATCCCTAGTGAGACATTTAGGTTATTAGGCTGGGTTTTAGACATACGGCGAGAAGCATCCGCAGTGTAGTTACGCCACTACATGCATCCCAGGTCACATCCAGCGGCTCGTGTGTCCTGTCGCCTCCATCCTGCATGACGGCAAGTGCCGATACTCGGCATGTGTGTCTTACTCGTGGATGACCATATTCGCCAGTCCATGAAATCAACATCAACTGTCATATCTGGTGTTCACTCTTTCTTCATCGAAGGAGAGAAATGGGCTACACGGGCATCCACTGCTTGAAATATTCAGGTATATAAGTTTTCGATATCTCTACTCTCTCTAGTTTCATTAAATCCTCAACAAAGTTTCGCAATCTCTCATAACTTATTACTCTCAATTCAGATCTTTGAGTACAACTCACGCGTCATACTCATAATAATGGCCTACAAGCAATGGATTTGTATCAAGATTCGAAATCGCATGCACAAGAGTGATATTCGAGTCAGGGATGCCAGGCTCGAGTCGTAAGTCCCCCTTCTCCCATTCCACCAACGTTGCCTTCCTTCTGACCCAATTGAACCTCTCTAGTGGCAAATTCTACAAGGGCAGTAAAGACAACGAGATCAGCACAGACGAGGTCGGCAAGCTCGTCGTCCCGCCCCAAGGGCAGGGCATCATATGCTCGTGCGGGCGGTCGGACGCCGCCATCGGCACCGAGGGATATGTGACCTTGTACGAGTGGGACGGCGAGCATGAGACAAAGATCTGCCGGGTCTACTGGAGCGCGCCGTGGGGTGCGTACAGCAATATCTTCGACATCCAGGAGTGGGACCCCAGCACTTCTGATTATTCCATTAGCCATGACCCGGTATCTCAGGACGGGACAATTGGGAATATGGAGCTTGTGATTGCCAAGTTGGCCTAAGGCAAGAGTTTGAAATGGGTCCAGTTTGCATTCGACCCTACCGAGCTCATGGATGTCGACAGACAGGTAAACGGATGAGGTGATGGGTGCTTGTTTGTGCGGAGTTGGTGGTTGCATGTTTACCTTGGTATACCAGCAGATGCAACAGCGGAGGGGTGACGGTAGCCGTTGTGTTCCATTACCTGTCTCAGGCTGTGTGTTGATTGCCATATAAGGTCGATTGCTCACTCTCAAAGAAATTAGTTATTCATCCATCACTAAACTGCCGGACCAGCTTGTCATATAAATAACGTGCTCTGTGAAATCCTTCTTTAACCTTCCAGCAACGGAACTTCCTTCTCCCATTTCCTCCCAACATCACTCAAGCACCTTCACCACTTTATACTGCATCTTGACTGCCATCATGTCCAACCAATCACTTGCTGAAGCTGCGCCTATCGAGTCACTGCCGCTAGCAGCCGAGTCCGTTGTCGCTCCTGGTGCACATGTTGCCGCCACTATGAGCTTGGCCCGTCGTCCATTCTATGCAATTGCTCACCGTATCCTTAAAGACTACGGTGTACGATCCGCCCTTGCACACGGAGCCAAAGCGATTGAGGTTGACATGACCGCTTGGTCTAGTGGCTGGTGGGCGGACTATGATGGGCTGCCTACCAACGCTGGGGACACGCAGAGAAGATGTTCCAGACCATTTCAGAAGAGCGTAAGGCTGGCAAGAATATCATTTTTGTCTGGCTAGACCTAAAGTATACCGACTATGAATCCGATCCCAATAAAGAGACCAGTATCAAGGGTCTCAGGAGGCTAGCTCGCGATATTCTACAACGTGATGAGTCAAGGTTTTGTATGGATTCTACAAGTCTATGATCGGTAAACGAGCGTACCATTCAATTAGCAAGGGTTTGAATGCCAATGAGGCTCTCGACGTAGACGGTGAGGTTGCAATGGTTGAAAAGGAGCTTCATAATTTGCGCAGAGGACAGCGTGTCTATCCAAACGGTTTCTTCGGCCTTGCTATGACTTTCGAGCCTCCCTTGGCCAGCCTGAAGGCTGCCTCCAAAATCGGAGCTTTTGGAAAGGTATTTGGATGGACACTTGCGAATCACAACGACAAGACAAAGGTCGCCCGGCTTGTGAATGGCGCCAAAGTTGATGGCCTTATATATGACTTCAAACACACGCACTATTATGGCCACGCTGATAAGAGGGGGGCTTTGAACGACATTATACGCACTATCTGGGCGGGTAGCCGCTACCGCTTGGCGAACATCAATGATGACCCTTGAAGCGCATAGCTGTTGGACACGAATGAGGTCATGGATGCAAGGGGGCTTTGAAAAGAGGACAGGCCTGCGTCAAAGCATGCTTCTAAGATAATCATTGAACAAACAAGCTTGTTGTTTATGAGCATGCTCTTCTGGATTCACGTTACTAAAGATACATATGTGTAGTAACCCCTTGCAATTGTATTGAGTAATGACCCAGTAGTGGTAGACCGTGATGACGAGCAATTCCTACATGACATGGATACAACCCCCGCCTGTCCTTCCACCCATCAAATTGGCCATTCAGTACGGTACTGTTAATTACAGCTTCTGTCCGGCTGTTCCGGGGATCGTGCTAGCAACGGCTCCAGAACCAAGAACGCTGATGCTGTATGGCAAAGAGCTTGGCGTCAGGGTCCCCACGGGAACTGAGTTTTGGGAACCACCCAAGTCCACATCGTCAACCACAGCGTAGCCAGTGTAGTCTGAGTCAGCGAAGAAGATGGCCTCAGCAGGGCAGTTGGAAAAGGCTGAGCTCTGGACGAGAACCTGAGCATCCATGCGGCAGTTGACACCCGTGAGGATAAGACTATCATAGTAGTTGTTGACGATATGGACTGTGGCGAAACGAATGAGAGGAGTGCGGCTGTAGACATTGTACCAGTGGTTGTTGGCATAAGTGACATGGAGCTTGCCAAGATCCTCATCCTCGTTGCTGTCAGAGTGGCCAACCAGAGAGCCCTTCCACTATCGATTTGTTAAACATTTATATGCAATCAAGGGACATATAGTTCATAAGACTTACGTGGTCATGGAAATAAGTATTAGAAATAGTGATCCAGTCTGCGCCATGGGAGACATCAACCAGGCCATCCAGGTCGTCCTTTCCACCGCTCAAGTCGCCCGAAAGGTCGCAGTGATCAACCCAGACGTTGGTTGACTCATCTATTCCAATCGCATCCCCATTGCTGGCATCGACCATGCCGATCTTCAAGTTACGCACGATGACATTGCTCACCCGGCGAATGTAAAAGCCGATGCCAGTAATTGCTGCACACCCAACATCAGCGATCTAGTCCCAATCCCTCTAGGTGCGAGGTAAATGGATGTGAGGTAACTTACAGCTGCCGGACTCGCCAAAGATCGTCTTGTCAGCTGCAACCCGAATCTTGGCACTACCAGAAATGGAACCCGAGACAATAATTGTGAGAGGTCCATCGCTCTCAGCAGCTTCCGTGAGGCTAGCCAAGTCAGAGACCGTGACGGTATCACCGGCTGCTCCACCGGTGGTGCCGCCGTTTTGTGTACAGTAACCGACTGGGCACTCTTCGGATGCCTGGCGCTTGGCAAGCTCGTTTCTCTTGTCAAGAGCGCGGGCGCTACTCAAGCCAGTGATGGCAGCGTATACAAGGGCTAAGGAGATCTTCATTGTGGTGGTGCAAGAGACACACGGGAAGCGATTTTGAACAATCGCGGGAGGTATTCAATAGGTCGGGAGGTATTCAATAGGTTTGGTGAAGCAAAGACTCTTCGTGCTTTGAAGGATCTATTGTTGAGCTAGACAGAAAACTTAGGCCAGATATCATTGGATTTATATACTCATTTCTTAGATTAGGGCCTCATACGGCAATTATGATCTCATCTTGCAGCCTTCTCTTCATTTGTGTGAGCGTCTTTGACCGAACCATATTCTGTGAATTTCTCCTCGAATAAAACCCGCCATGCTCAGGTGACCATTTCTCATTCAACTAACAATGCCCCAGGGCAATGCCAGGGTTAGATATGGGGCTGTCTTTAAGAGATTCGGAAGCAATCACTTTCTGTCCCAAAGGCGGATAGATGTTCGCCTGATGTAGGTTCATTTATTTATAATCGGACAAAGTCCCGTTTATTGGAGGAAATCCATACCTGGTTGTAGATGCCAGCTTGCATGACAGTGCAGATCCTAATAAATCCGTCACGATATGAAACAAAACCATCTGGTCATCTTAGCCGGGCAATCATGCTTAACCCACATCATACAGCTTCCCAATGGAAGAATTAAAACAGCCGCAAAAATAGACTTAACTAAGAAGAGATCTTCTTTGCGGGATGCAACCTTTCAGGATGCAGGGGTCGCCACGCAATCTGGTAGCACCTAATTGGTGGATCAATTAGCGAGGATTAAAGCTTTTCGGACGGGCGTCTCCCGCTTGAACAGGCCATGTTTCGTAAGCTGGAGCATGCAGCATGTGTCATTAAAGGCGCGACGTAACCCCCCCCCCCCCAGGAGGCAGCCAATCAATAACCTATACCCTTTGACTTGTGCGTGCCAGAGATCTAAAGATACTGTAATCTCAAGGACCTGATTCCGTTTATAGTTCCTGGTAAATAGATACTACCAGTTATGGCTTTCACCAGCAAGATACAACGTGCTAAATGCTGCAATAACACAACAACATTCCCGATATAGCATCCCAGATGAAAAGGCTGTAAATATATTCTAGTCACAAACAGGATGTTAAAGCAAAGTAAGATATATCTTATATTAAATATCAAGCCCCTTGATGATATAGACTTTATTATATAAACAGTTTGGACTTATAAGATTCAGAGTCGTATTTGTTATACGAAAAGGCTTGGTCAAGGAAAAATGATGTTTTCTCTTGTGTGAATGAGAATATTTACAGTGAGATAGTTTAAGTACAATGTAAAAATGGCAATGGACGAGGCCAGACCCGACATCATGACACAAGTGATATAGTCTAGATACACATCAAGGGCAGGGTATATTTAGCGCTCCTGAGTATCAACACTGCCATAACGTGTGAACATTAGGTCTACTCAGTCTATCAAGCCCTTACTCATGAAGCGTCACCACTATAACTACCACACTATACCTTAGCACCTTGGACAGACCTCGGTGTATTTGGTAGCAGCAACCGATTCACGTCAGAAGCCGGGGTTGGGCTGCTGTGTATTTTATGGGGAGCTATTTGTCGCAATATCCTACCCTATACGACTTGTAATCATCAGTCAATGAAAGAATAATGGCCGATTGATTAATTTTAGTTACACATCTGAGGATATGCGGCCCGTTTAGGTTCCATTCAAACCATCAAAGCTGACTATTGTAATGTCTTATCGTGTTAGTAGCACACGGCTCAGGTGGATTGATTGTGTAAAGAGTATATCCTCTACGCTGTAAAGAGTATATCCCCTGCGGCAGGTTCCGAACCATCTGCCCTCATTATACCATCGCTGGGTGACGTGTCTCGTTTAGTAAAGTCTACACGCCTACGGGCTTATACTACCCAAGGTCTTGTCTTTTGGGACATCCATATCCTTGTCCCAAAACTTGGATAATTGGGCCGCTGAAACCATCCTTCAAAAGCCTACCAAAGGGAGAACAAACTCCTTAAAACCGCAATGCTAACCTGACTCTAATAAATGTAGCCTAGTCGCATCACCACTCAACGTTGCTTGGCATCTCGCTGGCTGCGCCAAAGAAGGCAAACATGACGATGAAGCCTGGAATAGGAACCGATCTAGGTGGGAAGTGCCGTGGGCTATTTATCAGAGAAAAGCCTCTAGTATTAAAGAGGCTAAGCACATTGGGAGACATATTACGCCGAGGCTCACAGCTTACCAGGTCCCCCTTGCACATTAAGCATCGAGACGTCTATCTTAATCTAAGAATAAGTTGCCCCCCTGCTCTTCTTACGGCCTTTTAAGCTGCTAAGTCCGCAAAAAAGTCCGGCTACGATGACTATATTTCAAATTTCAACCTTCTGCGTGCGCAAGTCTTCTCAACTGCTCAAATAAGTAGGACCTTGCCCCTTCTCCAATTTGTGGGATCTTACATCAGCCCTGTGCATATTAGTCCACGTGCAAAGTGATCCTTCAAAATGTATATAGCTCTCTATATCAATGCCGTGCTTCCTCGTACTCAGATACGGTCTCCACGTCAAGCTCCTAAGCCTTGACAGGCGCTGCTTTTCCATTTGGTTATTTGATGCCAACCTCGACTACGAAGAATGGCGCGTTACGATTCCGAGTCCAAAAATCTACTTATCGTAAATGGGGTGATCATTGTCCTAACGACCCTTTGTATGATATTGCGATGCGCAGCCCGACTTAAAACCCGAAATATCCATTACCTAAGTGATGGCTTGTGTCTGGTAGCCTATGCTGTCAGCATTGCCATCGCAGCACTTCTGTTCGATTGTGAGGCTCTCCGTCAACTGAATGTTGTGGCACGAGGAAATATGAATATCGGGATACCCGCTGACCGTCCTGGAACTAGATCTTCACAATACGGCCGTCGGAGGTGTTTTCAGGCCACACAATATCACAGATCCAACCGACGTGCCCCATGTCATATGGTTCCAAGCATTCTCCAAGGTAACTGATACTGTAAACACCGAAAACTACTATGAGGGGTTCACTAACCATCTTCAATCGGAATAGTTGAGATATATTAGCCAGCTTCTGTATTCTTTCGATTATGCCGTCGTCAAGTTCAGCATTCTGGCCTTCCTTTGGGATGTATTCGGCGCGGATAGCCGGAACAAGATGTTTATCAAAATTGTGACGGTGGCCTGTGTAATGTGGTGCATCGCCTTTACGTTCCTCGCCGCGTTCCGATGCAAGAATCCAGTCGACGGTTGGACGACAAACAACCCACCTGAGCTTTGCATCTACGCTCCTCACGTCTTTATTCCATTCGAGTCGACCAATCTATTTTTCGACGTAGTGATCCTATCGATCCCGGCATTTGCAGTGCAGAAATTGAAGCTGGACAGATGGAAGAAGTTCTCCGTCATCGGAATCTTCTTTCTTGGTGGGAGGTACGCATGCGTCCATCAACCTTACTCTGGTCTAGGTATGCTAATTCTACTGCAGTGTCTGCGTAGCTAGTATTGTGCGTCTGGCCGAAATCTCCAAAAGTAAGAAACCTGTCATTCCTACCTCAAAAGTTCATAGAGGAAGAGTTGTTGACATTTTGAAATAGCCATTGACTGGGCCATCTTCTTTTGGTCAATGATGCAGCTCGGGCTCAGCATCATATGTGCCTGCCTACCCACTCTTGGGGCCTTGTTCAGGAGCAGCTCAAACAAAGTGGGCTCAAGCTCCAAGTACAGCGGGTTCACCTCATCTTCCGGGAAGCGTGGGAGCGGTGTTGCATTCAAAGTAAAGGATGTGGAGCTGGGAGATAGGGGGCCTTGGATCGACAACCGCGCGGCCACGGGTACGACCTCATGGGCTCATCTGGATGACGGGTCCTCGTCGGAGCTGCCGCCGGAGCCTATGTTTAGTTCTAGAATTACTACAGTCTAATAACTGAACTTATTAATTACTGATATTTGCATATGACGAGCAAAAGTTACAGCAATCATATATCTCAGTGTAAGCCTTGTGATGATAGCTTACCAACCTAAGAGGGGTGGTTGCTCGAGGATCAGGGCCAAAAGATCATGAGCCTTAGCTTATCAATTAATCTTATATGATGTTTTGTAACTCGGGTTGCGGATAAATGAGGTGGAGTTGTTTTCGTCTAACCGGGTATTGCTCAAGTGCCGGATTTCGGACTTTTCGTCGGAGTCCAGGATTCTCACGTCAGACGCAACCGGCTCCAACGACTAATGATGACCTTGAACTAACTGATCAAGTTATTTCGGAGACATGTTTTCAGATTGGGGTAAATTAGTCGTCTAGATAAATGCTACGAGTCAATCTATCAGGAAGAATTACCCTGCACAGCAGAACAGTTAAGGAACATACTTCTAAGTTAGTGCTCGCAAGTTTATTGCTCTTTCTATTATACTGTGGACGCTGGGAACAGGGCTTAGTGGAGTCGACGAGGAATCGGGAACGATGTAACGAGACCCATTGTTGTGGGGCGTATCCTCTTGGTGGGATAAACTTCCTTCCTTCAATCGATCATTCACTCCAGCCCAAACACCGACATTCCGCCCGAGTTAGGGATAGCGCTCATGGGTGACTACAAGGATCGAATTATTGAGGAGATGGAAGAAGAGCGCCGGGATTTGGAACAAGCTTTGGATGACATCGAAGCTTTTGGCGATAATTTTGCGTGGTATTGATGTCTGAAAAACACTAGCAATGTGCTCTTTGCGGCAACTGACCGAATCTCTTGTTAGCCCCAACGAGTACTGCGACAGCACAGTTTGCAGCAAGCCATGCTTTGCTCGCCACTGCTTTGATTGGTGTCTTACGCATAATCACCCCTCCGTGGAGGATAGAGATGGCTCGACCATGGTTACAGTGGAGTACCATACCAAGGATGGAGAAGGGAAGTTGGTGACTCGGACAGAAGTTGAACAACGACGACTATGTGGACATCAAGGCGCAGGAGATTTCCCAGGCGATTGTCACATCATCACCTCTAGTTTCTCTGACGGTGTCAGTGGCTTGTGGGAGTTTGAG